CCACGCCACCCTCTCTGAAGTCTCTACCTCAATTTCATTCCCCCAGTCACTGTTCCCCTGGCGCACATTAGAAGCGAACCCTTCGTTGTACTCCTCTCGACTTCGAAATTACGAAAAGCCCCCCAGAATTCCTCTTTCACCTGAACGTTAGAACCGCCCCGGATCCACTACCCTTTGCCCTTTTGTATATATATTAAAATCCCCCCTTCCAACCTCTTCCCGGCGATTTCCAAACCTCTACGCATAAATAAAAAAAAAAGCGAAATAGAGAGAGAAAACGGCAGCTCTTGGCCGCCGTCGGTGGGTTTCCGGTGAGAAAGAGAGCGGAAGGTGGGGAGCTCGTGATCTGAGTTCTGGTTCTGGTCGTTCAATGGTGTATATTGGTGGGAGGGGAGAAGAGTCAGTGAGGCGACGAGCCGACAACGGTGACGGTAACGGCGGTGGTGTGGCGATGGCGATGGCGATGGGGACGGAGAGATCAAAACCGCCGCTCCACAATTTCAATCTCCCGAGCTTGAAGTGGGGGAATCAGAGACAACTCCGATGCATGAATCCTCCGGATTCGAGTAATAGCGGCAGCACCAACCCCAGGCGAGAAAGAGGAATCTCGTTCGATCGTCACCGCCGGAGCAGCCGATCTCCTCCGTTGAAATTCGCCGCCAGCTCCAGGGATTACGAGGCCAGGCATCACCAATTCAAGAAGCCGAGGCCGAGAATTGACGGCGCGGGCGGCGGCGGCGGCGGTGCCGACGAAGGGATCGAGGCTTTGGGGGAGAAGCTCATGTTCGATTTGAAGACGGCGGCGGATAGGATGAAGCACGAGATATTGAGGAAGGAAGTTTGCGACGAAGACGAGGAGGAGGAGGAAGAAGACGACGACGACGAGGATGTGGACGGCGATCGGGATGCTCGGCGCAAATCTTCCTCGCCGCCGGCGACGATGGGGATTAAAGCGGCGGCGGCCGTATCTACCGGCGGTGGAGAAGAAAAGGAGCATGAGCCGCGGCCGTGGAATCTGAGGACGAGAAGAGCGGCGTGTAAAGCACCGGCGACGACGACTAACGCACCGATCGGCGCAGGCGCATCGGCAAGCCCGGCCGGCGCCGCTACGGCGAAGGGGTTGAGGATTGAGGAGCCGAAAGAGAGCAGCAGGTCTTCTCCTATCAGGAGTGACAGCGGGAAATTGCCTCGGCTCAGAGGCGGTGAGAAGAAGGAGCCGAGGGCTAAGTTCACGGTGGGTCTATCGAGGAAGGAGATCGAAGATGATTTCATGGCGATGATCGGCCATAGACCTGCCCGGCGGCCGAAGAAGCGACCAAGAATTGTTCAGAAGCAGATGGATGTAAGTCAAATTGATCGATCCCTTTTGTTCCATCTTCCTTCCCCTTCCTCCTTCCCCAATTACACCGGCAAAATTTCCTCTTCCTGTTGGGACTTACGATTGATCCGATTTCTGGTTGCAGACTCTCTTTCCTGGGCTGTGGCTGGGGGAAGTCACCGTCGACTCCTACAAGGTGCCGGAGATTCCTGATATCGGAAAGGTAAATTGAATAGGAATGTGGTTTTCTGGTATCATGAAATGCTCTCCCAATCAAGTTTCTGAAATCAATCTAGTGTTTACAATTAGTAGTTGTTCAGTTTCTGGTTTACTTGCTCTGATATGTCGAATTCATGAAATGGTGAATACTAACTGTGCTTCGATCTCATTGGTTTGCAGAGATAGTAGATGTTCAGGGTTTGAAGGTGATTGCTCTTTCCTGCTTTCAAACTGGGTAAACTTTCAGAGGTTGAAGATGGGGTGGCACAAATCAAAGCAAAACACACAATCTCAGTGGGAATTAGGGACTTGATAGAAGAAGCAGGTTGCTTCTACTTACTCCTGATGGCTCATTCAGGTGCCCTTGAATGAAAGTGTTAATTTTTGTTCTCTTCTCAATATTATAGTTCTTTTATTTTTATCAAAGATTATGAGAATAATAATGTCCTGTAAAGAATAGTGGGCAAATGCTTCTTAGATAGAAGGGGCAAACCCCCTTCTTCTTTGCTTGTTTGGTTTCTCAAGTTTTTCTAGGTTTTGAATCCTCTGACCAATGTAGTAGTCCCTGGGATGCTATTGAAAAGTTGAAATCTATAGTTTCTTCACCTGCTGTTACCCTATGTTCTTCTCTGGTTCCTGCATTGTCAGTCCGGGTCCAAACATCAATGTTTGTGGACCTGTTCATATGTTTGTGCACTTCCTGAACAAGAACACTCAAGTCTTTGAAGCCGAATACAACATGGTCGCGTCTGAGTTCGATTGAAGCATCGATGCTCGCAGCAACTGTGGTTCCATTTATTGGTCACTGTGGGTTCTTTGAACTGCTGCAGTAGCATTATGTTGACAGCTTGTACAGAAACCATGAGCTTTGAAGGGTGGCAAAACTTGGTCCAATTAATGTTGCAGCCTCAGAGGTATGACGTCTGGTGTACAGAGAACTGGGAGGAGCTTCGCTTTCAGCATTCTGTTGTCACCTGTTTCAGTTGATAGAAAGTTCCCATTTAAACTCGGCAGATTCTGTCCATCCCTTGTTCGATGCCTCCGAATCTGGAATACGTGATGGATAATCAGAGATCCGGGTGTTCGTGCACTCGCAAGATCCATGCTAGCCTTTCTTATGAGATGGTATTTCATCTACTTATTCTGGTACTTGATCAAGTAGCTTACATGGAAATTGCAAGATGCTTCCGACCATTTCACTGTTTCTGGAGATGAACAAGTGGACCCGCCTCATCGCCTTTCAGTTCCAGTTTCTAGCATCCTCTCGGTTGTATTGTATACAGCACATGATCAAAGCTAGTAACCATGGGTTCTGGGTAGTTGAGACTTGAGAGAGCGAGTTTCTCCTCTGGAGTTTGTGAGAAGCCATGGCGGGAGGAGGGGAAGCTGCTGTGTGATGTTTTGTTAAGAGGGAAGAAAAGGAGGGTGGAAGAAGTGGCTGAGCTTGAGCTGAATGGAAGACCGGTAAATTAAGAGCAGTTGAACTCTGGCCGAACAGTGGCGGCGGAAGGCGCAAAGATAGTGGGCTGGAGGATGGCAGTTTGAGTAAAGCGAGTTGAGTTGAGTTGACCCACCCGACTCCGTTCCATACGCTTGCCGCGTTTCATTCCCTAGACACAAAAATAATAATAATAATAATAATAATAAATACAATTATAAAAATGTTAAATTAATGATTGATGGTATTGGTTAACGACTTAAATTCACGTCACGTGTGGTCCGGTGTGGATCTGAAATCGTTTCGGAGATTGGTTCCCTGTCAAAGCAAGCACCGGTGTACTGGCTTCGTCTGGGCCAACCGGCGGAAACGGGCTTGGCCCACTGGAATCATAGGCCTAGCTGTTGGGGCCCTTTTTCTCTTCGCTTCTGGATCGTAGGCCACTTCCGCTTTGAACTTTCTCATTGCATGGCTTCAGCTTGTGTATATCTTCAGAGTTCAGCCCATCTATGAGATGGACACATCCAAAGTAGTGGTCTCAACTAGATGCAAATGAGGTCGTGGCCGAGTGGTTGTGTCACTGATTTTCAGTTGAGAGCCTTCAGGTTCGAATTTCAGAGGCGAGACTTGTTTTTGACTCCCTCATCGCTTTAATAGCATCTTGTAATAGTAAAAAAAAGAAAAAACTAAAAAGGATCAAATGACTCAATATCGTCCATCTCATTTGTGCATGTCCATTGCTGTCCGAAATTGAGTGAGCTCTCAAGAACATATCGAAAGAGAAGCAAAACGGTAGGACTACAATTACAACTCAAAATAACCTGGTTTTACTTTGCGGATTTTGAAACATACTATTTATTAATTATTATAGCTTTAAATATAAGCATCCAAATTGACAATCAATCCCCGTAATCATTCACTTAGCAACCACTTAATTGTATGGTGAAAGCATCTATCAAAATTCAGTATTCTTTTTCTCCCCCTCCTTTTCCTGGACTGCTTTGTTATTCTCTCTGGTCAAGCAAAGTTGCCCTTGGAAAGCATTGAAATTCTTGTCTTCAAGTAGTACTATTATTATATTTCATTATGCTTATCTAAAACCATACGTTACAAAACACCACAAGAGAATCAAAGTTAATAATACAAAAATAGCATACGATTATTTCAAAAAATTCATATTGTAGCAGCAGCATCATAGCTATTATTTTATAGAGATAGATGCACATTCCCTAAAGAAAGAAAACCATATGAATAGGTTAACAAATGACAAGTTTCAGAAATTGCAGTTCTTCAGAGTTCAGATACCTTTTGTCCATGCTACACAGTCATGCTACTGTAAGTCATCCTTATGCAACAGATCTTATGCTGCCAAACTAGATGATTTTGCACTGTCTTAGCTTTAGTGCTTTTGTATCTAAGTTGGAACTACTATCTTTGATTGATTAGTGCGATGACATGATGACACGATCATCACTCTTGAGAAAGGAACCATATTTAGCGTTGCATACAACAAAATGACCAAAAAAAAAAAAACAAATTAATATGGTAATCGAACCGGCCATAGTGAAACCCAAAAGGAAAACACAAGAAAAGAAAAGACAAAGGCAAAAGGAAGAAGATGCTTTGGCTTTGCTTCTTTGTCTGCCAAGTCTGACCATGTTGATAGAATGATAGGCAAGGCATTGAACAAAAACTGCCCATGTTGATAGGGCAAGAACCCCACAAAGAATTACCTTTCTTGGACTCAGAATCCCTATCCTATTCACTATTCAGTTGTATTTGATATCGTTGGATCGTTCTTAAGCATTTTCAGTTGTTGAATCGAGGATGACAATTCAACAACATCAATACTCGATGATCAACTCCCGTCACAAGTACATTCGTCCACGCAGATGTCTAGCTACCACATTGCAGTACTAATAGCAGATTCAAGAGAATTATCACTGTAATGCTCCTAATTCCTAACTTTGTCGCCTGCACCATAGCTAATAGAAAAGACTCTTTTCTTTGTCGCAACCCATCCTCTTAGATCCAATAATTTGATTAGAAATGTGGAGAGTAGTAAGAGGTCACATGGAAGGGAAGGCTGATCCAGAAACCAAATTGACAGGCAACCAAATACATCTGTACTTTCGACAGGATTTCATATATACATATGATCAGATCGAAGGAGGAAAAAAAAATCAAATTTATATGTAGAATGGCAAAAGAGAAAGGAAAATGAGTAAAGATGGTAACTTTGATCATCTATCTCTTCTTCTTGTTCTTTTTATTAACCTTACCGTTACAGAACAGAGAACCCAGCCCCAAAAAGTTGACCGTTCCCCTGGACATGAAAGCCGGTGGCGGGATGTTCAGCACCGGGGTGATTCTAATCACGGCGGCGTTATTGCCGTATGACCCGCATTTCCTCAACGCCGGAAGATTCGATTTTTGCTGTTGCTGCCCTCCGGTATTGTAGGGATAGTAACAGGGTACAGAGCTGCTGGGCATCAATGGCGATTTCCTGTTGGGAACCGACCTCTGTTTCCGCAAATGGCAGGGGTTTTCCTCCTTGGGTTTATTCTTGGGTGGATTTGGAGCAGACCCAGTTGAGTTGCTTCTCGAAAGGAAATGTAGGGATCGGATTAGCCCTCCTCTGCTCCGGCAGCTGATGTCGTCGCAGTTTACACTGTTGCTTCTTTTGAACTGCCAGAAAGATTTCGCTCCCACCGCCGCGGGCGGCGGCGGGTTATGACTCTGTTCTTCTTCGTGCTCTCCCTCGAGACTCATGGACAAGAACTCCTTCAGCAGCTTCTTCTTCTCCGACTCAAGCTGTGGAGAAGAATCATTCTGCCCAGTTTGCTGAGCCGGTGGCAGAGGAGGCGGAGGCAGAGGAATGGGAATCGCTTCTTTCCCGGTGGCAGTTTGAGTTTGCTGTTGCGGTTGTTTCTTGATTTCTACAGGCAAGATCCTACCGTTGGAGAAGAGCTCATCGGCAGAGGAAAATTCTCCCCGGAAATCGTTCCCGCCGCCGATGAAGAAATCGAAGTCGGGGTCGAGAAGACAGCAATCTGATCTGGAGCGGTGACCGGCGTCGGCTTCCGGCTCTGTTGTCTGAGTGAGGTCACGGGAGAAGGAAAGCCTTGGACTGATTAGACCTGCGCTCGAAATCTCCGACCAAACATCCACCGCCATTTTCTTCTGGCATCGATGGGGCAGAGAGGAAAAAGGAAGTGTGGGTTTATATATCGATGGAGGCAGAGGAAAAACAGGGGCAGAGGAATTTCAGGAGATTTTTGCCCACAAGTCAGAAATTGCAACAGCAGCTTTAGCTTTTTGCGCTTTTGTTTGCCTTCCACCGGATTTCTCTCTATTCCCTGTCCTATATAATCACGACACAGAGAGCGACCCTAGAAGAAAGAGAGGGTAAAAGAAAGATGGAGTTCAAACGAAGCAGAGCAGCAAACAACTGAATTGGATTCTACTATGGGGGAAAAAGGAAAAGGTGAAAGAGTGGAGAGGGAAAAAGGAAAAGATAAATGGTAGCACCGAAAGCCTATTATAGTAATGGTCTGCATGATTCTGCTAGAGAACTGAGAAGAGAGAAATTATGGAGGGAGATGATTCATTATGTGATAATGGTCTCACTTTCAAGCGCTGTAGATGAAGGTTTTGGAAGGGAATTTGTCAACGGGTTTAGGTGGGATTGATTCATTAGATTGAGCAAGGAGGGAAAATAAGAAGCTTCTGAGTACTTGACAGGAGGAGGATTACAAATTTTATATTATTTGTATTTGATAAATCTCCCTAATGGATTATTGGTCAAACAATACAAGAATAACAATGATCTTGATATGGTTTTAAAGAGACAAATTCTCTAGCGAATAACTATATTTCAATCTTTCTAGTTATTAGGATATTGTTTGCGTTAGAATTGTAATAAGATTATATTTCTCGTACGCTATGACTGTCAGATCTTTCATTTTCACATGCTAATTTTTATTACAAAAAGTTATGTTCTAATCATAACAACTCCAATATTAGTGTTTGATTTAACCACAATTTTGTGCGTGAAATATTCAAGTTTGTTGGTCTTCGTTGGTGGGGTTTATAAGATCTAGATTTTAGATTCGTTATTTAGTTGAGTTTGGAGGTTAATACCCTAAATGGTCACTGAGTTATACTTAATGCCGCAAAATCATAACATAACCTAACAATGCAACTGAACGATCACTTAAGGTTGTCAATTCATAACATAATGGTGACTTCCCTTAACTCGATTTGTCCAATTCTCTGTCGCCGTGTCTATTCAGCATGCCAACATAGCGTGATATGTCACCAATTACGCCTCATTGCTACCCTACTATTGTCAAGAGGCTGAACCCAAAAAACCAACCTTGAAATCATCTCCTATACTCAAGTCGCCTTCCCTTATACGACCCCCTTATTATTGCGAGAGATTAGCAAGCCAGGTTCAACGAGAGGTTATGGAGTAGCTTTCGACTTTCTTAGTGTAAGATTATGTATGGTTCATTAGTAGACCCATGCTTAGTGCTTGGCAGGTACAGGTGTTGAGGCACCCACCATGTCCCATCCCATTTCCACACTAAACTAAATGATCATATGATTTTCGGTTCATAGCACAATGATTACTCCCCTTAACTCGTTTCGTCCATTTTCCCCGCTAAATGTGCCTAGTAAGCATGCCAACAAAATGTGGTACGCCAACAAACACATTTTGTTGGTACCTCTCTTGTCGATTGATTGAATAAAAAAAACCCAATTATAAACCATCTCTTAGACTCAACTTGTGTCCCCTACTGGGATTTCCTCCCTGAATCTTGCGAGAGACTTCCATAACGACCTTCTTTAGCAGTGTCAGTTCCCTCCTCTTTAGTTTTTCCGTTCATTTGTCATAATCTCCTACATTCTTTCAAGAACTTGGAATTTCCTATCCAAAACCCAAACTTCAAAGGACATAAAGTGTCACAATTTGTCATTTACCTCTCATCATTAACCCCTACTAACCTCACAATGTCAAGGTCAACGTCAATGTCAGTTCTGATCATCTTCTATCCATAAATTTCATAGTCGTAACTAATCACTCTTCAATTACATGAATTTGGTACAAACCCGACACTTTCCGAACAAAATATCCACATAACCTTTAAATTCTTTCGAAACTCCAATTTAATTGATTGAATTGTCTTTTATCATGAAGTGGTTCAACTACAACCTATATATGATTTTGGTGTTGCTGTGCTTGTTTCCCATTTTCTTTCTTACTCAAAACTTAACTTTTTTGTCAAAACTAACATAATTCATCACATTTTTCGCAAGTTTAAATTAGAACACCTATTATTAGGATTTAGGAGTTATATTGGGTCAAAGGTTTGGGCCATCAAACACCCAGCCCCTGAGCCCCAGCCTGGTTTGAAGTTTGAACCAACCGGTTTGCGTTTTGCTGTGGGCTGATTGTCTTCGTGGGTGGAAAGTGGAAAATAAAAAGGAAAACATTGTAAAATCCGGATTCTGGAACGGAGGACACGACAGAATCCCCTTCCTTTCTCCGGTCAATCTGACTGAGCAACCCAAAAATCAAAATCGCAAAAACCCAAAACCCTAACGGCCTAATCCCCATTTCCTTCCTGTCCCCACCCGGCTGCCTCCGCTGCCGCGGCTCCTCATCCCCTCCTCCGCTGAGACGGCGGCCGACTCATCCTACTGCCGCCGCCGCAAGTTGTGCTGCTCTCTGCTCTCCGGCGCCCCCTCCCTGTTGAGTGCGGACAGAACGTGTAAGTTCTGCTATTCTTTCGATCTATGTCTGCTATTATCTCTGTCTCTCTCTCTCTCTTCTTGTCTCCGCCGACGACTGAGATTGGCCGGCCTCTCTCCCCACCACCTTCTCCGTCGAACAGTAGTAAAAAATCATATAGCCAGCAAGTCTTCCAAGCCTAAAGTTTAAGCTGAAAATTGATAATGAAACTCCTGTATTGACTGCATGCATAAATTCCATCTCTTCCAATGGTCACAGTAGCCTAACCTGAGCCCGCGATGGATCAAAATCTTTTTTTCTTATGGGCGCGATGATCAATTTCTTCATGCAGGAGGGAAGCTCATTAGTAACTAGTCAATTTGTTGCTATGGCTTTAAGCTGATACACCTTTATTCTTTTCTGAACTAACTTCATCTATCAGTAACTCATCCCTCCAATTCAAAGGTCCATACTTTGTGATTGCTAACCATCAGAGGACTTTAGAAAGTAGAAACCCAACCCACCAAACTTATATCAGAACGTTTATGCACATCATAATTAGCATAGAGACACAATTGCGCAAAGAGTTGGCATTTTTTTCATAGAATGCTCAACAGTTCTACCATTAGTTTCACATTGATCATTGTTATCTTTTTTTTTTTTGGCCATGGATTGATCATTGTTATTAGCTTCATCAATTTTTTGATAAATTTTTTCATTAATTCGGCAGAAAAGGAAGTTGTGAAAGTCTTATTCTCTTTCCGGGTTGGAAAGTATTGTGCGTTTGCTTGAATTGGTAGGTTTCGTTTTAGTGGCTTTATTTTGCTAACCCTATGTAAATTACAGACACTTTCTTTCCGCCAGCAGCCACACTCGCTATTCCAAGGAGCAACAGCTGTTCCCCTTTTCGTGATTACTGCTCAGCTTGAAGCCATGGGAGGGAAAAATGAGAGCTCATCGGGGACATTGGAGTTGTTTTTGAAGATTGGGCTGGATGAGAGAACTGCTAAGAACACCATAGCAAACAACAAGGTTACCAACAATCTTACTGCCGTCATTCACGAGGTAAAATTGATGGTCTATTTCTGCCGATCTTGTTCTTCAAGGGTAATGGTATCATCTCCTAGGCTAGTACATTTAGGCTTGTATTTTTCTTTTTTGGAGCTTTTCCTTCTTTACCTTGATTCTAGACACACTCTCTTGAGACCTGCTCTCCGTTGCTGCTGTGTGTGCCATGTCTTGAAACTGCATCTTGATTGGAGTATAAATTGATTCTCTGTTTCAGGCTGGTGTAATTGAGGGATGCAATCGAACAGTTGGAAATCTTCTTTACACAGTAAGACTAGACCTTCATCGATCTTTCTTAATTCTGTTATTCTATATAGGTTTTCAATTTGAAGGGGCGAAAATCTGAGCAATGTGTGTAACTTCATTGTGGTTATGTTACTGATCTTTCAGTTGTAAATTTCATTCCATGCTAAGCTGGTAATTTTATACATGCTATATGTTTGGTAGGTAGCCACAAAGTACCCTGCCAATGCCCTTGCACATCGCCCTGTATTGTTGGAATATGTTGTATCATCCAAGGTTTGAGTAACTATATCTTTTTCTGTTGTTTCCTCCCATATGAATTATATACTAAGTCGGAGGGTTGGTTTAAAGGTTTAAGATGGAAGTGCGAGAAAGCTACATTTACATCGATTCTTGTTGTGTTACAACTTTTACAGATCAAGACCCCAGCCCAGCTAGAAGCTGCATTTTCTTTTCTGTCTAATACTGCTTCTGAAAGTCTTCATTTGAAGGACTTTGAAGAAGCATGTGGAGTGGGTAAGTGATACGAGCTCCGCGCATATGCCTAGATTTTTACTTCATTCCTTCAATAGCATTGTGTAGTAGGCCAGATGTATGTGAACAATGTGTAATGCGAAGATGTAAGAGAATGGGAGAAAAGTTCGAGTACTGAAGTTAATTAACAAACAAAGGCAGTTGCAATACCATGGTAATTGTTAAGTTTAAGAGAGACTTAAGTGGGAGAGTAACAGTTATATGCAATGTTTAAGTGTCATAGGATCTTAGAATGTGTTTCTAAACCTTTCAAAATTTTGTGCATAGGAAACAAAGTCTGGCATTGATATTATCTTGAACCACCATTTGTGGATGCTATTTGTTTAATGGTTCATTTAATTTTTGATTCTTTGGTTGTACTTGAACCAGGAATTGAGGTCTCTGTTGAAGATATTGAGAAGACTGTTAGTGAGATATTCGAGCTTAATAAGGAGTCCATTTTGGCCATGCGATATCGAACAAATGGTTGGTCTCATTTCTAGATAACTTGTTCTCACATTTTTATGTTCTCACATTTTTATGTTCTCACATTTGGTTCGTCTTGGTTTCTTAAGCTTTTGGTTTTTAACCTTTGTTGTGAAGAATGTTAATATTTGATTACCGGACTCATGTTGAGATGAATTGCAAATTGTTTGTTTGACTCTAGTGGGAGACATATTTGCTAACATTCGCAAGAGGCTTCCATGGGCTGACCCAAAAATTGTGAAGGTCAATATTTAACTGTTAGCTTAAGCTCATTTAAGATGCTTGTTTACTGAACTATATTTTACTAGTTTCTGCTTCCTTTGTCCTTGTGTAATCAGCAACTTGTCGATGCAAAAATGTATGAATTGCTCGGTGAGAGAACAGCGGCAGATAATGAGAAGCCTACTAAACAGAAAAAAGAAAAACCTGCTAAAGTTGAGGTAACCACTCTGGCATGCTTCAGCATTGCCCTAAAAAGAGGTTAATCTTTTGACCTCTCCCTTTTTGTTTATACGACTCGTGTAGGAAAAGAAGGTTGCTGTTGAAACTCCATTGCAGCCCTCCGAAGAAGAACTTAATCCATTTTTAAATTTTCCCGATCCGAAGGAAAATTTCAAGGTAAGTTGTCACCTCCTTGTTAATGTTATCTTTCTTTATCCTCTCTTAAGTTTCTTCCTTCTTGTCCATTGTTCTTATTGGCTGAACTAATTTCCAAAATAAATCCTACGTAAAGTGGTTAGTAGAGTAGTTCAATTTGAGTTGATGATAATAGCACTGGTTATAGTGATTTATTTATGAGAACATGGCAAAGGGGGATTTAGAAGCTGGTTGATGCTGGGAAGTTCCTATCCCTGGTTGTTTAGAAATGATTAAGGCTGAAGGAACAAGGGGTGTGGCTTTTGCACTTCCATTCATCTTTTTGTTTCATAGCTGGCAAGTTAGAGAAAAAGGACTATGTGCTAACTGTGTGTAGACAGAAGTAAAACGTGGTTACTTTTGTTTGACACTAGTTAATCAGACTTCGTTATGCAGGTTCTCCATCTAAGAAGATGTTATGGTATTTGAATGGCCTGGTTTTTCTTATCCTCCATTAGTTTACCAGATTGTAGATGCCTGTGTTGGATTAGAACTTGGCGCAATCCAATAACTTATGAATCTACTTTGATGACAGATATTGTCAAGTTATTTGAGAAGGAAGTATAAATCAATCATAGATATATGTTCCCTAAATTAAATTGAAATACAAGTTCTGCTTGCTCATTCTTGTGGTAGCATTTGTTTCTCTGTTTGCAATGTCTTTGCATACTCATATTAGCGTGGGAATTGTAGACGAGATATGCTCCTTGGTATCACCATTATGGCGCTGTTGCATCAAAATTCATATGGTTCATGTTATTTGTTTTTACTTTCCCAGGTTCACACAGAAGTATTCTTCAGTGATCGTCCTGTTCTAAGGTGCTGCAACAGCAAGGAAACGTTAGATAAGCACCTGATGGTAACAGGCAGTAAAGTTTACAGCCGTTTTCCACCAGAGCCAAATGGTTATCTACACATTGGTCATGCTAAGGTACTTGTGTGTTTTCTTAGTAAAATGTTTCAGATTAACCTTGTTTTGCACTTGCTTATAGGGAAGGCATTAAGTTTTTTTTTTTTGGTTCTTTGTTCTTTTGAAGGCAATGTTTGTTAGCTTTGGCCTAGCGAGAGAAAGAGATGGATGCTGCTACCTTAGGTAACGGTTACTGTTTTCCTTTTCCACTTCTTTTCCTCCCTTGTTATGGGGCCTTCATGCTTATGGTTCACTCCATCTCAACGGCCTGCTTCATTGTAAAAGTTTTTTCAAACATTCTCTCCTGAATTTCAAGATTTCCATCATCGTATTTCACTACACTGCCTCATCTGCCCAATACTTAATTATTAGGCATCTTTTTTATTTCCTGAAACGACCTGCTGACTTTTAGGTATTGAACAGTTGGTTAGCTGATTTCATAGACCATATAAAATCTAGAATGCTATAACCATTCTGTTGGAAGAACAAAACGGTCAATTCATTATTTCATTTTGGCATTTATAATAACCTACCGCACCTTTAAGGTTCGATGATACCAACCCAGAAGCCGAGAAGAAAGAGTACATTGATCATATACAAGAGATTGTCAGCTGGATGGGCTGGAAGCCCTTCAAGGTAAAGCTCATTTCTCTCTGAAATGCTTGTGGTGTGTGTGTGTGTATTTTTTGTGCTTGAATGATGTGGCTTCTCTTGGTTGCAGATAACATACACAAGTGATTATTTTCAAGAGCTCTATGAGTTGGCTGTTGAACTGATAAGGAGGGGTCATGCTTACGTTGATCATCAGGTGGGTAATTATACATCACAGTACTCAATTCATTGTCGGTAGCATGTGTCAGAGTCGTGCTACAAACTCCTCAACTATACCATCATATCTTAGAGGAAGCATGGTGGGAATTCTTGAGGTTATTGCTACTTGGTGTTTATTTAGAGCTAGCAATTACCTCAGGTGTTTTTCTTTTTCTTTAGCCTCTTCCGGGAATAGAAGAGTAGTGAAATTTGTGTTTTCCAGTGTCATAAGTTTGAAATTATATTTGTTGCATTGACTTGTATTGAATTGCTTGTATTTATTTCGTAATTATTTGTTAAAATCTGTTTCTAGACTGCAGAGGAGATTAAAGAGTACAGGGAGAAGAAGATGAACAGTCCTTGGAGGGATAGACCTATTTCAGAATCTCTGAGGCTCTTTGATGAAATGAAGCGAGGATTGATTGAAGAAGGCAAAGCGACACTCAGGATGAAGCAAGACATGCAGAGTGATAATTTTAATATGTATGACCTCATTGCTTACCGAATTAAGGTAAGTAGAACATGTTCGAGATTATTGGCAAAATAAACACTCAGTCTCATTTTTACGAGCATCTAACTTCTTGTTCTGTCAGTTCACTCCTCATCCACATGCAGGAGACAAGTGGTGCATATATCCAAGTTATGATTATGCTCACTGCATTGTGGATTCTCTCGAGAATATCACCCATTCGGTAAGCCTGAACTTAATCATTCTTTTTCCGATGAAGTCGCTAGCTTATTTTCATTATGTCCTGGTTATTGTGGATATTTCACTCCTGCATTTTTCTAGGCATGAAGAAGTTTCTTAAGAAATATTTGCACAGTGCTTTTGTTGCTCAAAGTTTGTCTATTGAGATCAAGAACATTCAGTTTTTTATATTCTAAATACTTTTTTGTACATTTAGCTCTGTGATTTAGGTACTGTATGCAGGAAATAGTTTTCTTACAAGTTACAACAATTAAAATTATTTTCCCCTACATTGTCCAGCTCTGTACACTGGAATTTGAGACCAGACGGGCTTCCTATTACTGGTTGTTGCATTCCCTTGACCTTTACCAACCTTATGTGTGGGAATACTCGAGGCTGAATGTTACCAACACAGTGATGTCAAAGCGCAAGGTAAAATGATTATGCTGAGAGTATTTTTGGTAAGCATGAATGTTATTCTGTATTCCTTTGGCCTAACAAGACTGGAGCTCGTTTTGTTATGCAGTTGAATTTCTTAGTTACAAATAAGCATGTTGATGGTTGGGATGACCCCCGCCTCATGACGTTGGCTGGTCTAAGGCGCAGAGGAGTTACATCATCGGCAATTAATGCTTTTGTCCGAGGAATTGGAATAACAAGAAGGTCCGTTATATGAAAGTTAAATCATTTCATTCTATGTCTCTTATTGAGTAGATATCTCTTCAGTTTTGGCAAGTAGGTTTCTGGAAGAAAAGTAAATTTTGGCCATTCTGATAAATGAACAGACTTATCTGTTTTGGATCAAATATCCCAGTGAAATTTCGCGATTTTCTCAAATGATTGGAACAGTAAAATGAATCAAACTGGAATTTTAAGATTCTCTTGGATACTGCCTGTCCGTTGCTGTTAATAGCTTGTAGTACTTTTTGGAGTAAAACATACTTCGGGTATATAGATTGCAATCTTTCCTGCTTTTGCTAGCTCGTATCTGAAAATTGTATCCAACATGTAGGATGGTTTTTTGTTGTTATGTGTTGCAGTGACAATAGTATGATTCGTATGGACCGCCTTGAGTATCACATAAGGGAAGAACTAAATAAGACTGCTGCTCGCGCAATGGTTGTGCTGAATCCTCTGAAGGTGGTCATCACTAATTTTGACTCTGCTTCTGTTATGGATCTAGAAGCGAAGAAATGGCCTGATGCGCAGACAGAAGATTCTTCTGCATTTTACAAGGTGATGCTCAGGAAGAATCATAATTTATTTTGAGTGATGGGTTTTGGGCTGTTGTTGGCTCAGTGTGTCATTCATATCAGGTTAGCCTTAGTTGTGAAATCTTTGATTCACGTTCTGTGTCCTTTTCACCCCATGCCCTCAGGTTCCGTTTTCAAATGTTGTGTACATTGAACAATCTGATTTCCGGATGAAAGATGCCAAGGATTACTATGGGCTTGCTCCTGGAAAATCGGTCCTTCTCAGGTATGTTGTAATGGCCGACTTTGCCCTGCTGTCTATATGTCCAACTCGAATAGATAAGCTTATGGAAGCTGATAGTGTTTGCTTAAAGTTACTGCAACAGAAAATGATATCTTTACTTTTTCTATCTAACTGAAATACTGTTCTTTATATGCAGATATGCTTTCCCCATAAAGTGTACAGATGTAGTATTGGCAGATGATAACCAGACTATTGTTGAGATCCGAGCTGAATATGATCCCTCCAAGAAAACAAAGCCAAAGGTAGGTTCCTTGGTGTTTCTCATCAATCTGAATGATCTGGGGAATGATTAGTTGTGTTGGTACTATATATTGCTACCTTGTGACTAATTCCTTTGGTCTGTGCAGGGAGTTCTGCACTGGGTTTGTGAACCTTCACCTGGGGTAGAGCCACTGAAAGTTGAAGTCAGATTGTTTGAGAAACTATTCAATTCTGAGGTCATCAGTTTATTTGTGTCTATTATCTTGGTAGTTTCTACTCCCTTGGACAAATAAATGATTTTTGTGTTGTTGAATTACGGTTGTTTATCAGAACCCTGCTGAGCTTGATGATTGGCTTGCTGATTTGAACCCAAATTCCAAGAATGTTGTAACTGGTGCATATGCTGTCCCATTGCTCAAAAGTGCTGCCGTTGGAGATAGATTCCAGTTTGAAAGACTCGGTAAAGTTCACTGCTTCACACCTCTGTTGTTCCATTTACGTGCCGTTGTTGCACTCGTACTAGGGTGTTCTATCTTGTTGTGTTAACGTGGCGAAAGCTTAAAACTTCTGCACACCTGCTCTATTGTGATCCCTCATATCGTCCCGATATTCTATTCAGGCTATTTCGCGGTTGATAAGGACTCTACCCCGGATCACCTTGTGTTCAATCGGATCGTGACACTGCGAGACAGCTATGGCAAAGTTGGTGGTAAGTAGGTAGTTTCCTGAGGCGTGCAAGCTAAAGCCCCAGCAGAGATGATTAGCTGCTTGTCAAGTTGAGTACTTCTGTTTATTGTGAGTTTGTTCCCCCCTGTTTTATTTGTACATCTTAACTTTAGTCAGCAGGGCAGCACAAAACTATCTGTACATCTTTTAACTTGGTCATATATGAGCAGTTTTGGTGGAAAGGCTGTTTTACTATTTTTACGTTCTCAATCATTCAAACCCACCGATGGCTGAAAACCTAGTCTGCATTTGCAGTTGCGTGGAACATAATCGTAAAATTTTGAAGGTAGTTGGCTTGATGTGGTTGATCTTCTTTTCTGGTGACACCTTAAGTGTCTGTCGTGATTCAGCAGCTGCTTCTCTAGCTAAGCTAGTTCATGCACCATATATGCTTTCTATCCCATCGTCCCATGGGAAAAAGTTGACCAATCTTCACTCTTTGACTTCTTCCTTGCCCTTTTTTCTTTATTTGGAAAGCGTGGCCGGTTAACTAAAGCAGCCATATGCAATCAATATATACAATGTACTGTGCATATATGAAAGGGAAATCGAGGATGCCAAGAAGAGAGGCCAAGGAATTCTCCCTCGTTTGGCCCCTCCATTAATAACTTAAGAGAGTTCAGTCTCCTCACGCTTTTACAGGAGTGGACGGGTTAGTGAAATGGAAGTTTTTTTTGATGCTTGAGATGTTTAGAGCTAAAAGTTTTCATTCGCACCAGAGAGTTGGAGCAATGGAGGAGGCGAGGACGAATTCAATCAAACAGATTATGTATGGTAAATTTCTTTCTTTAACAATTTGGCAGGACGACAAATGATATATGATCCGTACTTTGAAATGTCTTATTAACTTTGAATTATTGGGATAGAATTGGTAATTGACATGATATTCGGAGTTTTTAACAAATAAGTTTCCGATTTAAATTTTCATGATCTCTACTAGTTTTTAGTTTATTTATTAGACACAAAACATATGGTGTGTTTCTGAAAAACTTCAAACTCATAAGTTGGCTGTCATTTGTATGGATATTTAAGACAATGATATAGAATCAATAACTGGACCTATCCGATGGAGGTACAAATAAGTGTAAATTTTGTACTATACTATCAGGAACGCTGAAAAAACACGAGCCTTTTTAATATGTTGAAGAATTTATCTATGACGATTGTAATGCCTTCTTCTCCCATCATGTGATGACACATTTTTTAACTTCATCTTGGGGTATATATGATTTGAGATTGAAGGGCAAGTAGATGTGGAATCATGGGAGGTTTCTGATAGAATAAGATACTGATGATAGTGTTCTTGTTGTGTGTTGGCTGCTAATTAACTTTTGAAGATATTGCTCTCCAAAAGCAAAAGCAGAGGAACTCTGCTCATGTGCATGGGTAGAATAAGAATCCTATGGAATAACATCTAAACGATTACGATGATGTTTGTACTTGCACCATCACATTGATCACCTGTTACTCTCATTGCCTTTTTCTCTCTGGAATATTGTCTACAAACTTCTCAAGATTTAATTTTAACTCTATGAGTTGGGGTAATTGATCCAAATTAAATGGTCACACAGGTTTGATCAAATAATAAAATGGTAACAAACGTTTAAAACGTAACAAAAAAAGTCACACAAGTATCATGTACGTTGTAGCAAAATAGCTATTTCATGTATTTTCATCCATATTTCCATCCAAAGTGGTCAGTTTGCTTGCTCTAAATAAGAGGTAATTTCATAGGTTGGTTAGGTGGTTGACAATTTGTTATCGGTTTTGCACTATGTCATCAAACTAATCGGTTATTTTGGATGAAAATATGGCTAAAAAGAGATGAAATGAGTGTTTTGTTATATCATGATACGTTTAAGACTAGTTTATTAATGAATCGAACTCGATCGAGTCAAACACGACATGTAACCCGTAATATTTCAAAACTAGTTTATCACAGTGTAGAGGAGCCTATGTAACTGTAATATATACTGTAATTCCAACATTAGACTTCTTCGTAAAAATACCGCTTATTTTTTTTTCTATCTAACTTGAATATTGTTCTTGTGAGTTCATTAATGAATCGAATTCGATCGAGTCAAACACGAGCCAAAGTTTTCAGTAAATGAACCCTATATATCAAACTCGAATCATTCGTTAACGAGCCAGATACAAACTAGCTCGACGCTTTTTCCTCACTAACTTCCTTTTCATTTGGAGAGAAATTTTTGTCGCTGTACTGTTAAAGATCATGGATTGACGAAGCTCATTGAACTAATTACACAGATTTCGCTTCTCTAACGTAACTGATCCAGTAGTGCTTTGAATGTCGAAGTCAATCACCACATGACCAGTAATAGTATTGTTTCATGCATCTAGCTAGCTACCTTGTATTAATGTTTGTCCTTTGGTACAACCTGGAAGTTAACTTTTCTTGTCCGTTAGTCATGCCCAACATTTCCTGAGGTTATCAATGATTTCCTTGTCAAATTTAAAGCATTTTTATCTTCATTAATCCACGCAACTGCCTCCCCTAGTCAAAATGACCCACATGATGCATAAAACCCTAATTGGTTTCCCTTTAACATGCCTAATTCTATCTTTCAACTAAAATAGTTTGAGATACTTGCTTTGATGCGTCAGTATAACCAGCAATATGAGGAGTGGGTATGGCTGCCGATGGACCGGACTTCACCCCTGCACTCCATACAGCACTCGGCTCCGTTGGGGAAGATCGACTTGTTTGTATGTGGGATGGGGCAACTAGGGCCGGGGGGGGGGGGGGGGGGGTCTCATTCGGCAGACGAGATTGTTATTATAACGACAACTAGGGTTGTCTTTATGGCTACTGGGTTACAGTTCCCGGTTATTGATGGCCCTATGGTGATGGAATTGCTGGTGCTCCGCGAAGCTATTGTTTGGTGCCTGGGTCGAGGTATGAGATAAGTTTGAGGAATATGCAAAGGTCATCATTGATAAAAATCAATCAAGCGCATACTAGTGATAGTCGGATGAGTGCTATTCTTGCTGAAGTTGTGCATCACTTTGCTGTTCGCTCGTTTCTTTGATTTACAGACCTGGCTGATTTCCAGGATATAACTATCCATTGTTTCAATCAATGTATGATTATCTTTTGTAAAAAAAAAAAAAAAAAATAGGTCCAATTCTAAGCTAATATGTTGCTAACAACGGTGTTAGATGTCGATCTGGATTGGCTATATCTTCGGTCAATATGTGGATCATATGTTCAACAAATATTGAACCTAAGTTTTGGAAGGATTCATAGAGAAGTATCCTACCACTTCCATAGCCATTTCAATCCGAGCAAACACATTAAAATTTTAGGTCAAATATCTATTTTGATGATCGAGATTTATCGACAAGTATCGCGTCATAATTTTTTTTTATAGTGGACCCAACATATAGCATTGTTATATTTTGTAATGAAGTGGTAATTATTAAACTTTGAACAATCCAATCCTCAGTTCAATGATAAGGTATATAATAGTGTTTTAATGAAAGGATTGACAAGTCGCATGCATTATCATCTTACAATTTTCTTTTTCTTTCCCTTGTTTCCTAATTCTGACTTTGGACTAGAATTCCTTTTGGGATTTTGCATAAATATCATTGTTCCTGCAGATTAATAGTGCCAAAATGTGCGCATATGATATAGGCCTCTCCCACCGCCAATGTTTTTTTTCCTTTGAGATGTGATATGTGGATGAACTTGGCACCTATATTATGCAAGTCATTTCCTTTCGAAAGAGGCTAGCTAGCTACCAATTCTATAGCACTCTAGTTTAGGCGGTGTGGTGGCTAAAGAAATTCCCCAATAACTTGGGGCCTTGACCAATGAAAAAGACTTTAGATGTCCTATTGAATGAGTAAATGTCATCACCATGTTTATACTTTGTAGCCATTTGATTTGTTATCATACAATTGTGAGGCATGTGTGATGTAAGAAAACATATGCTACGCGACTTGAGAGAAATTCGAAACGAGAAGTAAAAGTGAACCGAGAGGGTTTGAGACATAAGCAGAGAAAAAAGCGAGTATGAGATAAAGAATAAATTAGGCACATTTGAGAGAACATATAGCCGATTGAGATATGAAAGACACATAACTAGTATCTTACTTCTGCGATAAATTGATCGACTGGTTAAAGTACAATTTATAGTGTAAATCAAAACCCTGATAGTCCTGTACATAATATAAGGTACTAAAACACTTCTAACCTACTCGGTCCATAAATAATACGAGTGACAACTGAAATTGACTTCAATCGAAAATAATAATAATATCAAGAGTGGGGTAAGAAATGTTTTGGGACTACATTCACCCAATCTCATCCCTCCACCTTTCTCTTCATCTCTCTCAAAGTCTTTTCATCAAACACTTTGGTGTCCTATGAGATTTGGTAGATGTGACAACACTTCTGTTTTCAATCCTATGTGTTATCACTTCTGTCCATCATTCCTTTCAATTCACAACCAACGCAACCATCTCTTCCTTTTTCTGTTAGTACTTAGTACATATCGGAATATGGAGGCCGAGGACAAAAATGAGGTTTAGTTGAATTAATACTTGAAAAAGCAAAATTCCAACCTACTTAACCTTCGATTAGACAAAGAATAAGTATGAGCTTTTAGAAGTGTGACCCTTTTTACAAAGAATCTATGATGAGGACTTTTTGGATTAGGGGTTCCTAAGTGAGTTGATTTAGATTTAGACTTTTATTAGGGTGGATGCTAAATAATTTTTCATCACTAAAAAGTTTGTGAAATGGACATATGGATATTTTATTTATAATTAATTAGTTGGAGAGAAAGGGATCCACATTTTTTAGTATAGAAGTCTCTAACCCAAGGGAAGACGAAACAGGAAAAAAGCATGGCCAAACAAACACAGACACCAACCAAATACCAACGCAATTAGGGTAATTAGGGTTGATGAGAAGGAGATATGATAATTAAATAATATTATCCCTTAATGAAAATTGTAGAATAGTACGTATATCACCATCTAACAGGACTCTAATCAAGATTATGACTAGCTAGCTAGAGTACAGTGAGGGGCTTAATTAATTTCCTTTTAAGACAATTAACAAAAGATCCTCAGCAGCTAATTAAAGTACATCTCCCCTCTCATCCTATCAACCCTTCAACTAACTAGCTAGCTAGCTAGCTAGACGCCCCTGTACTGCCACGTGTCATCCAAGTTCCAGAGAGTATCTGACACGTCATAGCTATACCCCACCCAGTTGCTGTCGTCACCTCCCACCTGGCACAATTCATGATCAGCTGTCGACTGTGAAGCTGAAGCAGCTGCCGCCATCAATGGATCCACCATCGATATCTCTTCATAGTACTGATCATGATAGTTTGTTCCATCTCCCAGAATCATGTTCCAGTTGTTGCAGTTTTCCATGGAGAATCCGACATATTCCGATTCAAGAATCTTTCCCGCCTCAGGGTTTTGCTGGTACGACATCGTTGTGGAGTCCGTGGAAAGGGCGGCCGTCGTCATCATGAGACCATTGACCGAAGTCGAGTTTGAGAAGTGGGTTTCCTCTTTTAATGGGTAATTAGAATAAGGATTAGAGATGAGTTGCTGATCATCATCATTAAAATGGGTGTGATCTGCTGCAGACGGTGACAGAGAACCAGATTCAACTGCAGCCACCTGATGATGCAGATTCTGATCTGCAGGCATAGTACTTGAAGTTGGAAGTTGACCATCGGATGATGACGAAAAAGTTTGCTGCTGTTCAACTTTCTGAAGCAGACGTGGCATCCAGTAACACCTCACGGCGTCGAGGAACCTTTTGCTGTTGGATTCGATGTTGAGCTGCCTTGCCTGCCTCTGCACTCGCGTCCTCCAGTAGTTCTTGATCTCGTTGTCCGTTCTTCCAGGCAGATGTTGTGCTATTCGTGACCACCTAATAAAAAAAATTTAATCACTAATTAATTACGACCCAAAACTTCCCAAAATGTACATATAGTACTCTAATATTCCAAACAAGAGAATTTTTTTTTTACCTGTTACCCCACTTGGAATGAAGTTCTAGGATGAGGAGCTGCTCTTTGGGAGTCAGATTCCCTCTCTTAATATCTGGCTTCAAGTAATTCAGCCATCTCAGCCTGCAACTCTTGCCAGTTCTTTTCAGTCCTGCCATCGAGAGAGAAGATAATAGAACACCATAAGGTAAAAAATCAGCTTTTGCGACCAAGAATACGGTTGCTAAAAAGTTGAAACTCGTTGCAAGAAGTTCTGGCACCCCCATCCTGTTTACTTTTGACGACAACATTGGTCGCTAAAAGCTCTATTCTTTGCAGGGATAAATGAAATCAACACGGAGAGAAAAAAAAGGAAGAGAGAAGGAAGGGGATGTCGAGATAACGTTACCAGCACATTTGGCGAGCATGTTCCAGCGGCCTTCGCCATGCCTGGCAATGTAATGAGAGAGGAGGGTGTCTTCCTCCAGTGTCCAAGGCCCTCTTCTCAGCTCATGATCATCATTGTGACTAATTCCCACTTCAGTGCCGCCATTGCTGCTGCAGATCGTCCCGTTATAACCTGCAGCAACTCCGTAAGGGAGATTTACAAGCGGTGCTCTCATTTCATGCGTGGGGATGGATGGGAGTATAGTGAAAACAAAGAAGTTTGGTGGAGAGGGCAGAGGTTTATATAGATGAAATCCAACAAGTGTACAGTATAAGGGCGATCTAGTTATTATGCTGGAGAGGTTAAGTGGCTTAGAGCAAATAGTGGGTTGTACTTAGATATTCTCTATTCCCCACATGCTCTTTTCTCTTTTTTTCTTTCACATTAATTTCTATCCAAATTGAATAAAAGAACCTTTTTTTATGCCTTTTTTTCGATCCCCTTGTTATTGCAATGTATATAGAACATTAATGGTGTTAGTCATCACCTTAGCGAATACATGATCAAATTGGGAGTGGTAGTTAATAGGTTCAAAGGGTATCCTAAACTTATAATAGGCCATGTTCCTGCGTCCATGGGTTAGGCTAAAGTAATATAATTTTTTTTATCGTTGATGATTCTCGTCTGTCTGCTGATCACAAAATCGATTTAAAAATTAGAGTTTTGTAATTTAAAAACTCAAGTATTTGTCGAGAATTTGAGGCATTATGGATTTGTAATAATTTTTTTGTTTGTTGAGATGTTTTATCATGGATTTAGAGGTTTGAGATTTAGAACTTAAATTCCAAAATTACTTTACTATGCTTTATTTGTTTGTCATGTTTATGATATGACCATAAAAGCACAATAAGTACTAATAAGTATAATGTTGCCATTGACACTGCCACAAGAACAATAATAATAATAATAAACGAGGAAATCTCGTTTATTTTTTAAGGTAACATATATCAATTATCAATTCCTTGTCCTCTTCTCCAAAAGTAACATATAACAACATATATTAGAACCAGGAGAACAAAGAATTACACGTTCCACTTCCATGAAAGGGGAAAAGGAAACTAGAACACAAGAAATGACATAAAATCTAACTCATGTTTGCACATTAATTGAATATTTATATTATTTCTATGTTGTTAATTAATTTATTAATTATAATATACAATAGGTGAATGTGAGGGCAACATTCAAATATTAAAAGTTCATGAGGATATATGGGTAAAATCTCATTATGGATTTATGTTATGTCTCAAATCCCACATCAACATGTGGGATTTACAAGTTCGTGTGGTTCAAGGATTTTAAAAAAAAGTGTAAGCAAACAATAGATTTTGATTAAATTCATGATGATTGAAATTTGGGTACCAAATGTCCAAATCCACAAAGCAAACGATCCCATAATCAATTGTTTGCTCATATTTTCATGTAAGAAAACATCGATCTAGACCTATTCTGTCTAAAATTATATATGGAGATAAATTTGTTATGAGTATCCGCTAATTTCTCTTTAATATATTCTCCAAGCTCATAAAAAATCTTGCGAATTCTTTTGTTATGGGAAGGTTTGGGAGTTGCAGATCCCAGGTTCGAATCCAAGCGAGGCCCGTTGGTGTTCCCCAGGTTTAATAGGACCCGCTGTCACAAAGTGGCATGTGGGGCTGAGATTCCTGAATAATAATAATAAAAAAAATACATGATCATCGTAACAAGAAAGAAAGCAAAATAAGGTATAGTTATTTCTTGTTCACAAATGTTTCCCCCTTCTTTTTAAGTCTGTCATGATTTTGTTAAAAACAAAGTCTGTCATGACAGTTGTTTCTATTGGCATTGTGTTAGTAGCTAGTAAGATAGATGCGTGATTGACCAGAGAAACTATAATGACCTAATTATGAGATAACGTTCAAACAAAACGTGTCCAAAGACCATATAAGTTCAGAGTTTCAACAGTACAAGAAAAAGGAAAGAGACATGTTGGTAGCTATGTTATTAGGGTGGAAATGAGACATGTTGGTAGACTCTCTAACAGTGTCACCGATGGCTATTCCATAATGCATCGGGTTTGGACTTCATTAAAACTAAAGTAAGTGATTTGCTGGCGGATCATTACTTTTTTTTTTCATCCACCAAAAAAATCGGTCTATTTCTAATTTTCCTTTATTCTTTTCCAACGTTCTAATAATTCTTATTGTTGAGAGATATCAAATTATCATAACATTGGAAATTTCAAATACTAGAACTTTTTTTTCTTCCTTCTCATTAAAGACTCTGATAGATTGATACCATATACAAAATTAATTGGTTCCAACAACTCAAGTTGTTGATAGATGTTTAATTATCAATCTTACAACATTTAGTAACACTTATATCATTTTCTTATGTGCCATTTTCAACGAAATTCAGTTCATGGATTTGAAGTTTGCTCTGGGGATTGATACAACGCTATAACTTCATATTTTCATTATCTAAGCTGAAGTAAACTGCAAGTGGCAAACTAATTAGTAAAGAAAAATTAATCAAATAAACTCTTTGAAAAATTCAATGGAAAAAACTATGAAAAAAACACTTACCAGAATTCACTATATAATCTCAATAAATATAATCTTGATTATTAATAACTTCAATCCAAATTGGTACAGCCTACCGCCTGGATACATCTAATGTGATAGCTATTCTTATAGAGAATAACTACGTAGTACCTTACTAATATGACGTCTACTATCGTAGCTAATGGAATCAATTAACTAGCCTTCGATATCTCGATCATGACTGCATAATTTTCTATTTAATCTACCATCGCTCCAGGTTCCTCATATCTTGTGCTTCACGTAATTGTTAATATTAAGAGTTGTGAGAATTCGAATACAGTATCTGTTGATCATTAAAGAATCTAAATACTATGTCAAAAAATATTTAATTATAAACTTGAGTTGTTGGGATGGAAAAATTGCGGAATGAATTTTAGATCATTCATTTACAAGGTTCAATTAGGACGATTTTTCCAGAAGCAAACTAAAGCAAGTGCAAAAATGTTATTTTTTGGTTCTACATGTTTAAATGATCTTTTCGTAACTTTGTCAGCGTGAACAATCATTTAGTAATTTATCAAGCCAAAGTTAAGTGTGTCATTCTTTCATAATTGACCTAAATAATTAACTACCTTGGTTGTTAACTAGCTATGTTGATAGTTTCCTCCTTGTGGAAGTAGGGATGGCAATGGGTCGGGTTGGGTCGGGTTTTGCCAAACCCAAACCCAAATCCATGGGTTTATTCGTGAAAAAAACTCGGGGTAAAACCCACTGGGTTTGAAAAACTCAAACCCAACCCAACCCGCTGGGTATCCCCGGGTTTATGGGTACCCACGGGTTTTTGTCGTAAAAACTTTACAATAACAAGTTTCTATCAAAATTAAAGTCAAATATCAATATGTCAATACAAATTATCCATATATAAAACATCATTAGCAAATCGCAAATTAACTATACAAATTGTTCAACACCAATCTAGAAAACTCAAGAAAATTGAAGCAAATCACAAATTAACCATAAATAACATGATTAATTGAAAGCTTCTTCCTTTCAATTAGGTTTCTTCACTTTCCACTTGATAACATCAACTTCTACTACACAATTAGAATGAAAAAATTAGACATGTCTCCACAAACATAAATAAGATTAGTTGTTTGGAATATTAAATATAGCGAGAAAATTAATTATATGAGTGTGAGCGGGTACCCATGGGTTGGGTTTACCTAAACCCAAACCCAACCCGGTGAATAGTGAACGGGTTTAAACCCAAAGCCGGCCCAAAACCCGTCAACACGGATTTTACTCACGTTGATCGGGTTGGATCGGATGGGTACCCATGGGTTCGGGTTTTGTTGCCATTCCTATGTGGAAGTAGTCTTTCTAAGGATGTCGACAAATCAAAGTTGATCATTTCAAGTACCAATTATATGATTGGAAACATTTTACTTCTGGAACTCATAATTTATTTTCGTGAAAAAAACAACCAAAATGGAAAAGGAAAAGCGATATAAAAGGGAACAAGATACATACGGAGAAGAAGTGGCAAAAGATAGAAATGGGAATGATGCCAATCGTTTCAAGCATCATACATCAATAAACTCCCAATCTTTTTCATTTCAAGTTTTCTTTGGGAAAATTAAAAGAAGTCCCACTTTTGATTTTGCAATGATAAGATGGGTTGGATGTGACGGAACATATTCAATACAAGGACGAGTGACTTGTGTCAGCCACTTCGGTTTCCTTTTCTTATAATTGGCCTGGTTTCATACTCCTTCAGTGTACCGTATTTGTGACGTACGCTAATTTAATGTACGATAAGCTTTACTTGATAGATCCTAAATTATAATTATCTAAACCAAACACTAAGATCAATTCTATAAGAATAATAATCAACAATTCTGATTCGTCGAAATACATTAAAATACAACTAATAAGTGTGAATGCTGACCTTTAACATACTTTTTCCGCAAGAGGCCTTTGCCATCTTACTTTCAATTTTAACCACCTTTATACTCCTATTATTTCAACCTTGAATAATTAAGCAATCAAAGCCATGAGATGAGTAAGGCCATGACATTTTGTCGTATGGCTTCTCTGCGTATCCAACTTGAGGAGAATAGCCAGCCATGAGCCAACTCGTTTTTCTTTCATGCGGTTCTTGTTAAAAAACTTGGTGTTTTCAACGTTTAGAGCTGAACACAATATTTTTAAAACTTCTTTATTTTCATCGATCGTTTGGTCGAAAGAGTTGTTCATTGAGTTGTTCATCCACACCAACAAGATAGAAGAATTAAATAAGGTTGTAATGTTGTATTCTTTTTTGAGAATGAGGACTCGTAAAAGAGAAGTTGCTAGCTAGCTCAATCAATTCTTTTGAGTTGTGGATGCATTCTCCTAGTCAGCAATAAGTGTGGCTGGCTCGAAACAAGCACGATTAATGTTGGTGTGAAAGCTAACCAAAGCAATAAGACAATAATGTTTTGATAATTTTTAGTGTAGGTGTGATATTGTAGAAATTTTTTAGCATTTGAAAAAATTCCTAAAAAATCATCCATTCTGGAAAATTTTCAATTTTAAGACATAACAAAATGGACTAACACGGCCCAGTACCGAAAGTAAAAACACAGGCCCATGGCAAGCCCGTGATTTCGACCCAACTCACAATCGCCACAGTCTGCGCTTTCACTCGCCGCCTGGTTCTTGTCTTCCTCGCATTTACCGCCCTTAGAGCATTCATTCAGCAACCACCGTAATGGAGGAGTCAATTTTTTTGCCTCTAACTAATCGATAAGAAATCGAGATGAGTCTCGTAGTAATCAGCAGCGGTTTCCCGTATCCAGCTTCGTCAATTCATTCCTCCTCCCAAGTCGTAATGCTGTCTCAGGGCGCCCTACCCACCGCGAAGCTGCAGCCGATGTTTCGCCCCTCACACCACATTAGGGCACCGTTTTACCTCCGCCGGCCGCTGCCGTCGTTTCCGTTGCTACTACAGCAGCAGCTCCGGCCGGCCTCGCGTTTGCAGTCACGACCACCGTCCACCGCCACGAGGCGCAGCAGCAGTACTACTACTATCTCGTCAGTTTTTGATTTCAAAGGTGGAAAAGGGTACTTTTTTATATAGAAACCTTCAATTCTGCTTTTTCTTTTGTTACTAGGTTTAGTTTAGATCCACTGTTCGAACTGTTCGATCATATGGGGTTTTCTGTTTTCAATTGACGGTGAAATTCAGCTGATCGTGGGTAATCATTCACAGGATGGCTGGGTTCCATGATCTGGAGCTGAAAGTGAGAGACTACGAGCTGGATCAATATGGAGTTGTCAACAATGCCGTTTATGCTAGTTACTGCCAACATGGTAACTCCAATCCTTTCAGGATTTTCTAGTAATTGTTCATTGATCTGCGGCTTTTTGTGTATGGTGGAAGTATTGCTTAACTGGTGGATTCTTAGCTTAGTTGCCCCTAGATGAGGTTATGGCATTGGTGTTTTCATGACCTGCTAACCTCGAACTTCCAAATAACCGCCTGACCTTGATTGTGCTTACATCGTGATGCCAGGTCGTCATGAACTATTAGAGAGCATTGGTGTAAGTGCAGACGCTGTAGCTCGAACTGGTGATGCATTGGCACTCTCTGAATTGAAACTCAAATTTCTAGCACCTCTAAGGGTAAGTTGGTTGATTTACATTTTACATATTACTCTCTGATTTACTGTTGGATTGGGGATAACCATGCTGAACTTAATGGTACGAAAATCAAATGTGCAATCCTTACATATGAAATGCTGTCAAGGAAACTTGCTCCGGATAAAATAAGATGCTGCAAATGCAAATGAAGCATCTGTTTCTTTCTCAACAAGTCAAATGAAAGTACTTCAATGGCTTTTTCTTACTGGTGGGTTAATTACCAGAGTGGAGAGAGGTTTGTGGTAAGAGTGCGAGTCTCGGACTCTTCTGCTGCCCGGTTATACTTTGAGCACTTCATCTTCAAGTTGCCGAATAACGAGGTGAATTCTCTATCTGCTTTGCCATTTCTGATGTACTCGATTCATCAAACTTTGGCTTGATGGAATGTAAATTTGCAGCCTGTTTTGGAAGCAAACGCCACAGCTGTATGGCTGGATAAGAATTATCGGCCTGTTCGAATTCCTGCAGACGTGAGATCTAAATTCATTCAATTCCTTCGCCATGACGAGTCCAATTGACCCCCTCACTTGTTGCAACGGAGGGGAAGGTGAGAAGGCAGATCACAGAATTTGATTGTTGATACTTCTGGAACTGTATTCTCAATATTGCTGAGAAATGGCCACTTGATTTCTGCCGCTGCTTTCACAAGCCGACTAAGATATAGAGGGTGAAGGCCCTTATTTGTCACTGTTTTTCTACACGAGCCCTATGTTCTGGTCTTTCTGGAAGATTGAAAAATCTTTACAACTGTTGTAATGTGTAAAAATGTGATTCTTGTGTTAAAAATTGGGTTGTTTGGATTGATCATACATATTCATATCTCTGTAGAAATGAATTGTTCTAGTATCTAAAAGCTACCAACTTCCAGCTCTGTCCACAACCAATTTTTTCCTTACGGATACCCCTTTCTCTAGCGAGCTACGCTGCGATGGATCAAGCAATTTTTTCGACGATGGTAAGGGTGGCTTCCTATCCTTGTCTCTAAAAGACCAAACCTTTTCTCTTTTCTGAAATTTCCTTTCAGCTCCGTTCATCAAAATCACCCTTAAAACGTTTCCAGAAGGCTGGATCTTAATTTAATCATGTGACAAAACCCACTTATTCATCATGAAATGTTGTCGGCGGTCCCAAAACGTCTAATGAAGATTATGTGTACCTCCAAAAGCTAGATTGACCTTTCTATCCTCTTCCAGAAGACGGGAGATGATTGATGGTGGTTAGAAACCATAAATAAAGGGTCTTTTAAGCATCTCTTCGTGGGATAAGTCTCGTGATCGGCAGAGAAGTAAAGCGGGAAGCAGAGTGAAAACAGAGGAAAACAGAGACCAGAAATGGAGGGAGGAAGCAAGAAGAAGGTGATGGTGGCGATAGACGAGAGCGAGTTCAGCCACTACGCACTCGAATGGACTCTCACCAATTTGGGAGACACCATCTCCAGCTCTGGTCTTCTCCTCTTCACCGCTCAGCCCCTCGCCGACTTCACCTACCTCCATGCTTCCACTCTCGGTACCACTCGTAAGTTCTCTGAATGATTCAACTTTGATAATTCGACAAGTAATTGCGTTGACTTCCCCTCCCATCTTCCCGATGATCAATTGATTCCACGATGATGCTGTTGTAGCCCCGGAATTGGTCGCCTCGGTACAGGAGAATCAGAAGAAGTTGACTGCGGCTCTGTTGGATAAAGCCAAACAAATTTGCTCTGCCCATGGGGTAACGCTAACTAACAAATCTTTTCCTTTTCTTTCTTCCTATTACTCGATGTGATGCGATCGTGTTATTCAATCAATTTCAGGTTGAAGCAGAGACTGAAACGGAGGTTGGAGATCCGAAAGAAGTGATATGTGAAGCGGCGGAGAAGCATGGTGTCAAATTGCTTGTGCTGGGAAGCCATAGCAGGGGACCTATTCAGAGGTAAGTTCTCTTATGGGATTGTTATTATTCGCAGTGTGTTTTGTGCTGCGTGGTTGGGTTTTGTAGTAATGGTGGATCTGTGGTGATTGGTGGGCTTGGCAGGGCGTTCCTGGGAAGCGTTAGCAACTACTGTGTGCACAATGCGAAATGCCCTGTTCTTGTTGTCAAGAAGCCATCTCCGTAATTGATCCAGCTTGATCTGGGTTTCCTGCAGATTGTTGATGAAGGCTGTGAGACTGTAATGTGCATTGGGATGTATAATGATAATTCGAATTGCCTTATGGTGCGTTGCATAGTTGTCTCCGTAGAGACGAAATAATCAGCAGGTGAGTTGGGTTCTGGACTCCTGGATAGGGTAGCTCCCTGGTACTCTGATACATTCTGTATTTATTATTTGACTATGAAAGCCAAAGAATAAAGAGGCGTGTACGTTTTGAAATTTTCATGTGTATAATAATATTTTGAAGCGTGATTCTATGTAAAAGCGATTGGGTGATTTAGAAGTTTAAAAATATAATTTTTTAAACTTTAAAACATATATTTTGATTACAATTGTAAGGAAAAAGTGTGATTCTATGTAAAAGTGTCTAGGTAACCTAAAAGTATAAAAGTGTGAGATTTTGAATTTGAAACGCGATTTTATGGGCATTGTTTTCAAGTGTTCTCTTTCTAGTGGTGAAATATAAACCAGAATATGCAGAAATGCAAAACGGGAAGAAAATTGTTTGGTCTGCGGCGGAGGCTTGGTTAGGTGCTGATTGTTGAGTGAAAGAGTAGAACGTGTTTTGGGATGGGCTTAGGGTGGGCATCGGTCGATTCGGTTCAAGACTGGACCAAACTATCCTCGAATCGTACCAAAATTTCTTCTAAATCAAGGACCAAAATCGAATCATTATTACTTCGATTCGGTTTGGATCAAACCATATATGGCTCGATTCGGTCTGGACGATCCCATTGGACCGACTAATCTTTCATTCGAATAAAATTACTCTTAAAGGACAACACAAGAATTAAAAAAATGTAACTACATGAAAAAAAGTAATCAAATTATTTCAGTTTAAATACTCCTCAATTCTTAAAAATCACATGTTCCAAAATATTACGCAAAAAGCTAGACGAGAACTACTTAACTAACTAAAAGACAAAAATCTTTTTATTCAATCTCAAAGGTAGTCTAACTAATTGCCTCTCTAATCTTCAATTTTCATTTTCATAGTGCACGTTGGACCGCCCAATCTCTAGAATTTCCACTATTCATTAGAAACCCTATCTTCTGCAATATAAGCACTTGATATAAGGCATTAGAAAGGAGTTTAACAAAGTGACACTTACTCCAAGAACTAATGCAATAAAACAAATGGTTTTTAACCTTGCTAATTTGCAGGGGTGTTGTCAGACTTGGCAGAAGCCTCTCTGGTGTCAATTATTCGCATCTTCTCACAGTGTGTAGGTAAAGTAAGCAACCTCTTGATCGAAGCAACGCAGATGAGAGCTCTGATTTGAGGGTAGGACTATAGGAGCGGGAGCGGCGAGTCAAAATCAGGGAAAGTCAATCATATTTATAGGTAGTTAAGTCATAAGTGTTGTGTAGGGTACTAGGGGTTTCAACTCCAAGTCGACTTGCCTTCTCAGAGCCTAATAAAATAGGCAATTAATTTAATTACGATTCGGTTCGGTCCTTAGCTTGATTTTACGGTTTCGATCTGGACCGAACCAAAACCGAAAATGTCCCAAACTCAGGAACCAAAGTCGAATAGAAAGATAAACAGTTCGATTTGATTCGGTGTGACACTCGATTCGGTCCAATGTGAATCGAATCGTTGCCCACCCCTAGATGGGCCTATGCGGCAGCTAACTTCAATACATTCACCATACTGTTAGCAAGAGAGGATTGTACTTAAACTATTTCCTATTGCTACAATCGTTCATCAATTTAAGTTCGTTACGTGTTATTTTCGATATAATCGTCTGGTCCGATATAGCTAAAGTTGTTTATCAATTTGAGTATGATATTTGTTGTTTCCGGTACGATCGACCGGTAGAGTAGGGTTTATTAAACATCTTTATATTTAAAATAATTAAAACACCTTCTGATTTCCACTCTATCCACGTCAGCCCTTTTGCAAATACAACAATCCACATCAGAACCTAGTCTCTTGCATGTTCTTAACCAACAGTCTTCTATTTGCTGCCATATATGTGGTTTGTGTGGGTTACTACAAACTCCTGGCCAGCGGGAGAATCCGAAACCTGTGTGTGTAAGTGTGACGCAGTCGGAAAACCTTGAGACTCGCAAACACTCGTCTCCAGTTAACAAAGCAAGCTTGCAAGCGCAAACTTGGAAGAAAAGCTTTCGGAATCCACAGAGAATGACGACCCTTAGGGTTGATTAATCAAAAGGATGAAGTGTGTAACCCAAACATACACAAGGCCTTTAAATAGCCAAAACCAAAAGTGTCTAGAAAAAGCGATACGTAAACAACAAATTAAGGGGTGGTTTGGAAGTTGTAATTATTAGAGTTGTGTTTGTTGAATATATGTATTGTGCACAATACAATGTTCTTGGACGTGCCAAAATGTAAAACAATGCATAGGTAGGTCCCACCAACAATCACAAAAAATGATGCATTATACAATCTCAACTAAAAGTTGTGATTGTTATTTTTAGATTTGTGTCAACATTTTCTTTTCATTTATATCCCTAATAGTTTTTTTCGTATACTAAAAGTTGAGGGTAAATATGACATTTCCCTATAAAAGTAATTTTTATGTAAATCAATGCATAAAGTAGAATCTCAACAACCAAACAATGTATTGTTAAAATGCATCCATTGTATCAATACATGCATTTATATTATGGTGATTCATTACAATGCAACGATTTAACATTCACAAATTCCAAACGATTCCTAAATAAACAATCTTTCTCCTTCTTGTGTGCGGACCATGCGACCTTCACCTCTACGTAAACTGCTCGACGACCCCCGCCAGCTCCCTCTCGACCCGAACATCTTCCCTTCTCTTGTCTTCAAGCTCATTTCCTGCATCAGTCTCCACCACCCATGAAGAACTCGACCACGAGTTCATATCGGGACAAAGCACATCATCCTCATGAAACTCATAAATGTCAGCGACATTAAAAGTGTTGGAGATATTCCTAGTATGCGGTAATTCAATGACATAGGCATTGTCGTTGATGCGCTTGAGCACCTTGAAAGGACCATACTTGCGAGGCTGCAGCTTAGAATAAGAGCCAACAGGAAACCACTCTTTCCGCAAAAAAAAAACCCATCACTTCATCTCCTGCCACAAATACCTTGGAACGTGATACGTGTTAGCAACAACCTTATTCTTTTGATCGGTGGCCTCGAGCATGACCTTAACAGCATCCTTGACGGTCATAACATCACGCGCCATATGTTCAGCAACTGAACTCACACCAGGGACTTTGGGAAGAGCCATGAGAAAATCGACGTGTCAGGCGCGGTGTAGTGTAAACAATAGGAAAAGGAGACTTTCCCGTTGCGGAATGCACCGCGCTATTATAGGCGAACTCAACCTGGGGCTGGGCCAGATCACACTGCTTGGGTTTATCTCCACAAACGCTGCGAATCATGTTACCCAGTGTCCGGTTAGTGACTTCGGTTTGGCCATCAGTTTGCAGATGAGTCGTAGAGCTGCGGTTTAAGGTGGTGCCAAACATACGCCACAACGTAAGCCAAAAGTAGCTAAGAAACTTAGTATCACGGTCAGAGGTGATAGATTTGAGAACCCCATGTAGTCGAACAACTTCTTTGAAGAATAGTTTGACGATATTGGACGCATCAGCTGTCTTCTTCAACTGAAGAAGAGTAAGAGTGGTTGTTTGGTTGACGTCAAAAGTTTATACGGTAAGGGAGAAGGATAAAAAATACGTTTGAGTAACGGTAATGACGAACGATCGAGCCTTCCGTTGCTCAGCCACACTGTTGGTATGGGCATTCAATTTTGCTAGGGCTGGTTATTAGGTCCGGTTTTTTTGGTTTTACCCGAAACCGGACCGTATAACCCAGACCAGGACCGGATAGTAAACAATCCAATCCAATCCAATTTTTGGGCTTAGATTCGAGGTAGAAAACCGTTCGGGACCGGATTGAAAACTGGATAAAGACCGGATAAGAGAGCTCAACACCCAAAACTTAAGGGTAATTTGCATAAACGGTCAAAAATCTTTGCACTTAGTACAAAACTTAACCAAGTCCTTACCCTTTCAGGCCTTAGACCACTCAAACCCCCACAAGCTCAATATAAAATCAAGACCGAGTTGGGACCGGACCTGGTCAAGACCGGACTGTATCCAATCCAATCTTTGGTCCTTATATTTTAAAAATCTCAGACTGGACCGGATCAATTTGGGTCAATTTAACCGAAACGGACCGTATAGCCACCTCAAATTCTGCATTGGAGTATCTTCAAGTTACGATTATTAAATACTGAATGGAAAAGTTCATTGGAATCCAAATTTGAATTTGCTGCTTCCGTGTTTCCATGGTTCTCACAGTAACTCAATACTGAAATTATTGGGTCACGAGGGTTCCTGATGAAATTGGAGTGTGATTCGGTTCGTTATACTAGTAGAAAGTAGAACTAAATGAACTTGGCCTGAGATTTTAGCAACCAAATCATTTAGAAATATTTTTACAACCATATATTATTATGTCTATTATATTCAAAATACGTAGTTTCTTGTAATGCTTTTTAAAAAATATTAATTCGGGTACAAATATTATGATCACAATCAATTATAAGGATTAATTGTTTGAATTATGGTCTAATAATTAAGAAAACACATTTGCTTTGCGTCTAGGCACTGGACGAAGACAAAATTCATCATGTAGGCCGTAACCAGCAAATAAGGCGCTAATAACTTGGAGTGTCTATACGGTCCGGTCCGGTTAAATTGGCCCAAATTGATCCGGTCCAGTCCGGTCTTTTTGAAAATATAAGGACCAAAGATTGGATACAGTCCGGTCTTGACCCGGTCCGGTCCTAACTCTGTCTTGATTTGATATTGAACTTGTGGGAATTTGAGTGGCCTAAGACCTGAAAGGGTGATGAGTTGGTTAAGTTTTGTACTAAGTGCAACGGTTTGTGACCGTTTATGCAAATTACCCTTAAGTTTTGGGTGTTGAGCTCTCTTATCCGGTCTTTATCCATTTTTCGATCCGGTCCCGAACGATTTTTTACTTCAAATCTAAGATCAAAGATTGGATTGGATTGTTTACTATCCGGTCCCGATCCGAGTTATACGGTCCAGTTTTGAGTAAAACCAAAAAATCCGAACCAAAAAACCAACCCTACTCATAACGCCAAGGCAGAGATAAGTGGTATCGTGATTAAGTGTTGTGAGACACAATTAGGAAATAGGAGGCGTTGCTTATGCCATGCGCGACTATTGGACCAAGGGAAGAAAAACGGTAGCTACCTTCCCCAAAACTATTTCATCTCAAATTAACATCAATGTGTCCTTCGACCCTTCTCTCAATTTGGAATTACAATCGCGACTCTAGGTTAGAAAGTTGCTTCTCCAGGTCGTCCATTATTTTCTATCGACCATCTACACTGCTTCTCTTCAATGCCGTCGACTAGGTAGCAGCCATAAGTCCACGACTTCCTCATTGCTTGATCTCTTCAACATGCCCTCTACCTTACCGCTCTTTGTCATCGCCGACTACCAGCACCTCGTAGCCACAAGCCCACAAGTTTTCATTGTCACTCCATTATCTTTTGACCTAACTCCTAATTCAGCACATTCTAAATCATTATTCTTCTCCTCTTTGACAATATCAACTTTGCTTTTACTAATTTTGGACATATTTTGATTCACCACTTTCTATGAACTTGTGATTCTAAAAAAATCATGACATGTTTTGTTTGTTATCAAGGGTTATCTAATTTATACCTAAGAACAAAATTGCTGTAAACGATCATCGTGGAAACACGATCATCGATTGATTGGAATCTCTTACGGGATAATTCGGATGGTTTGGCCGACGAGTCCTCAATTGGCAATCGGGTAGGCAATATCCTTTTGGTTCTTGTACTATGGAGCTTGGCTTGTCTTGCGATGAGTTATTTTGCTAGCTCTTTGTCTTGCATGTGAGCTGAGAGTATCGATAATCATTGGATCAAGGTGCTCTCATATGCTCAAGTTAGATATAACAAATATTGGTCTGCTTTGGTTCGATTTAGGCGTTGGTACTCTACTTCGTCAGCGTTTTATTTTGGTGGGATCCCCTTTCGGCTTTGGACTTGAAAATCCCACCTCTTTAGGTGGGAATAGATCACGGACTTTTGAAGGTCATCATTTTTTACCAACTTACCCCTTATATTTTCTCTTTTCTTATATCATTGAGGTCAATAAAGGTAAATTATACTTCATATTTACAAATTTAATTAACAAAATCCATCATGAAATATATCAAACAAACAATGGTGTTTATCATATCCATAATAAACCCAAAACCCTCATATATTCATGATTTTTCAAAACCCAAATTATATCAAAACCTTCTTTTTTTCAAATTCACGAAGCAAATGATTCCTAGATTACTATCCAAATAGTGCACCGAAAAAAATAAGAGAATTTTTTTTTAATGTTTAACAATGTAAGTATTCATCTAACTTATTTTGTACGATAGTCTCTTGAGAAGATATACAAAATCAAATTTGTGTGGAATTTAGATCAAAGCAGGCATATATGCATGTAGTGTTCTTCTCTTATCTCAATAATAGCTATCATAAAATATGATTTGGATTTTTTTTGTTTTTTTTTTATGAATATGATTTGGAAATTCTTATTCAAGATGTCGACCATAATTATCGGATTAGAAGTCTAACGAAATAAGATGATAACTAATATATATACTCCATCTAGTCGTAATGGAAGTCCAAATCGGAGGAGAAGGACCAAGAGTAGACGGTGTGAGATTGGTACCTCCACGCTGTCGAAGCAGAGAACCCAAACACGGCCCACTCCGTCAAGTAATTCCTCAAATCCACCTCATAACACACTATCTATAGGAACGTCCGTCAGGTTCTCCGTCACTCCCGTGAAAAGAGCGCACAGGTTCCCGCCGTCGTACGACACCTGCGCCCACATCAGCGTCCCATCCACGTAGCTCTTCCACCTCTTGCTGACGACCGAACGCATGGAGCCGACGTCAATGCCCACGTGGCTCTCGTTTCTCCACGTGTCCCACGCGTTGTCGTAGGTGTCGAACTCCACAGCGACGAACGGGTTGTCTGCCGCCGTGGCGTTGTTAGAGCATATGAGGCCCTAGCCATTGGCCCATGTCCATGCAGAACCGAGTTTACCCATTGGGCCGTGGTGTACGTAGGGTTTAGGTTGGAGAGTAGGGTTTTCTCCTAACCTAGGCAGTATATATATTGCAAAGTTGTAACATGAGACGTTAAGCAATTACAGAAGCTAGCTCGGAGAGTGTTAAACATCTCCCGTGGATTAGTCCTGAATATTTCAGGGATACCACGTAAATCTGTGTCTCATTGCATTTACGTTTCCATATCGATATGTCTAACATGGTATCAGAGCCATCTACCGGCGATTCTGATCGCCTCGGTGTTCGTCTTGATTCGAAGAACTATGCGGTGTGGGAGTTTCAATTCCGCATCTTTGTTGAAGGCAAGGGTCTTCTACCGATCCTTGAAGGAACCTCTCCACAGCCGATCGTCCCACCTGCTACTGAGCAGGCTCTGGAGCGCTGGACTATGAATAATGCTCGGGTGAAAACCTGGCTTCTGGGCTCGATCGACCCTTCCATCGTGCTGGGTCTCCGTTTGTTCACTACCGCAGCTGAGATGTGGTCACACCTCCGCGCAACGTACACGACGTCAAATACTGCTCGCGAGTTTGAGATTGAAACTGAATTGGCGGCTTTAAAACAAGGCGACATGGATATAGCCACCTATTACAATCGATCAGTCCAGCTTTGGACGGAGGAAGACCTCCTGTCAACATCCCTGCGATCTGCTGCTCTTTCTGAAGACGTCCGCGCAGAACGAAACCAATCCCGGTTGCTTCGGTTTCTGATGAAATTAAGGCCAGAGTTTGAATCTGTCCGATCCTCCCTGCTCAACCGTGATGACCTCAAGTTTGAGGGGGTTGTCGGGCGCCTCCTGCAAGAAGAAACCCGGCTTCGGACCCAAGAAAAGCTCGATATCCGCCCTGGCGCCAGTGAGGCGGTGTTTTCCGCTGAAGCCCGCGCTGCCGATGACATCACCGCCTATGCTGCAACGCGTCCTCAATTTCAGCAGAGGACCACGGAGCTGACTTGTAGCTTCTGCGAAGAGAAAGGGCATGTGCAAAAGCTCTGCAAGAAACGCAATATTTGCGTCTATTGTAAACGATCCGGCCATATAATTAGTGAGTGCCGAACTCTGCAGCGTCGCCAACAATATGTCGCACAACCGGGTCGCACGGGGTCAACTTCTTCTCGTCCTGCCCAGGCCGCCTATGCTGTCCAGCAGGTTGATACCGCCGCTTCTCCAATCTCTGTCGATGCTGTCGAGAAGCTCGTTCAATCCGCCCTTCAGAAGTCACTTCCAGGCGCCATTAATACCGCCTTTGCAGCCCTCCAAGTCTCAGGTAAAGCTAAACCTTGGCTCCTAGACTCGGCTTGTTTTAATCACATGACAAGTGATCCTTTATCTTTACGCAATGTTCGACCGGTTAACAATCTTCGACTTCAAGTGGCCAACGGGGAACATATTTCAGTTACAGGTGTTGGGTTGGTTTCCCAGCCGCGGGTTCAATTGAATGATGTGATGCATGTCCCGAAACTTACTCCTAATCTTGTTTCGGTGGGCCAGTTAATTGATGATAACTGCTCGGTTTTGTTCGCACCCTCCGGGTGTTTTGTGCAGGATCTGACGACGGGGAGGCTGATCGGAAGAGGGAGTAAGAAGGGTCGCACCTTTACATTAGAGGAGCTCTCGAGTCGAGGATGTCTCTCTCCTTCTGAGTCTTTACCGTTACCCCAGGTGTCTAGCGTGTCTCGTCCTATGTCATTCTCGAGTACTCCTGTTGTTTTTTCTAGTCAGTCGGATAATTCTTGGACCCTTTGGCATAATCGGTTAGGTCATCCCAATTCCAGTCGTTTACAGTTCATGTTTAAACAGCAGTTGCTTGGTAATAAATCAGTTGTTTGCTCATCTAAATTGCCCTGCTCTAGTTGTGTTGAGGCAAAGGTCAAAAGTATATCATTTCCATCCAGTAGCACAGTCATCACAGAACCATTTCATTTGATCCACACTGATTTATGGGGCCCTTCTCCCATAACGTCACGAAATGGCTACAAGTACTTTGCTCTTTTTATTGACCATGCTACACGTTACACGTGGGTCTATTTCCTCCACCTCAAGTCTGACTTATATGAGGTTGCTACTGAGTTCTTGACCATGATTAGAACCCAATTTGGCAAAAATGTGAAAATCATTAGATCCGATCCCGGCGGAGAGTTTAGCTCAAACCCTTTGCTTGCATACTACAAGGCGCATGGTATTCTGTGTCAAAAGTCCTACCCTGGTGTATCGCAACAGAATGGCGTCGTGGAGAGAAAAAATCGCCATTCTGTTGAGCTGACACGAGCTCTCCTTCTTGCTTCTTCTGTCCCTACTCGATTTTGGCCAGAGGCGGTTTCTACTGCCATTCGATTGATCAATTACCAAGTAACTCCTGTTTTAAACAACCAGAGTCCACATTTTGCTCTTTATGGCAACCATCCTGACTACTCCCGTCTCCGTGTGTTCGGGTGTCTGTGTTTTGTTCTCCTTCCCCGTCGTGAGCGTCATAAACTCTCTTCGAAAACTGTTCGTTGTGCTTTCCTTGGCTACAGTGACATTCATAAGGGTTATTTGTGCTATGACCCCTCCCTAGGTCGTATTCGTATAGCGTGTCATGTTGTCTTTTTCGAAAATGTCATGTTTTATGAGTCCTCCTCTTCCGAGTCAGTTTCCTTACTGTTTTCCTCGACTCATTTGCCCTCTTTTGGTGATGACATTGACTATGATGGTGCTGAACTCCCTCCCGATATGCCTCCCCCCTCACCGACCTCGACACTACCGATGGACTCGGCTCCACCCTCGCCGACCAGTTCCAGCTCATCATCCACGCTGCCCACTGTGTCCTCCCCAGCGGTGACTGCGTCGGCCAGCTCGTCTTCAGCGCCCGGGTCTGCTTCTCCGTCCAGCTCCGCGACGTCCCACCAGCCTCCACCTGCTGCTACTCGCCATTCACGCCGGGCTAATTTTGGCCAGCCGCCAGCTCGCTTTGGTGACTTTGTGGCCCATGCTGTCGCCTTCATTCCCATACCTACGAGGTATTCTCAGGCCAAGGGTAACCCGGACTGGGACAATGCCATGACTGAGGAGTTTAATGCCCTTGATGCCAATCATACTTGGACGATTGTTGATCGTCCCCCGCCAGGTGTCCCCGTTGTTGGCTGTCGATGGTTATATAATCTCAAGTTCCACCCAGATGGCAGCCTTGAACGCCATAAGGCTCGGGTTGTGGCACAGGGATTCACACAGGAGTATGGGATCGATTTCGATGAGACATTTGCACCGGTGGCCAAGATGCAGACCGTTCGAACCTTGCTTGCAGTTGCTGCTCTCCGCAATTGGCCGCTTTATCAGCTCGACATTAAAAATGCGTTCCTTCACGGGGACTTGAAGGAGGTTGTTTACATGGAGATTCCTCCCGGTTATCCCAGCGGCTCCCCCGATCAGGTCTGTCTTCTTCATCGCTCCCTGTATGGCTTGAAGCAAGCTCCTCGAGCTTGGTTCGAGAAATTTCAGTATACCATTCTGAGCTTCGGATTCCAGCAGAGTCAAAATGATCCATCCTTATTCACTCAGTCCACTTCTCGTGGTCGTGTTGTCTTGCTGATTTACGTTGATGACATGATTGTCACGGGTGATGATGATATTGGTATTGCGCAGCTTAAAGCTAATCTCCGGGCCGCGTTCAGTCTAAAGGACCTTGGCTCCCTTTCCTATTTTCTTGGTATTGAAGTTCACAGGTCTAACCGTGGCATCCTCCTTAGTCAGCACAAGTATGTTAATGATTTACTTGAGGAACATCGATTTGCGGATTGTATGCCGGTTCGTACCCCGATTGAGCTCAATCTTAAGTTGGGGAAAGAGTCTGGTGAGCTATTGGCCGATAGTCGTCTATACCGGAGTATCGTGGGCAGTCTCATCTATCTTGTCGCTACTCGGCCGGATATAGCTTATGCAGTGCAGTTGGTTAGTCAGTTCATGGCTGCTCCTCGTGTTGATCATATGGCTGCAGTTCATCGGATTCTTTGATATCTCCAGGGGACGCATGATGTTGGTTTGTTCCTTCCATCCTCTGGTGATTTATGCTTACGTGCTTACTCTGATTCGGATTATGCAGGCTGTATAGATACCCGACGGTCCACGATAGGCTGGTGCATTCAGTTAGGTGATGCCTTTATCTCTTGGAAATGTAAGAAGCAAGACAAGGTCTCCAAATTGTCCACGGATGATGAATACCGTGCCATGTCTGATGCTGGTTCTGAATTGGAGTGGTTGCACCGTCTGTTGGGTGATCTTGGGGTTCGCATTCCCTCTCCTATGACCTTGCACGTGGATAACACCAGTGCCATCCAGATTGCTGTTAATCCCGTTCTCCATAACCGCACGAAGCATATTGAGGTCCACATTCACTATATTCGTGATCTCGTTCGAGCTGGTACGATTCAACTACGATATATTCCTACGGAAGATCAGGTGGCGGATTTGTTCACCAAGTCATTTACCACGAGTCGTCACTGGTTTCTAGCTAGCAAATTGATGCTTCGGGATCAGCATCAATTTGGGGGAGGCTGTTAGAGCATATGAGGCCCTAGCCATTGGCCCATGTCCATGCAGAACCGAGTTTACCCATTGGGCCGTGGTGTACGTAGGGTTTAGGTTGGAGAGTAGGGTTTTCTCCTAACCTAGGCAGTATATATATTGTAAAGTTGTAACATGAGACGTTAAGCAATTACATAAGCTAGCTCGGAGAGTGTTAAACCTCTCCCGTGGATTAGTCCTGAATATTTCAGGGATACCAAGTAAATCTGTGTCTCATTGCATTTACGTTTCCATATCGATATGTCTAACAGGCGTTGAACGTGTGGTTTCATGTCCACCAGCCCGAGCCGGCCCTCGGAGGCGTCGGTCGAGGTGACGTAGCCGGCGGAGGCGAGGAAGAAGGCCAGGCCGTCGCAGGTCCAGCTGCCGTCGTCGTTGTCGATGGCGAAAGTGAACGCGGTGGTGAAGTTGGCCAGCTGGCCCGTGGACCGGCCCCACAGCCGCATCGGTTTCGGGTACCTGGCCTGACCCGTGACGTAGTAATCGAACCCGGTGATCCGGACGCCGGAATCCGCGCAGTAGGCGTCGCCGTAGAGCTTGACGGCGGCGTCGTTGCACGGCTCGAAGCTCGTGAAGTTGAAGGACAACGGCGCCGCCTCGCTGACCGTCGTGACGGTGGATATTACCGTGATGATAACGACGGCAACGATTGATATTGCCATCTGGAAATGAATCGGCAGAGAGAATTGTAATTTCTCCATATCAATATGGTAATTACAATAATGACTAATTATCATGGTTAATTTAAGTTTACCTTACAATTATCATTGATCATTATGGTCCTAATATTGAAGGCGTTGAGGTCTGGTTTGCAGCATGTGTCATTCACGCGATCTGCTGGTTTGTTTGGAAAGAAAGAAATCAGAGAATTTTCCAGGAATCTTGCTGCCCTCCCTTTACTGTCATCAGGAAAATCACCAGGAACATCGTCCACTGGATGGTGGCACATAAGAAGATTGATGAACAGCAAGGGGCACACTTCATTCAGGATCGATTCCGGAGTTGGGGGGCCACTGTTGGGTGATCTTTTTCTGGGCTCCTCCACGTCTCTGTTCTTCTTTAATTTTCTTCGGCTTTTTGTCAGTTTTGCAGCATTTGTTGCTACTGCCTCTCTGTTTTTCTTGGCCTACTGCTCGTGGGTCTTTCTTGTACGTTATGTTATTTCCTTTTAATAAAGTTCATCATCATTATAAAAAAAAAAAGAGGGCTGGCCGACAGTGAACGGTGTCTGAATATCGATTGGGAGTAGGGACAAACTAATTTATAGCAGAGCTTTATTTTTATATACGAGGGCTCCTAGTCCTAGTCCTCCAGCTATTGGCGTCAATCCGTTAGTCTTTCTTTATTTCTGATGGTCGATCCGGCGGTTACGGAAAAGAATTGATTATTCATTAAGAAGGCTAATGATATTCTAGTCTAAATGAATAAACTATCACAACACTATTGACCGATTAGTAGCTAAGAAGTAACCTGCAGGTTGAAGTTTGAAAATTTTGGATACGAATTAGGCTCTAGAATAGATTAAGAGAGTAAGATTTTATTCTTCTACAGCTGACTAGACTACATGCATAACGAATAGTAAGATTTTGTTGGTACAACTTGTTGAAAGCAATTGAAATGCAAACTGACAAACTTTATTGATTCTCAACGAATGCTTAAATACAATCAGAGACTCTAACAAACTGATCATGGATCCCTAAACATAGGGCTGTCAACCGGTTGGTTTCGGTTTAACCGAAAACCAATTTCTCGGTTTTCGGTTAAACCGAGACCAGACCAGCCCTTACCGCCCACCGACCGACCCTATGCATCGGTTATCCGTAAAACCGACCGGGCGGTTTCGGTTAATGCACGGTTAAACCGACGCCACCGAAATAGAAGGAGACGGTTCGGTCTGCTATCCTAACCGACCGAAGACCGCTCAAAAACCGACCGAAGACCGCCCAAAAACCGACCGAAGACTGAAAACCGGCCGCCAAGACCGAAAACCGACCTTTAACCGGTCAAAACCGACCGGACAGCAAGGGGAAAAAACCTAAAATTGCCTAAAATTAAAATCTCAAACCTACATTTCAATTCTTTTCGCATCGAAAATACATCTAAATTAGCAACTTAATGTCTCACATTCATTAATTCAACAACATAAACTACACAAATCACAATAAATCCTCTAGATAACAACAAATCAACAACACATCATAATCTATCATCACTTATCACCAGCCTTAGAAGAACCAACATCTGCATAACCCTGTTCATTTAATACGGGCAACAAGTCATGACCATAATCATCATATCCATCTTTCTCATACTCTTCCTCCGGTGCATCTTCTTCACCCTCCTGCTCATTCTCCACTGGAATGTTGAGGCTTGCATCCGCATTGCCAACATTGCCAGTATTCGTTGCACTTTCCATTCTAGTTTGGAAAGTGACATTAACTGAGTAAGAAAAAAAAGGAAAACAAAGTGTTAGTACATTCATATATTGAATTAGGTGAAAAGAAGACAAAAAATTGAACAATAAGAGAGTTTGAGAACTCACTACTTTCCAAAGTCAAATTCTCTTCATCATCTTCCTTGTCGTCAATCTCCCTGGATCCGGGATACCTTATCCAATCCTCAGCACAAATCAATGCCTCCACCATTAGGTCGCTCAAAGAGGACCTGAATGGACTGAGAATCCGCCCGCCACAACTGAATGTTGCCTCTGAGGCAACAGAAGAGATAGGAACAGCTAGGACATCCTTAGCCATCTCAGCAACAATCGGATATATTCCAGAGTGTCGAGAGCACCATTCTAATATGTCAAACTTTGCATCATCACTCTCTTCATTGATGCCATCAGTTTGACATTTCAAATAGATGTCAAGCTCAGCAGAGCTACCTCCTGTTTCCAGCAGAAGTGCTTCCCTTTTTCTCTTTCTAAGCCTCTCCTCCAATATCTTAATCCGATCACCGGCACCATCAACGGAACTATCATCAGCAATGTTATCATTAGTGGTAGGCTGAGATGCTAACTCTGATCCATACTTCCTCTTATAAATCTCAAACATCTGGCGCATCTCCCTTTTAATCGTAGCCTGAATTTCCCATCCTTTGGTATTTCCATAAATCATTACCAACACTTCAGACACAAGATCAAGCTTACTTCTAGGATCAAGCACACATGCTATATAGATTAAATGATTCAGCCTAGGATTCTCCTCATTCATGACAGGTGTGTCAAACCAATACTTTTGTACCTTTTCTTCAACCTTTTCTGCCATCCTTTTGAGCTCTTCACGCGGATCATTCTTCAATTCTTGAATGATGTCATAAATTGGAACAAGTTTCTTGAAGAAAAGATGGGTAGTCACATATTTAGTTCCTGTACAAATTATAATAGAATACAGGAAATTAGACTTAAACAAACCAAATTTGTCAAATGTTCAAATTAAAATAAACAAAGTTAGCAAAAATTTCACTTACCCGAGAATAGGAGGGTAAAGTCATTAAAGACTTTCAGATACTTCATCAACTTTCTAATTAGACTCCAATCATGTTTAGTTGGTAGACCACCTCTTGCGTCAATGTAATCCCTGAAGGAATGATCATGTATACTTGTATACAAGGTGGTAAACACTCCACCAAACCTTTCTGCTGCTTCTAACATGACATAGGTGGAGTTCCACCTGGTCGGTACATCCAAACACACCAATTTGGTAGAATCCAACTCCAAAATTGCATAGCAGTCTTGAACCTTGCCAACCTAGCTGGCGATGACCTCACCCACTTCACACAGTCCCGAATTCTATCCACAACTCCTCCGATTACCTTCAATCCATCCTGCACCACCAGATTAATGATGTGTGCAACACATCGAAACTGCAGATACTTCCCATCCATCAAATCACATCCCCACTCCTTTAATTTCCTTCTCATGCAATCACTCACAATATCATTTGTAGATGCATTGTCCATGGTCATGCAGAACAAATTCTTCACCTTCCATTCTTCAAGAATTTCTGCAAGCTTCTCTGCAATATCAATTCCTGTATGACTTGTGATGGCAACAAAGGAGATCACCTTCTTCTGCAACTTCCAATCACCTCCAACAAAGTGTGCAGTCACACACATGTAATTTCTGTTGTTGTCAGAAGTCCACGTATCTGTGGTGATTGAAACTCTGCCTTTGCTCTTTGATTCAAAAACTCTATCAAATTCATTTTTTTCTCCAAGAATATATGAAAGCAATCATCACTTATACCTCTCCTCCCAGGTATCTTAAACAGTGGCTGAACCGTATGCATAAACTGCTTAAACCCGTCTCTTTCCACAAAGCGAAAAGACAATCATCCATAATAATCATCATGGCTAAGGAATATCTTGCTTTTGCTTGATCAAACTTCCATAAAGCACTTACTTGACTTCCACTACCATCTGCGGCCTGCAAGTTCAGAACAGTCTGATCCTTGGATGCTGCAACCTTAGCCAAACAGGATCTCTGATGGTTATTCATTGCAGAAGTGCCATTCTTGGATGGATGTGCTTTGATCTTAGTATGACAATGCTTGCACTCTCCAAACGGATACTCATCCACTGCCACCTTCGTAAAGTCCTTCCAGCAATCAGCTCCACCCTTTGTCTCCAACCATCTCTCTAGATTGAAGGGATCGTCTTTAGTTTTATTTGAAGCCGGATTAACCATTTCTACTGAAGGAGCCTCAGCAGCAGGTGTACTTCCACTACCGACATGGGCGGGAGTCGATGCAATTGATGCCGACGCTGACGGTTCACCAGACTGAACAGGCCGACTTCCTGTACGTCCACCACGACCCCGATTCTGAGTAGGAGGGGCTGAGGCACCCCCACCACCACGACCTCGAGGAGCCGGAGGTCTCCCACCACGAGAAGCAATCTCAGCGGATGGTGCACCTCGTCCGCCACGTCCACCACGTGGAGCCGGAGGTCTCGCCCTACATCAACAGTTACACAAATTTAAAATCATCAATCATCATCATTCATCAATCAAAATCATCAATCATCATCATTCATCAATCAAAATCATCATTCATCATCATTCATCAATCAAAATCATCATTCATCCTCATTTTACATTTCATTATCATTCATCATTAACAAACAAAAGAGACAAAGACCACCCTACTTCTCATTTCTCAATTCCAACCAACCAAAACCACTCTATAAAAATTAAAAACCCCAACAATCCAAACTTCTTTTCAATTCACACATCATTAACAAACAAAAGAGACAAAGAAAATCCTACTTCTCATTTCTCAATTCCAACCAACCAACAATCCAAACTTCTTCACACAACTCTACTCATTCAATTGTTCAATCTAAAACCACTAAATCCACCGATTCAACCCTGCTGTTTTGGTCTTGGAAACCTGGGTGAATTTTTTTCTTCTTACATTATCTCTTTCTTGACTTCTTATTATCGGAGAGAGATGGAGGAATGGTCGAATGGAGGCGCCGCCACGCGGGGATGGCGGACTGGACTCTGGCGGGTGGCGGCGATTGGAGGGTGGTGGCGGGCTGGCGGCGACCGATTGGTGACTGGCGGCGCGATTGGAGGGTGGCGAATCGCTACTGGCGGCGATTGGAGGGTGGCGGGCTGGCGGCAGACTGGCGAGGCGATTGGGGGAGGCGATTGGTGACTGGCGGCGATTGGAGGGTGGCGGCAGACTGGCTCGGCAACTGGAGGTGCGGCCGGCGATGGCGTGCTGGCGGCTGTGCTCTGGCCGACGATGGCGAGTTGGCGACTCTGGTCTCCGATGATTTCGCCAGTAACGAGAGGATGAGGAGGAGGAAGGAAAACGAGACGGATGGGTCTAGCGGCTGTCAACGATTGACGCGAGTGACTAGGGTTAGGGTCGTTTCTCAGCGGCCAAAACGACGTCGTATATCTCGGTCGGTTAGAGCCGGTTAGCCGGCTTTGGTTACTCGGCTAACCGCCTGACCAGACCCAATTCCCGACAACCGACCGAGGCTGATTTCCTTCGGTTTTCGGTTAGCCGCTAACCGGCGGTTACCGGTTAGACCGGCCGGTTAGCCGCTAACCGAAAACCGAAATGACAGCCCTACCTAAACATCAGAGACCACGATTAGCTATCCAACTACTTGCTGAAAACCAGCTAACAACTCTTAACCTGACTCCTATCTTGACGACTGACTTAATTAAACCAAAACAGAAACATGAGGACCAAACTGAACTTTGTTCCAACGGCTACTTCACACACAACATCTTCAACAGCCTCCCCTGAACTTAAGCATCTTCTTCAATCAGCTTCAGTTCATCAATCAGTAGACTCCAGTTCTGCTCCATCCACTAGACCAAGCCTGCTTCGCATTAAAGTGAAAGTGTCCAGCTTCAGTGGCTTAGTCATAATGTCTGCAATCTGTTCTTCAGTTCCACAGTGCTCTAACTCAATTGTTCCATCCCTGGCCAACTCCCTTAGAAAGTGAAATCGGACATCGACATGTTTACTTCTGCCATGCATTACTGGGTTCTTGGAGAGTTTGATGGCAGAGCTATTGTCACACATTATCTTGGTTGTTCCCTTCACGCAATCCTGCCATCCCATTTGAGCAACAATCCTTTTTAACCATACACATTGAGCAGCACAAGAAGAAGCAGTAACAAACTCTGCTTCAGTTGTTGATAGAGTAACAACAGGTTGCTTCTTTGAACTCGAGATTGCAGCTCCTGCAAGAAAGAAAGTGTAACCACTGGTGCTTCTCCTATCATCCAAGTCACCAGCATAGTCGCTATCTGTATATCCAAGCAGACAATCTCCTTCTTCCTGCCTTCTATACAGAATTCCAAACCTTAGTGTTCCTTTTAGGTACCTCAGCACCCTCTTTGTTGCTAACATATGTTGTCTTGTAGGGTTGTCCATGTACCTACTTAATAAGCAGACAACATACATAATATCGGGTCTTGTAGCTGTTGCATATAAAAGACTTCCAATGAGCTGTTTATATTATGTTGCACTAGCCTGAATACCATCTCCTGCCTTTGAGAGCTTGGTTCCTGGAGCCATAGGATTATGAACATAATTGCAGTCTGCAAGCTGAAACTTGTCCAACAGCTCTTTGACATACTTTTGCTGGGAAATAAAGATGTCAGTTGATGATTGAATTACCTCCACACCTAGAAAGAACTTCATTCTTCCCAAATCTATCATGTCGAATTCATCCTCCATTGCATCTTTGAACTCCTTCAACATTTCTGGACTAGTGCTGGCATAAATAAGATCATCCACATATACACTAACCATCAGCACATCATTTTCCTTCTTATTTACAAATAGTGTGTGTTCAAATTCACACTTCTCAAAACCTCCATCCACAAAGTGAGTCTCAATGCGACTGAACCATGCTCTGGGAGCCTGCTTTAGGCCATATAGGGCCTTTTGCAGTTTATATACCTTGCCCTCTTCTCCAGGAATTTCAAAACCCTGTGGCTGCTCAATGTATACTTCCTCTGTAAGTTCACCCTGCAAGAAAGCGCTTTTGACATCTAACTGGTAAACTGTCAAACCATATTGAGCAGCAAAAGCAAGGAATGTCCTGATGGTGTCCCATCTGGCCACATGTGCAAACACCTCACTATAATCCACACCATACCTCTGTGCATACCCCTTTGCTACCAGCCTGGCCTTAAACTTTTCAATTGAGTCATCCTCCTTCAATTTAGTCATGTACACCCATTTGACCCCAAATGGAGTCACTCCTGCTGGTTTATCAACCAATATCCAAGTATGATTCCTCTTGATGGCCTCAATTTCTTGTTCCATAGCCTTCCTCCATCTTTCTTCAAGCACATCCTCTTCAAAGGATGATGGATCACCATTGACAGCTACTAGAGCCCACCAATCTGCCTTAGCAAAAGACAGATTTGGCATTCCCTTGCAATCAAAACCATCAAATCGACTTGGGAACTTGCGAATTCTGGATCCCAGCTCACTGTTGATTGGTAATCCTAGTGCATCAGTCATTCCTTCTTCTTCCTCTTCCTCTTCCTCTTCTTCTTCAGTGACTGGAATAGTTGATTGTGGTGTAGTTATCTCAGCAGATGATGGCTCAGTAGTAGTAGGACTTAAGTTGTCCTCACTTTCTTCAGCCTCCTCCTCTTGAGAAGTCTGTGATTCATCATTCTCTCCTCCTCCCTCTTCTTCTGAGTCATGCCAAGCTTCCTCACTGCCTTCCCATATTAGCTTGGTCAGGACTGGTTCAGTCTCAGACTTCCTTATCCAGCCTTCCTTCTCATTGAAAACTACATCTCGACTGATGATTATCTTTTTAGTCTCAGGATTGAAAAGCTTGTAGGCTTTAAATTCCTTAGACAATCCTAGGAAGTTGCATTTAATACTCTTATCATCCAGCTTCTTTCTGAGACTGTCATGAATATGGGCATAAGCCACACAACCAAAAACTTTTAAATGATTCACTAAAAGAGGCTTCCCAGTCCATCTTTCTTGTGGAGTTTTGCCATCGTTGGCTATAGTTGGACTTCTGTTGAGGATGTGAGTAGCCCAGTCTACTGCCTCATGCCAGAAGGAGGATGGAACTTTGGTATCCTCCAGTGAACACCTTACCATGTTCATGACAGTTCTGTTTTTCCTCTCAGCAACACCATTTTGCTGAGGGGTGAGAGCAGCTGTCAGCTATCTTCTGTTACCTGCTGTTTCACAGACATCTCTAAATTCATGTAACAAAAACTCTCCACCCCTATCAGTCCTAAGACATGCAATCTTTCGGCCAGTTTCATGTAACAAAAACTTGAATCTTTTGAACCAAGTTAATGCTTCTGATTTTGCAGACAGGAAATACACCCATAACTTCCTGCTATAGTCATTAGTAAGGGTCATGATGTACCTTTTTCCTCCATTGGAGGTGGGAGTTATGGGACCACACAAATCAGCATGCAATAGTTGGAGTGGCTTGATAGCTCTCCATGCTCCTTTCTTTGGGAACTTGCTTCTACATTGCTTGCCAATCATGCAGGTTCCACAAACTTCCAGCTCCCCAGTGAGTTTTGGAAGCCCCTGAACCAACTTTCCTCGTTGCAATTGAAGTAGTCCAGGTTTGCTCAGATGACCAAACCTTCTGTGCCATAGGTTTAGTATGTCGTTGTTTGGGGTATCAGTCTGCAGACAATGACTGCTTTCTTCTGTGTGATGCCTAGCTTGCAAAACAAACATTCGATTAGACTTCATGGATGTTTGAAGAAGCAAACCATGCCTCTCATGATAGATTCTGCAACTTCCATTCCTGATTGTGAAAGCCAAGTTCTTCTCCTGCATTTGCCCCACACTCAGAAGATTCGATTTGAGACTTGGGATGTAGAACACATTCTGGATGACAAGGGGAACTTCTTCAACTGTCATTTTTATAGTCCCTCTCCCTTGAACCTCCAGTGTGCTCCCATTCCCTAACTTGACATCACTTTTGAAGCTCGGATCTAGTTTAATAAACCAGCTCATGTCCCCACACATGTGGTTGCTGCAACCACTGTCAAGAAACCACCAACCTTCATTTTTCTTCATAGTTTCTCCAGCAGATACTTTGGTGTCTGAATAAGCCATTAAGAGAACATCATCTCTGATATCAGTGCCTCCCCAGATCGAGTAGTGAGTTTGGGGTTGCCACTCAGGACATTCTCGGTTGTAATGCCCCATTTTGTGACATTTGAAACACTCAACCTGGTCTCTATTCCAGGTTCTGCCTCTTCCTCTGCCTCCTCTGCCTTGATAACCAGTCCTTCCTCTTCCTCTACCTTGATAGCCAAACACTTGCAAGGATTGCTCATCCTCTAGTGAAGACTTTGCAAACTTTTGTTCATGAACCAACAGAGAGCTTTGCAAAGCGTCCACTGACAATTCAGCAATGTCCTTGGATTCTTCAATGGAGCACACAATGTAATTGAATTTCTCATTCAGAGTTCTAAGTACCTTCTCAACAATCTTGGTGTCAGTCATGTCCTCTCCACAGTTTCTCATTGAATTGGCAATGACCATCCGACTGAAATAATTGGTCACTGTTTCTCCTTCTTTCATCTGCAGCAACTCAAAGGTCCTTCTGAGCCCTTGCAGATTTGCCTTTTGAACACGCTCGTTTCCTTGATAACGAGTCTTCATCGAATCCCACAGCAATTTGGAGGTTGCCTTCTGCATGATGGTCTTGAGAATGCTTTTGTCGATGGAACTAAAAAGATAGTTCTTAGCATTCAGATCCTTCAAGCGGGTTGCCTCGAGCATCTTTGTTTGAGCCTCAGTCAGCGCAGCTCCTTCATCAGCTTCCTTGAATCCAGTTTCAACCACAGACCACAGCTCCTTGGATCGGAGCAGATTTTCCATCAACATGCTCCAGTGATCGTAATCCCCATCAAATTTTGAAATTCCCAAATGAGCAAAGCTATTATCGCTACTCATCTCTCGCCAGTAATCAAAGGTCCTTACTTTTGCTCGTGTTTCCCAAAACCCTGAACCTTGCACTATTTCTCACAACTCACAATCTGATCGAAATCTCTCTCTGGTTACAGCTTGTTGTTGCTCTGATACCACAATGAAAGCAATTGAAATGCAAACTGACAAACTTTATTGATTCTCAATGAATGCTTACATACAATCAGAGACTCTAACAAACTGATCATAGATCCCTAAACATCAGAGACCATGATTAGCTATCCAACTACTTGCTGAAAACCAGCTAACAACTTTTAACCTGACTCCTATCTTGACGACTGACTTAATTAAACCAAAACAGAAACATGAGGACCAAACTGAACTTTGTTCCAACGGCTACTTCACACACATCATCTTCAACACTTGTAGCAAAAGCAAATGATACAAAGCCTAATAATTAATAATACGATTGATTATTTGCTAATTTCAATGGGAAAAAGCTGTTTGGTCGATCTATATATAATGTTTTCGCCTCAACCAGCTGTACTAATGAAACTTGTCCTTGCACTGTCTTGGCCTAAAGAAGATCCCTCCTCGTCAACAATCACGAGACTAGGACACTCCCGTATGCGTATGAGCTGACTTGGTAAAGACCGTTTCAACTTAACGAATTCTTGAATCTCAGTCAGTCGAGGGCACCTGCGGATCACTAGTTTCTGCAATTTGGTCGAACTAGCCCGAAGACTGGGAATCGTCTTCAGGGCACCACAATTCTCAACAGTTAGGTACATCAAGTGCTCCAGCCCCTCGAGCCCGTCCAAATTCACTAGATTTGGCGCCTCGAAAATCCTCAAAGTCTCCAACGCAACAAGCTGGTTCAAACTCGGGATCTCCAGGAAACCGACTTGTATCAGATACAACTCGGTCAACCGGGTCAATCCCACGAGACTCGGGAAATAATTCTCCCGATGCATGTAGTGGCGTACATGGAGGCGGGTCAGGGACGGCGGAAGAGCCAGCAACGTGTTGGCTCTCCGGTCGTCCCAGTTTGAACCATGGTTGTCATCAGAGAACCGCAGCATTAGGATCTTCAACTTGAGCAGTCGCGCTATATCCTCGAGAATCGAGTTCTCACGAGGACAATGCTCAAATCGTAGCTCTTCCAAATCCTCGAGATCGGAAAGGTTGGCTACTACGGTGCGTGAGAGAGTCAGGCGGGTCAAACCCGCCGGCAGAAAAAGTAGTTTATTGTAATCCACGTTAATAGCATTTCTTGAATTGGTTGTCCATTCTAAGGTCTTGAGTGAGTTCAAGTGTTGTAAATCGGTCGGCAAGCTTGTCAGAGCTGAATCCAGCGCATTGATCGTTTGGAGCTTCTGAAGTTTGGTAGTAAGATTGTCGCCACCACTTAGCTCTGATATCTTGGTTCGGGAGATGTTGAGCTGCCTTAGCTCGGTGAGTTTGCTAATGGGGAGTTTTCCTTTCATTGCTGAACAGTGGGAGAGATTGAGCACTTGCATACTTGGACATCGAGACAAATCTGGAGGTGTTTCCAAGTCACGACACGATGAGAGATCCACAACTTTCAACTGGCGTGCTCCCTGTAAGTACCATGTGTAAGTCTTTCGTGATATAAGTTTGAATGCATATAATATAAGCACAATTTAGAACAACATTATTCTTTACTCAGAAATAGTAGTAGTAAAACAATTGCTAAATTATTAAGTAAATTGTTAGCGATTACATTGCACAAAAATTTTGTAAGGCCGGAGGGACATAATAATTTAATCAAAATTTATTCATTTCATAACTTAATGCACTTATTATTAACTAAGATTTTTTTTTTCATTACGTAAATTAAAGTTTCCGTAAGATAAGTTCATTTTACATCATAGTTTAATCAAGTGAGACTCAGCTGTAACTTGATTTTACTATTAGACCATACTTTATGGAATATTACATAATAATTTATAGAGGTCGAATGAATAGTTATTTCTTAATATTAATAAAAAAATAAACGTGTTTAACACGTATGTCTTCCTCAATAATTAAGACGTTACGCAAATGGAAGTGTCTTACTTGAACTGTTTTGTGAGTAATTTTATTTCAACGAACGGAGATGTAATTTTATTATCAAGGAAATAATTAGTCAATTATCGCCTCGAAAAAAATTAGTAATTAAATATGAATTCATAAGGAGATGGTATACTTAACCTTAAGTAGTAGTCTGTTCCAGCCTTGCCAATCATCTTTCACTGCGGAACCACGTAGCTCGAGAACTGTCAATTCCTCCATGCTGAAACTGGCCGGAACGGAGCTGCAATGGCGCAGTCGAAGGCATCGTAGCTTCGGAAGAGCCTCTTTGAGATCTCCGACCAGCCTTCCATAGGCAACTTCAAGGTATCTTAACCCTGGCAGCTTCTTCATTAATGGTACGACGCCATCCTGGTCTTCGATCATATGTCTCATGTCAATTCTTAAAGCTTCTACTCGATAATAATTACTCCCCTGCATGCATGTGAAAATCGAATCAAAATTGTACTAAACAATGTAGCATTCATTTTTCAAACGGAATGTAATCCCTTTGACCATGTTGTAGATGTTATAAAGTGCAAAATTATACCTTACCACCACTTCTTAAAATCTCCAAAGCATCTTCGTTGGACCAAATTCTGCTACGCTTGAAAGGTTGTTGTGGATAATCTTCTTGAACAATGTGTTCGCCTAGTCGTCTAAAGTGATCATGCATCCAAAATTGATTCCTTTCGTTGATTTTAATCAGGGACTTCATCAAAAGAGAATCAATCCCACCTTCAGGGTTATAACCAGAGCCGTCCCACATGTAAAAAGGTATTTCCTTATCCTCCCCGACGAAGAAACAAGCGATGTCAAGAAATATTTGTTTTTCGTAGTACGTCAATTCGTTGTAGTTGATCCTCAATCTCTCTTGCACCTTGGTAGGATGCATGCTCCTTAATTCCGTCAGCTTTGCATCCCAAAATTTCATGTCTCTACGAAACAAAAGTGATCCTATGACCTTAAGAGCTATGGGTAATCTTGATGCGGCTTCAACGAACTTCTCGGACGTATCGAGGAACTCCGCTGGAGGATGATCAGCCCCAAAAGCATGCTTGCTGAAAAGCACAAGGGAGTACTCGTGACTCATTTCTTCTGGTTCGTACAACTTATGATCAAACTTGATCAAAACCCTTTTGTCCGTCGTAGTGATAATAAATCTACTTTCTGTAGAAAAGTAGTCTAATCTACCGAAAACTCGATCGAAGTCGAATCTTTCGTCCACGTCATCAAGAACAATAAGAACTTTGTGTCGGCAAACTCTGTCTCTTATGATGTTGATTCCTTCCCCGACATTTCTAACTTGAGAATCAACCTTCAGAATACTTGAAATAATATTAGTTTGCAGAGTAACATCACCACCATTCTCCGATGATAAAATTCTTCGTACATCCTCCAGAAAGCATGATTGGTCAAATTGTACACAAACTTCATTGTAGACGGCCTTAGCTATAGTTGTTTTACCAGTACCGCTCATACCATGAATACCCACAATTTTCTGAGTATTAGAATCAGCATGATTCAACAGTTTCTTCATGTTTTCTACGTGGGAATTAATTCCAACCAACTCATCTGTGGCCAACTTGTAACTGTTCCTTAGATGGCATTCAATTTGTACGAAAACCTCGTTTATCACAGTCCCCTGTCTGAAAATTTGAAATCCAAATATTTATATCAATGAGCTTGAACTTAATTGCTTTCCCAGCAAAACGACATGTGATTGAATATCATTATGATGTGTGATATCCATGTTTGATTGTGCATTTATTTGCCAAATGGCATAACAAGAAACTTATTGGTTATACTTATTAAGGGGTCGTTTGGAGAATGGGATTTAGGCCGTGGATTTATTGAACCCGTAAATTTTGTAGAAAGTTATGTTTTTTTGTTGCTTTTTGTATTGTGGATTTTAGCTTTAGAGATTTTAAATCTATAAAATCTATGGATATCAAATCTCTCATAATCAGAGAGATTTTATATCTTGATTCCTGAGATTTTTTTCTCCTACCTTTTCACTTTATTTTATTTATTTATCGTATTAAATATATTTACTAACAAAGTTTTTAATATTTCTCAAGCTACTCTAATTTTTTTATTAAGGATAAACATGTTATTTAATATAAAATTTTTATTTTTATTTTCATTAAAAGTTAACAATCACAGTTACCAAACAATAAACATTTTGAAATCTATTTTCAACAATCCGAAGAATTAGAATCTTTTGATTTTTGACAATCTATAAATTTAAACTCATATTCTCCCAACGACCCCTAAGTTAATTTCATATCTCTCCGCAGGAAAACAAAAAAAAACAAAATTGAAGTAGGAAAAAAAAAACATACGTACCCAACAAGTTCTGTCACGTGCCAACCTTTCATTTCCCCGACTTCTTTGAGAGCTTCTTTCCATTCCCCGATGGTCGCAGCGTCAAATTTCTCGCCGTACAATTCAAACGCCGATTTGAAACCGGCGCTTTCCTGTTTCTTCACTTCACTGGGAGCAACAAAGTAGAAGATCGGAAGGATGACGTGTCCCTTCCCTTGCTTCCAACACTCCACCATCTTGGCAAGCTCCTGGAGGCACCATCTGCTGTCAACGTACGTGGGGGAGATGATGGGGACGTAAATCTTTGTCTCGACGATAGCTCGGAGGAGAAAATGTTCCATCTTTTCCCCCTTTGGTAAGTCTTGTTCGTCTCTGAAAGTGCGGATCTTGGAACGAATCAGACCTCTGTAGACGCAATCGGCAAAGGAATCGCGAATGTCTGGACCTCTGAAACTTAAGAACACTTCGTACTCTCCAACTGGAAGAAACTGCTGCTGCTTGGGATCGGAAGGAGAAGGAGAAGACGGCTCCTTCAAGGAGGCGGATGCTTGACCACCAGCTGCTTTCTTCATACTTTGAGGGTTATGGATATCGGATGTGAAGTGTGGCTTAAAACTTGGGCATATATTGGATGGCGCGGCAGTCTATATTCTAACCATTTTGTTGACTGCGTTGATGGATGAGTTGCCCCTACTTTTCGTCAAAAAAAAAAAAACCAAAACAAAAAAAAACGAGAAGTTTCATTTTTTATTTCTTGGAGAAATACTTTATAATTTTTTAAAGATAATGGGGAAATGTTCCTAATTATTAATTAACCATGTTGAGTGGGCATCCAAGTCACACGGTAGGATAGGTTGAGGACTTGGAGGTACATGTTAGGTAGAAATATTCCTAATTAACTAATTTTGTTGATTATTTTAAATAAAAAAATTCATAATATTGTCATTTAGTTATTTATTATCAAATAAACTATTTGCCACCTTACAAGTTGTAATAGAAGTTCAGACAAAAATGTGTTTGTTAAGAGTTTGCAGTACAAAATTGAGTTTCTATTTTATAATGTGGAGTCATGTGAAACAAAGGTGGTCATATATGCATTGATTTCGGCTTGATAATATTTAATTGTCGGGTCTCAATTTGGTTGTGGTTGTTGAAACTTCCTTTTTTCTTAATAAAAAAAAATTCAACATCTGAAATTTCAATTTCGAAAGAATATACATAGAATTCATACTTACGTCTATAATCTATTTTGAATTCAAAACATAGGATTCTTCCCAATAAATTAAAACAATGGTTGGGATTTCTAGTTTTTGTAATTATTGACCAGGAAAAATGAAACAAACTCTATTCGCCCCCTTCTAGTTATAGATCCAATTAAAATGGAATTGGAATTTATCAAAAAACTTTAACTAATTTTGTTCGGTGAATTCAAAATTGTTCGAATTGTATAATCGTCAATTACTGGCATCGGTAAACGCCCTAGAGCGATTTGATTATAATTCAATTCGTGACGATCATAAGTAGAAATTATATATGACGATGCTTTATATCGATCTATAGGGAACGAATGAATCAAGCCAGCAATTTTATGGTGAGTAATCATGAGTAACCGTCCACATCAGCATGATATCAGCATCCCTCTCTCTCTTGGAAAGTCTTTAATTTTTCTTTTCTTAAACTTTGACGGACGATTTCTCACTCGTTTTAAGTCGAAATGTACTTTTTTCGACAGTTAGATCAGATTAATTTTGCTCTTCAAAATGATATCCACTTTGATATATTTTTCGAACAAAAAAATTGAGTCATATTTTACCAGTCTATACCATATGGTATTGATTGGTATTGAAATAAGAGCATACCTATGGTTTGAAAAGCATACCATGGTGGTATGAACAAACCAAGACTGTAGGATGGTTGAATACATAATAGTAGAAGTATATTAATTATCATTTACGACTTTTAACATTGTGTACCAAAAGATACCACCCCGTACCAGGGTGGTATTGTGTGGTATTTTTAATCCTGTAATTTGTTCACCCATACATTTGTAGATCCAATAGATCATAATGATGAACTCGTTCCTTCTGTGCAAACTTTTTCAAAAACGAAGAAGATACCATATGGTATGCAGTGGTACAAAGAGGCAAGAAATATTTTTTTCTCAAAAATATAGAAAATGTATATCATTTTGTAGAGCACAACGAACACGTTTCATCTGTGCAAAAAAAAAATATTAAAATCCAAGTTAAAACGAAGAAGATATGTGCCAATTAAGAAAATTAGGGAAAATAAAAATGACATTTAATTCTCCATCCTTAGATCTGAATTTTCTAAATGAAGTGTCCATATGCATAACCATGGGTTATGCACCCTATCTTGAGCCAATATTTTATGGGAGAATGGTTAATAATTGTCGGGGGCCAAAAATGATTTTAAAATTGTTTTTAATCTTTTTCTAAAAATTTGCGAGAATAACATTATTTCAAGTAGAAGAAACGATTCATCGAAAAAAGTAGAAGAAACAATTCAGCTATGATCGAAAGTTAAGATGAAAAGCATAGGCATTCTGTCTTTTTTTTCAAGGCAAGTCCATAAGGTGTGGTACATAGACTAGAAAACAAGAGCGAAACCAATCAAGTGCTGCAAATTCGTACGCAACCAGATTATCGACAAAATATACTTTTTTTGCTACTATATGGACAACTTAGTTGAAACTTCAAGGAACAAGAAGATACGACGATGAGTCAAAAGATGAGAAAAAAAGAAAAGGATTCCACCATGAATGTTGCCACTACACGAGAGTGAGAAACTATTATATGATTGCAATCCACCAAGAATGTCTATCCATTCAGGCCTCATGATGAATTCAATTAGTAAAAATATTATTGATGAAATTGCATAAAAAAAATTATTGATGGGTTAATTATGATACTAATTACTAAGTACATCGACCTATAAAATATTCACAATTTTTATTTCCATTGCTCTTTGGTCAATTTACTCTTGACAGCTCGCTACTAAAGCAATGCTAATTTTCTAGTATAAGATAATTAGTGCAATAAGTTAATCCAATTGGAGGAGAAGAAAATACCCTAATAGGATGATATTTACAAACAACCCAGTTTGCAGGCTCCGCCTACAATCTATATAGGTGGAGGTACACTAATGATTGAATTCTTTTCTTTTTTTCTTTGCAATTAAATGTTAACGGAAGCATATTTCTTTTTTGTTTGCAATTAATATCTTAATCACCATCAATAGAATGTGGCAAGATCACTTTTTTTAAAATATTATCGAATTACGTGGACTTTGATCTCGACTACTTGGATACGTATGTAGATAACCAATTGGTTCAAGTCCGACTAACAAATATTCTCAACAATTTTAATGTGTAAGCGTTAACACTTCAAATTACAACTTTTTTAAATCGAACTGCGTGGACTTTAATCCCTACTACTCGGGTACGTAGGCAACCAATAGATTCGAGTTCAACTAATAAAAAAACATAATTAATTAAATACGTAGATAAGACACAAATTATTATACACCCTACATTTAAAAACTTATCAACTTAAGTAGTACTATTTTTTGGGCGTTGTGGGGTGTGAATACACTTTCCCACACGTAATCGTACTCCCGAACCTAGAATCTTCAATTTTGCATACCACATCTCGATTTTGATCTCAAGTCGAGACCGAACAAAAATGTGTTGATCCACCACAATTAAGACCGATTGCGACTCCGAACAATTGACGATGAATTCCCGATTTCAAGGAGCGGTTGCCACACCACCCATAAAATTTGATTATCACAAATATTATGAATGGATAGGGTTGAATTGAACCATTAGGTCGATTTTTGGTTTTCTTTTTTTACTCCTATATGAATGCATTCCCTTTAGTTTGAAACATGTCACAAAAAAATAACCATAAGAAAAGAAGTGCGAAAAAGAGGAGCATAGATAATAGATAGAGAATTATGCTGTGAAAAGGTAGTCGGTTTCGTTAACCATTTAACTGCAAATTAAAAATAGATGAAATAAAATAAAACCAACCAATAGTATGCCTCCACCTGTAGAGGTTGTAGGAGGAGCCTGCAAACTTGGTTGCAGGTAAATATCGTCCATACTAATATATGCATGCATTGTAACGAGTGATGAACCACTTGCTTCCTCGTGAAAGCGATTTAAAGGAGATACAGAGTTGACCTCGCGTTTACGAGGCAATTTCGTCTGCTTCGAGATATGCTGTGGGCCCCTATAGTCCAGTTGTTTGGTTGTAGTATTGAGGAGGGGTTTACAACGCTAGAATCATTTGATTAAATAATCTTAATCCTCATTAGTAGTTGGACTAATCACGATCGACCAATGAGAAGGCTAATCAGAAAAATATTATTAAAATTAAACCCCCAACGGAGACACGCTATATTCAACACGCTCCTCTGACTTTGAGATCGATCATGAAGATTTCCCAATGACTTTATCTAGCCCAGAGATCATCAAGTTCAATCTGGCTTTGGTCCTGAGACGATATTGTTCATCATTTTTAATTACATGGGAGACGTCGCCGTCGTCGTCCCCACGGCCGCCGTCCTCATAATCATCACCACCCTCACGGCGGCGGCACCGCTGTCCTTCAACTTCACGGACCAAATCTGCAGCGACGCCGCGGTGAAGCTCTACGGGTACGCTTCCTGCGCGGGTCCGGCCATCCAGCTCACCCCGTTCGACTTCTGGGCCACGGGCCAGGCCCGCCACCCGAGGCCCATGCACCTGTGGGACAGATCCACGGGCCAGCTCGCCAACTTCACCACCGACTTCACCTTCGCCATCGACAACAACAACGGCAGCTGGAAATGCGACGGCCTCGCCTTCTTCCTCGCCCCGCACGATTACGTCACCCCGGCCCACGCCGACTCCGGCCGGCTCGGTCTGGTCCACGGGAACTTCACGTACAACTCCACGGCGGTGGGGCCGAGCGGGGCGTTCGTGGCCGTGGAGTTCGACACCTACAACGACGCGTGGGACACGTGGCACGACGGCCTCAGCCACGTGGGGATCAACGTGGACTCGATGCAGTCGGTGGCGAGCAAGCGGTGGAGGAGCCACGTGGACGGGAGGACCACCACGTGGGTCCGGGTGTCCTACGAGGCAAAGAAGAAGAAGCTGTGCGTGGTGTACAATACGACCACCGTGGAGGAGGAGACCCTCTGCTATGGAGTTGACCTGAGGGATTACTTGCCGGAATGGGTGGTCCTCGGCTTCTCTGCCTCCACGGCGTTCAGGTATCGAGTGGCGAAGGGAGGTGAAGCGTTGAAAAAATAAAAAATAGTTATTTATGTGAGGTTAAGAATTATGCAAATAAATAACATTATTTATCAATCAAAAATTAAAATCACATTTTAAATTCGTAATTTTAAAAGTTTCTCGTTCCATCAAATATATAGGGGAGAAAAAAAAAATCTTCCTCCTATAACTAGAAAAACTTTTCAACTCTAAATATTTGTTCTTTTAAAATTGAAAAATTCGACTATCAAAAGTATATTTTAGCTAATTAACAGAAAGTCCAGTTTTAGCTATACTTTATCGGGAAAAAATAAATAAATTATATGCCTGAATAATAGATAATTTCATGAGTGACAATTCGATTGAATATATTAAGTTGCATGTACTTTATACATTTGAATAACAAAAATTCATTCATAAACGGGATCTCACTAAATTTCAATCCTGACTACTTCACTGCAGGTATCAGTCTCACACCATCAAGTCCTGGTCCTTCTCCTCCGATCTGGACGGCAATTACCAAGACTATATCACGAGCACGACCACTACGACCGCCGGGATAATCATGAGATTGATCTTACTCGTCGTGGGGATTGTTCTAATAGGTAGTGCTGCTCTTGCATGGTGGATGGTACCCGCTCGGGTTTTCTCCCGTCGAATTTATGTTTTTGCAGTGAAAAACAAAGAGAGAGAAGAAGAAGAAAACGGCTGGAAGGAGGACGACGAGGAGTTCTCCTCTGGAATCCCTCTGCTGAGACGGCGCCGTCTTGACAGAAGCAAACGACATTCGATCGACGAGGGAGCCAAGTCCGTCCCACTAGCGGAACTGAAGCGGGCGACCAAAGATTTCAGCGAGTTTCTCGGGAGGGGCGGGTTCGGGATGGTGTACAAGGGACAGCTGGCGAGCGGCCAGCTGATAGCAGCGAAGAAAGTCCCTCTGGACGGCGCGGCGATGGAAGGCTTCATGGCGGAGCTGGTGATCATCACGCAGTTGAGGCACGAGAACCTGGTGAGGCTGCTGGGCTGGTCAAACAATCTGGACGAGTCGTGCTACTACCTCATCTACGAGTACATGGAGAACCTGAGCTTGGACTTGCATCTCTACGGCGACGGCAACGGTCGGTTTACTATGGGCTCGGTGACGCTGGACTGGGAGAAACGGTACCGCATCGTGAAGGGACTCGCTAATGCACTGAGCTATCTACAAGCGGGAGGCGACGGGAAGAGCGTGCTCCACGGGGACGTGAAGAGCAGCAACGTGCTTCTGGACTTCCAGTTCAACGCCAAGCTGGGCGATTTCGGGATGGCTCGGGTGGTGGACCAGGACATGCGGTCCCACGCGGAGCACGGCGGGACGCCCGCGTACATGGCGCCTGAGCGTGCGGACCAGCGACGGGCCGCGCTGGAGTCGGACACGTACAGCTTCGGGGTGGTGGCGCTGGAGGTGGCGAGCGGGCGGAGGGCGGTGGTGCTGAAGGAGCACATCGTGAGGTGGGTTTGGGAGATTTACGGGAGGGGGAACGTGTTCGAGGCGGTGGATCCGAGACTGGAAGGGGAGTTTGATAGGGATGAGATGCAGCGGTTGTTGATGGTGGGGCTCCATTGTGCTCACCCGAACAGAATTCGGAGGCTCTCGATTCAAGATGCGTTGCGGGTGTTGAGTGATATGAAGCTTCCATTGCGGAATTTTAATCTCCCATTGCAGTATCCACCAACTAGAGATGATCCCCCGGTACCGCTTCTAGTGCCACAAATACTTGAGGACGACTCCCTATAGTAAGAGGGGTGGCCGTTCGTTTACCGGTTAATCGGCCAGTTAAACCAATAATCGGCTGGTTATCCACTAACTGGTAAGCGAAATAACCGAACTTCGGTCGGTTATCGGAGGCTGGATAAAATGGTTTTTGGTCTTAAGAGTGGTTCGGTTAACCGATAACCGAGATAACCGAGAAACCTAAGCCTATTTCGATCGATTTTTGGTAGAGAATGTGGTTATTTCGGTTAATCGATAACCGACCGATCGATTACCGGTTATAACCGAAATAACCGAACTGCCACCCGTCGTGGGGTAAAGGTAGGTAAAGAAGGGGGGAAATATGAAATGGTTGAGCATGGGGTGAGGAAAGGAGGAAAAATGGGGAAAGTTGGTAGGATTTTTAACACACAAAAAGACAAACGGAGGGGGCCTTTGTTTTTTTTTTTTTTTTTGTTATGAGTTTTTTTTTGTTTCTTTTTCTTTTTTATTTAATTTGGTTTTTTTCTAAATCGTAGATGATTTATTCTTCGATCTAACGATCAGAATTTAATTCCAACGTACGTATTTTAATGATGACTCAAGGTCTTCTGAAACATTATTGTGATTTCGTCATTGATGATGTCATATTTAATTAATGATTGAAAAAATTATGTCCAAATGAGAAAAAATTATATCAAAATGTTTGTCTTAATTAATTATTACTACCTATATAAAGAGAACGATCAAATTATTTAAGTAAAGTAACAAAATTAACACTAAATTGATTTCATAAAAAAGCACCCCTCCCACTTTTCCATCTTTTCCCTCCCAACTATGGTTGCAAATGAGTCAAGCTGCTCGCGAGCAACTCGGTGTTCGAACAGGAAAAATCTTGTTCGACACTCGGCTCGTTATTTAATTAGCCGACTCGCGAGCTGAATCGTTAATAAACGGGAGCCAAGTTTGAGTTAGAACATGCTCAGCTCGATCGTGAGCTAGTTTGACTCGGTGGCTTGTTGAGCTAAGCTCGCGAGCTGGCTTGTCTAGAGGTTGTGAAAGGATTAATTACTCTTCTGTACATGGACATTATCTTGTTAATACGGATGTGTATGGAAGTTAGCTGCTATTTTTAGTTTCTAGTGTTATTTTATCATTTAAATTCTTATGTGTACACATTTTTAAACAAGAATGATTTTAAATTGAGCTCATGCTGAGCTCGTACTCAACTTGACAAACTGTGTTAAACTGTTAATGAGCATTTTAGCGAGCTCTACCGAATCGAACTTGAGTTGGATTATTTTCAATCGAGCCGAGCTCGAACTGGATTATCAAAATTCGAGTTCGAGTCGAGCTCGAGCTGAAAAAATTTATAAACGAGCCGAGCTCAAATTAAGTAAAAATTCAACTCGACTCGGCTCTTTTGCAGCCCTACCGAACCCATTGTGAGTTTTCCCACCCCCAAACCCAAATAACTCATTTTTCCCATCCAACACACCCATTTTTTCCTCTCAACCATTGTGGGTGGTCTAATCCTTTTGCTTATACAGAATAAAGTATATTTTAGGTCATGTTAATTATTACACTCTAAGTGGTTTAATTTTGTATGCCACAACTCTGATCTTGACTGGTGGAATGGCCAATTCCAAAATCCTTAATGATAGATTGTAGATTTGAGCCACTGTTTTCTCATAAGAAGTTGAATTACAACGGATTTGGAATGGACGAAGTTGTGCACTATGAACGGGAGAGAGCAACTTGTATATTGATTTGACGTCAATTTACCCGCAAAAATCTCATACGTACCATTAAGTAAAAATCCCATTAGCTAAGGGGTCGTTTGGATGGATCAATTGTAAAACAAGACAATTTGATCAATTGTTTCATTTTATAAAGCGAGTCATTTAAAACGAGTTAATTCAGATTACCTGCCCCCACCCCAGACAATTGTAATTGGCTCAAAATGAGTCAATTCAAAACTCTCCGACCCAAATTGCTTCATCCAAATTTTCTGCTGCCAAACAGATCAATCTAGCACAATTGGCTCAAAACGAGACAATTGTGTCAGATTGATCCATTAGAATTCCTCATCCAAACGAAGATTTTTCTATGTGGTGTTATGGGAATTGGAGCCCTTTTGATGGCTACCAAACTTTATAAGATAGTTACAACTTCATTGTGTAAGATCCAATGATGACAATCTCTCATGGCTCCCCCTTTAAGCGGCCACAGAATCATGTAACAATAAGCCACCAATTTTTTTTACAAACCAAAGCATAATTCTTGGATGAAAAGGAAAATGGTGACCAAAGAGATGTTTCGGCTATAGCAGGTCGGATCATCCGAAGATTCGGTTAAGAGTAGCAGCCAATCGAACTCCTCCTTGTGCCAGCCTCAACTTCACGATTGGTAACCTCGACTCGAAATAATCATCTGCCCCACAAACAAAAACAGCCATGGATGCTTTCTTATTCGGAATCTCTCAACAAAAATCGATACTGTAAAGGAAGAGAACTAATTTGGACGAAAACTTACCATCCAAAGTCGATCCTTCTTCCACACCTTTATACGCCCAGTCACATGCTGCTTTAATCCCTTCCGTCGCATACCTGCCACCACCAAACAACAAATTCAGAATCTGCTTCATCGTGCAACTCTGTTTCAGAATCTGAAGAGTGTTCAGTTTTCCTTTTTTTCTAAAACGTACACAGTTGGACATGCAGTCTTACTACCACCGCAGGCCTCCCATGACGGAACAAGATCAGTCCAACCCGACTGTTGAATCAAACCAACCAAGAAACTAACCAAGTCAGCTGCAAAATCCAGGGGGTGGGCAGAACAACTGGAATAGAAATTGAATAATATGTCAGGAAAAAGTACAGTGATATTCTTTTGAATTGCACCAATCAAGTCCTCCACGTTGGAGTTGTAGAACTGTTCTTCTGCTGTCTCTATTATGTTGTCATCCCATGCCTGCAAAATTAGAATTGATTCAGGCAGCATCATTAGCACATGGTGTATTCCAATCCGCATCAAATCGAAACGTTTCTGCAGGCGATTAGTAGCTATAGGATCTCACATGGTGGAGAACAGTCTTTCTTGTGTACCAATGAATGTTAATGGTGTTGCCTCCTTTATCTGAAGTGAAGCCCACATGAAGCGGCTGCAGGGGAAACAAACGCCCACAAATCAACTAACCCATATCATATGAAACAAACATAAGATCAAGCAGTAAGAAAGTGAATTTTTTGTTACCTGGTGGATATCTCCCATGAGATGGGAAAGGAAGAGAAGCGCTTCGGTCAGGTTATCTGATGTCATTACAAAACCACCCCACATAATCATATTACAATGCAGCAGTAAATGAAAGGAATTCAGTAAAAAGGAAGTTTTTTTTTTTTTTTTCTTACAGTCAGATTTGGAGGATTGAGCAGAGTTGTAAGTAAGCAGCTGGGTAGTGTAATTCTGAATAGCCCCATCAACACACCTCCCCTTCTCTCCATTCTCATCCTTGCAGTCCCCTGTTTCCCAAAAACCCATCCAATTTAATAAGATCGATTCGCGCGATTGAAACGAAACGGTTCGATTTGGTTCCGGATAATTGCTTACTGTTGTAGCTGTAGGTGCAGAGGTTGTCAGGAGTGTCGATGTAATGAAGAGCAGAAGACCATTTATACCGGAACTTGACCTTGTCCGCCCACGAACACAGACTGGCCAAGTCCTCTGCATCTTCAGGCAACAGCTGCTTCACCGCGGCCGCTGCAGCGTCGCTCAGGCGAGGCTGTCACGCCAAATTAAATACCCAGAACAGGGAATCAGAGATGCATTGATAGAAAGTAATGAAGAAGAAAAAAAAAATGATTGAAGCTAAGCAGAATTAGTACCTGAGCGATCCTGCAGACGGCGAAGTGGCCGTCGACTCCCCATCCATGAACTACTGATGCAGGGGAAAACAGCAAAATGACATTGGAGAGTACTACTAGTAACAAGCCAGGAAACCCGTTGCGCTCCATTTTCTTTCTGGCACGGCAAATGGTGATAGTGTAAACCTGAAAGTGGTGCTCTAAATACTGTGATGAGGAAGCCGGCCGGCCACCATTTAATATGGAGATTGCTGTGAATAGGAAAGAGATTCTGAATTACCGTAACGTAAGAGGGCTGGTGGTGTGGTGTGTGAACTGTCTGACCGCAAACACAGCAGCTTTCTATGCGTTAAAAAGGAAATCAATCATTCTGTCACAAAAATGAAAAAAGGAATATAGAAGCTTTGGACAGTGGACACAGATGGTAGCTGCTACAATGGCTGCGAGTGAACTGATCATGACCACTCATCGAGAAGTTGCCTTGCCTGTGTTCATACTCGGTGTACAGTTAGGTTTGACTACAAAGGCACAGTAACAATTCTAAACTCAATAGTATATGCCTTCCAGTTTCAACTGACTATCATATTGGTATTAATTTCTTGGTTTGGACTAAAGATCGTGTAATTTTGGACAATTAATTTTGGGGGAAATGATGGTCACTGAATCAGGTGATTCAATGACAGAATAAATGGAGCAAGTGATGAAAATCGTGGGATATGGAATGGAATTTCAGATTGGATGTTTATGAGACTCCGGGTCGTTTGGTATTTGCGATTCCCATAATTCATGTATTGTGTTGAATGCATGTATTATAAATTGTTGTACATAATATTTGTAACTAAATTAATTGGATATTCATTTCGTTTAAAATCATTTATGTGCAAAACTCGTTATCAAATGATTCATATGTTTGGAATATGTCTGTTAATGAGTCAAGTCAAGCCGAGTTTTTTCATGTCTAGGTTTGACTCATTAATAAACAAGTCGAGTTCGAGTTTGACTCATTTATAAACGAGCTAAGTCGAGTTGAGATTGAGCTGGCTCATTTTTTAAAACTTACTTGACTCACCATTAAGATGAGGAGTCCAGTTCAGACTCAACTCTATAATAATTTTTACATTAGACCCCTAATATTTTTATATGACATATATGATACATATGATTAACTGATCTCATGTCATATGTTAGACATATTTACTCACATAATCAAAATCTTAAACATTTGAGATATACAATTTAATAAACCTGTAAATTATCAACAAGTCAACTCATATGATATAAATCGATTTTCTCATCAGCCGCTAGTCGAGTTGGCTCACTAATCATAATGTTGAGACAGAGCTCAACAAGCCACCTAGTCACAACAGCCCCAAATAACTCTATCCAATTTTCATTTTTCCCTCTCTGAATAAAGGCTTTCATTAACAAAAAAAAATAGTGAAAATTGTTCTTCCAGATGTGCTCCCAAAATTGATTTGATGAAGACATTTGATTCTATTGACTGAAATTTTATACTCAATATCTCCCTCCGAATCAACATTCAACCCCATAGTATAAGTCAATAAATATGAGTTTTACCATTGACCGAGTTTAACCAAATTTTTTTGGAGAATACTATTCATAGTGGGCCAGGAGCTAGCTGTGGCCGATTATATTTGAACCCATGTACACCATCTTTGGATGGCTAAGCAATGACCGTTCGATGAGCATCTTGGACAGGTCAATCATGACCATTGACTCCTTCTTTCCCTTTCTCCTCTAGCGAACCCTCAAAATTTAGGGATTTCATTCTCTCGAACTCTCTTTTTCCTCTCCTTCACGTTCTCCTTCAGCAATCAATTTCCATTCACCATCTCCGAAGTCTCCATCTATTCCCCCGAGATAAAATCGGCGAACGCCGAGAGCCCAGACGGTGGTGACGCCATTTCCCTTTCCTCTCCTTACCGACATGATGAGGACAGGATTTCTGCTTCAGAATCAAGCGGAAAACAGGTACTCACTGGGAGGTGAGTTCTTCCTCTTCATCCACTCTGCCATTCCTATTTCTTCTTCTCTTTTTCCCCAGTATGGAAACGATGACTTATATCACCCAGTTGCTGACTTTATATCATTCCCCTGAATTTCATAGGGTTTCTGGAGTTTCGGCGGTGCTCCAGAATGTTAAGACCAGAATGGAAAAATCACGGGAGCTTGCTTTTGCGCTTGACAATTCCTTAGACTCCCTCTCGACTCCCCCATTTTCCTTCTTAATTTGAGAGAGACGGTGGTCTCCATGATAGTCAAGCTTCAGGTTTGTCAATTCCTCATATTCCTCTTGGTGCTCGGTTCCTCTGTAATTTAAACATTTTTTTGTAGTTTTAAACAGTTGGATTGGTTTACCACATGCGGGAACTTCTTCCGATTTTAAGTAGTCTATTGGATGTTGAGCTTATTGTGTGTGGTGGTGGTTCAAGAACAAGAAACACAACAGAGAAGCAAACTGCATTTCCTTGGAGTTGCACATGGATGTGAATCGTAATGGTGATGCTTTACACAGTTCCAGTGGTTGGTATTAATCTAATAATCCAAGAGCTTTTCAAATGGTGTGTGCATTTGTTGGATAACCCTGAAATTATAAGTTATAGCAGTAACTGGACTTAACACAGGTTATATTTTTTTGGACTGATGAGTTCAACTAATCATTTTAAGCTTCTTTGCAGTCTGCTACTGCCTCCTAATCTAAATCAAGTTGTTAATTGGCTGTGCACTTCCTTTCAGGCTTGACTTACAGTTCCAATTCGCACAATCTTGGTGTTGGCATTCTTCCAAGTGTAAAAATGAAAAGAGGCCACCCTTGCAAGTATTCATTTGCATGTAATCCTACTATGGCACTGCCACAGCTTGTTGATTGATCCATGCTGGTGACATGCTTCATCTACTTCCATAGTTTGTTACTTCATGTTTACATGTGTGAATATGTAGGTCTGTGCATAAAATCTCGCCTTATATCTCAATTGGCCAATGCTTTTCCTCTTACGTCGAATGAAACCTAGACTAGCATATCATCAGTAAGCCATAAAGACCATAGATATCCTTGCTGCAGCTAAAAGTTATTGTGTTATACTATAGATTGCTACTTGAATTTGGTTAATACTGAAATGAGAAAATTGTTGTGGCTGCCCTCGAGCAAAGCATGGAAATCAATACGTATGTTCCACCGTTTCCCAGTTTACTTGTAGGGGTTTTGCTCTTCCCATATGCAAAGATAGTATTAGATTATTTGTTAGTCTCATGTCTTATATTTTCTTGCCATTGACATGATTGGCTCTTAGATAGTGAAATAGAACACCAGTAGGAAAAGGAAGGAATATTTTCTATTGCTTTTGCACCGAGTTATTTGCGCTAGATTTGTTGGTCATCAAATGATCTTTGCTGTTTGAGGATAATTGTCAATGAACCTAGAAACTTCTGAGGAATTTTGAATTGTACACAATTCAAATGAGTTCTCTGATGTGGAATCTAATTGGCTTGAAGAAGGGTAGTAATTCTGCATGCTTAAACTTGGCATGCAGTTCTTAAAACTTGATTCAAAACAATCAGCCAATGGGGTGATTTATTTCTTTCTTGCTTCTTTGTTCTTTATATGCTTACTTATTGAATCTTCCTATTGCGTTTATTAAGTAATGTAATTTGAAGAAAGTTTTGCCCAGGGAGAATTTCTCTTCCCTAGCAGCAAGGTGATGATGGATCAGTTGAAATCAGAGTTTTTTTTTCTTCATTAGGTGATGATTTATTTTATGTTGTTTAATCCCAAAGAAGGAGTGCCAGGGTTGTTGCATTCATATGTCTCATACGTTACAGCTCGCAGCCAATTCTGAAGTGGGCACAAAACACTGAAAGAAGATGTCAAACTCAACCTGCAACCTGATTTCAAGGTAATATTTTCATACATTAAAGATGGTTCTGCCTATGATATAGATCTTAAACTATCCGACAGAGTCATCATTGAGATATTTGAAAAGGGGCAATTTTGTTTGTAGTAGGTAGATTTTTTGAAAATTGGAGTAGATGCTAAATTGGTTTCCTTGGACGGGAGAGAATATATAACATGTGATGATTACACTGGATTACAACATGCCACACACTTGTTTGATCAACAATGAAAGTATGCAGGTCCATTCTTTCGTACCAGTTATTAGGAAAATGTCTATAGGAACTAATTTCGTGGGAAGAGACATTGAATTAATTCACTAGCTACTTCAGATCTACATTTTTCAGACTCCTCAAATTCTAATCAACTTACTTACGTATTAAATTTGGGGTGGCCAAACATTACCCCTTTTCCCCACACATTTCAGTTTGCTAGAAGAAAGTTTTTTGTCTTCCACCCAATAATTGAATAGTCTTTAAACTAATCAAGCCAGCCAAATCTGAACCTAATCAAAGTAGGGGAAATAAGAAAGCTGTTGAGTAACATCATCATCACCATAGCTGGTTCATGGGATCTCTAACTGTCTAATTAATTGGTTTATAGGGAAATTAGGTCCGGGTTGTAAGTCTATATAGGAATTTATTGTTCCTTAGGGTTATATATGTCTTGGAGGGAAATTTCGTTACTATTTGTTAACTGTCTTTTTCACTACAGCCATGAGTCTCGTGTAGGTTTCTAAACTATAGATAGTTCAGACGCTAAACTATCCTATTGAGTATTGATGTACACATAAATTTGTTAAATCTCAATTAGCCAATAGCACAGGACAGGATAGATCCCACCACGCAACTGAATATTGATAGTCTTTTCCTTTCTACTCTGTGTTTTTCCTCTGGCGGTTGTATGATGGGTTTTATGGAAAGGTTTCAGCTTTCTGTCCATTTTTAGTTCCACCCTCGTTTTTAAAGTTTCTGGGTTTCTCTTTACCCACAGCATGCATTTGTCTCTCTGCATGTGTTCCTCTGTATTTCGAAGGGGGACGAGGGAGCTTGTATCTGTTGTTTCTGCTGCTGTGCACTGGTTCTTTCTTTCTGGTAGGAGTGTGTGGTTGTGTAATAAAAGATGGGTGCAAATGCAAAGCTGCAGCAGCAGCAACTGAGCCAGTTCCATAACCATCACTTGCTGCAGGAGTATGAGAAGCAAATAGGCTCCAAGACAGCATCTTTCTCGGTGCAGGCATACAGGAAATGGATCCCCAAGGCATTGGTGGGGTGGGTCATGGTGACTTGCGGCATTGCTTTGTGGCTTTACAGTTACATGGACGATGACGGCAGATTAAGGAGGAAAGAACTGCTGCAGAGCATGTGTGACCAAAGGGCCAGAATGTTGCAGGATCAGTTCATTGCTAGCGTTAACCATGTCCATGCCCTTGCCATTCTCATTTCCACTTTCCATTACTTCAAGAACCCTTCTGCCATTGACCAGGTTCTGTCTTTCTTTAATTAGATTGTGTCCTATTATAAACGTCTTCTGCTCCCTCCCTCAAAGTCGTTTGCTTGATGTTTCTGTCTATTTTCCCAGCAGGAAATGTTTGCTGAGTACACTGCAAGAACAGCATTTGAACGGCCATTGCTAACTGGGGTCGCCTATTCAGAAAGGGTGCCCGATTCTGAGAGGGAAGAATTTGAGAGGAAATATGGCTGGACGATCAAGACAATGCAAAGGGAGGCTCCTCCCATTCGGAATGAGTATGCACCAGTGATATTGTCTCAAGAAACTGTCTCTTACCTTCAGTCCATTGACATGATGTCTGGGGAGGTAAAATCAGCTCAGCATTTTGTCTTTTCTGTTACTTGTTTTCCATTCGTACTCAATTGTTTTGGTTGGAAGTTCTTAATGCTTGTATGGTTTCACATTATTATGCAGGAGGACAGAGAAAACATAGTGCGAGCTCGGTCTACAGGGAAAGCTGTGTTTACAGGGCCTTTCAGGCTACTTGGCTCCAATCATCTTGGTGTTGTGTTGACATTTCCAGTTTACAAGCCCAAGCTTCCTTCATCGTCCACAGTACAACAGCGAATCGAAGCAACTGCAGGGTAAGTGCTAATGCGGGCCTTTGTATCACAGCTACTTTCACAGTTGGGTTAATGTTGTACTAAATATATGCATAACTGATGAGGAAAGCAGATATCTTGGGGGTTCATTTGATGTGGAGTCCCTAGTGGAGAACTTGCTTGGAAAACTAGCTGGGAATCAAGCGATTTTGGTGAATGTTTATGACGTGACCAACTCATCGGATCCATTGATCATGTATGGTCATGAAGATCAGGAAGGTGACACGTCACTTGTACTCGAGAGTAAACTTGATTTTCAGGATCCATTTAGAAAGCATAAGATGGTTTGCAGGTCAGTTGCATCAATAAGATCATTGAAGCTTTGATAAACAAATATTATTTTTGGAATCTCTGGAATTTCAGATTTATGCGAACTCTTCTGCAAACGTATTTTTGCAGATACCACGATAATGCATCGTGGAATTGGTCAGCAATCATCACGACGGGATTGTTCTGGATGGTAGGTATATTAATTGGATACATCTTTTACGGTGCAGGAAACCACATTGTGAAAGTTGAGGATGAGTTCAATGAAATGGAGGAGCTGAAAAGCAGAGCTGAAGCTGCTGATATTGCGAAATCACAGGTAAAGTTCCTGCTCTTGTCCCTCCTGATCAACCATTGTTCACTAATTTTCTCTTATGTCTTGACCAACTTAGACTCTTGAAATATTTACTGGCAGTTTCTGGCTATGGTATCACATGAAATCAGAACGCCGATGAATGGTGTCCTTGGTAAGTAAATTCATAGACCTTCTGTTTTCTCTCCAGAGATGGAAAATGAAGCTTGGTCTTCTCGTTTTTTCGAACTTAGCTCCTCTGCAAAATCTTATTTCCTATGCTGCAGGAATGCTTGCCTTGCTCCTGGATACTGATCTTAGTTCAACTCAGAGAGACTATGCTCAAACAGCACAAGCCTGTGGGCAGGCACTGATAACTTTGATAAATGAGGTGCTGGACCGGGCCAAAATCGAAGCTGGAAAGTTAGACCTGGAGACTGTCCCATTTCACCTTCGATCCCTATTAGATGACGTGCTTTCTTTGTTCTCTGAGAAGTCTAGGAACAAAAGCATAGAGGTTGGTGTTTGAACTATCAGTCTCAGCTTAAAGTTTCTTTATACATCAGTTTAGACATTCCAATTATGTAAGTCCTTATGTTCTATCTGACATTGTTTGTCGCACATCCTCTCTCAAAACAGTTGGCTGTGTTTGTTTCGGATAATGTTCCGGAGTTGGTTGTTGGGGATCCTGGAAGATTCAGACAAGTCATCACAAATCTTGTTGGGAACTCAGTGAAGGTAATTAGTTGGCTTGCTCATTTGACTCCTTCATTGTTTCTCTAATATTACACAAGCATGAAGCACCCCTCAAGGGTTCTATTTAAGCTATTGGCGAGATCTTACAAACTGAAAAATGATCTGTGCAGTTCACTGAACGAGGACATATTTTTCTTAGAGTTCATCTAGAAGAGCACGCCAAGGCCGTCAAGAACTCAAAATCCAACATCAGTAGTCCTATGGATGGAGAGGAATCCGATTCCCGACAATTCGGGACCTTAAGTGCTTTAGAGGCTGCCGATGAGTGGAACAGCTGGGACACCTTCAAGTACTTCGTTGCTGAAGAAGGGTTCACAATGAAAGATTCATCAAATGGAGGAACAACTCATGAAGATGCAACTGGGAACCTTGTCACGTTGAGAGTGTGCGTGGAAGACACCGGGATAGGAATCCCTCTGCCGGCTCAGTACCGTGTTTTCATGCCATTTGTGCAGGCAGACAGTTCGACGTCGAGAACCTATGGAGGAACGGGGATTGGATTGAGTATCAGCAAGTCTTTGGTTGAACTCATGGGCGGACAGATAAAGTTTGTCAGCCGGCCTCGTGTTGGCAGTACTTTCACATTCACAGCAGTTCTACAGAGGTACCAGGGAAATGATGTGAACAATGCAGAGAAAAAACGAAATGCTGAAGACCTGCCTTCGAGCTTTAGAGGACTGAAGGCGGTAATAGTAGATGCTAAACCGGTGAGGGCAGCTGTTACTCGGTATCACCTTAAGAGGCTTGGCATTGTAGTTGAAGTTGCTAGTAGCATCAAGGTGGCAGCTACTATGTTTGGGGAAAATGATACCCTTGCAGCCGGGTAAGCTTCTATTCATGACGTGTCTACCTATCTTTTCATATATAACGTTAAAACATTTTGCTTGTTGATCTTCTGGAAAATGCAGGAAGAACAGTCAGCCTGACATAGTTCTTATGGAGAAAGACGCATGCTTCTCTGGGGAGGAACACGGTTCACCAGTATGGCCGTCAGATTGGAAACAGAATGGAAATAAGAATAGTGTCCGAAAGTTTGCAAAGATGATCCTGATAGCTACCAATATCAGCAACTGGGAAGTGGAGAGAGCTAAAGAAGCAGGGTTTGAAGACACTGTGATCATGAAGCCCTTGAGAGCAAGCATGATGGCTGCATGTCTTCATCAAGTTCTTGGAACGGGGAGGAAGAAGTCGCAAGGTAAAGGATCGTCAAATTACCTGCAGAGTAGTCTACTGTGTGGCAAGAAGATTCTCGTGGTCGATGACAACAGAGTGAACCAGAGAGTCGCTGCTGGGGCATTGAAGAAGTTTGGGGCCAATGTCGAATGTGCTGACAGTGGCAAAGCTGCCCTTGAGCTGCTTCAGATACCGCATGGGTTCGATGCTTGCTTCATGGATATTCAGATGCCTGAAATGGATGGGTATATTCCTTTTTCGACATCTCTCCTTTGTATTATTTTCTTGTTCATGTAGCACATTGCCTCTAACATGTGTATTCTAGGTTTGAGGCAACGCGACAGATAAGGCAGATGGAAGAGCAAGCGAATGAGAAGTCGGGAGCAGAAGGTTCGATCGTAGAAGACGGGGAGGATGGATGGCATTTGCCGGTATTAGCCATGACCGCTGATGTGGTACAGGCGACGTACGAGGAGTGCGTGAAATGTGGGATGGATGGATATGTGTCGAAGCCATTTGAGGAGCAGAAACTGCATCAGGCAGTTGCCAAGTTCTTCCAAGATAAGCCCATTTCTAGGTCATAATCGGTCAACCAAATTACAAAGGAGAACAGATTTTGATGATTCTTTTGACGGGCAATGTAGATGCATTGGTTTGCTAACCGGTTTCATGTTAGGCCTTGCTAATGCTAGGTGAAGGAAAACGATAATGAATGGAGAAGGTAGAAACTAGAAATTATGTGCCCACCATCTCGTCTCATCTCATTTCATGTTTATATAGCATAGGAGATTTGAGGGGATGAATCGGCCATCTAAAGTGAAAGAAAGGATATTGTCAATCTTTGTATCTCTTGAGCAATGCTGTAAAAGGCGAGCTGGAGTATGACCCGTTAACGTGAACGGCTCGGTCATTAGTGGTCCAACCGGTATTAGACCGTTTAAAAATCGTTTGAGAACCGGTACCTAATAAACAGCCAGCATTCTCCCTGTCCCTTGCCCAAAAGGTGTTCCGTCTTTTACCTCTCCCTCCTATCCTATGGCGTTGGAAGCTGCGATCTACTCGCAAGACCCGTTTGGTTACCCACCATTATTCAAGGACCACTATGGTTATGGCTTCCAGCAAGAACAAGAAGAAGAAGAAGACGGCGCCCTCGGAATAATCCTCGAGGACAAAATAATGTTCAACGATTCCATCGCCACATTTTTCAACCCGTCGCCGCAAGAGGAAGCTCTGGCGGGGTCCACGTCTATTGCCCCAGCACGGCGGAAGCGGCGGCGGACCAAGAACGCGAAGAACAAAGAGGAGATAGAGAGCCAGAGGATGACTCACATCGCGGTGGAGCGCAACCGGAGGAAACAGATGGCGACGGCCGATGGCGTCGAGCGATGGCGAACGGCGACTGCGGAGGGCGAGGCTTCTTCGTTCTTCCGTCTTCGTGTCTGGCTGCGCGAAGGAAGGGGGAAGAAATGAATTGAATTAGGGTTACGTTTTCATTCAGCCCCTTTCATTTTCATTTTTCGATTTTTTTTTATTAAAGCAACCGACCCAAATGGTAAAAGCCGGCCGAGCGGCTCGAGCGGTTAACCGCTTCGGCCGCTCGCCGATCGCCCCAATTAACCACTCCGGCTAAATAGCTGAGTCGAGCCGATTTTATGGCCGGGTGGCGGTTTTCTCGGCCGGCCGGCTCGACTCGGCTTTGACAACACTGCTCTTGAGGGTTTTTTTTTTTGTTTTGTTTTGTTTTTGTTTCACTCATCCTCTGAGGTTTCATGTCAATGTGTTTGTTGATTCATTTAATAAATTCATGGGACGGCAGAAACAATCAAAACAAGGAATTTGGTGGGACAGCCCCCTATTGAAATTGAAGGAGGAGTTGGTTGTCACGTCGGCCGGCGTGCCACCGGTTGAAACTGGTTCAACCGATACCGGTCATAAAATCAGCGTGACACCATCGGTATGATTGGTATGATCGATATACGAATCTCTAAGTAAAATGATCTTATTTTAGTGAATTTAATTGATAAAAATAATTTTATTAATTATTTTATGAGTATAAAAGTTAAATATTGATGTTATTTGTTGAATTCAAGTATAAATGTTTAAGTATTGACGTTAAATGTCATGTTTAAATATGAGTATTTATAATTTTATTTATAATATTGACCGGCATGAACCTGCACAAACCGATATGTGCCACGGATCGAACCATTCCACTTGCTAAACCGGCACACTGACGTAAACCGGTTTCACAACCTCTGGAGGACCAAAGAACTCCGAGCAAAACCAAAAAGGGGCAGGCGCTTCTTGATGCATACCAGAAGCCGCAGTGGTTGCTTGCTCTGCTCTCTTCTGCCATTACGGACCACAAAATAAATCATTTCATACCAACCAAACACCATAAAATAAAGAAAAGAGAACTGCTAGTACTAACTAGAGCCATAAATATTCGTAAAAAAAACAAAAAAAAACTAGAGCCATAAATAAAATACAAATTATCAGATAGCTACAACTGGCCGCTGAGGAAAAGCCGAAAAGGACAAAATAATCCAAGGAAAGCAAGCAAAATGAGCTGTCGCCGTCGTTGCATGAATGAATAAAAAAAAATTATATTTTGTATTATTACCTGGATTGTTGTCTGTGATATGATTTTATTTTATTCGGTTAATTATTAAGGTTAAACAAAGGCTGCGACAAACTTGGAGGATTCGGATCGAGTCGAATCATTGGCCTGACTGTACGTGTTCTTACTTTTGTTACTCATTCTCTTCTATGCAGCTACCCGATCCATTCTTATCGTAGGCCATAAATAAATCCACTTGCTTTCTCTATTTCCTTTCTCATTTTTATTTAATACGAGAATTCGCAATTAGACAAACAGATGGTAACAAGACAATTCAATTAATTCCCACTTGGATAACTAAATAGAGATGGTATACACACGTAATTACACTTTTGAGTTTTGAGGTATGTGCGAGAAACAAATATATAATTAAGTACCCAATTAAGCAAATTGGTCATACTAGATAATTTCATAATTTTCCAAGAAAAAAGCAACCTCACAATTAAATATATAATAAACAGGTTTTTCGTGACTTGTAAAAGATCAGCCAATACATTTATCAATGGAGAATGTCGCTCACATGGATGTAGTAATCGTGTACCTAGCTAGTGTGCATGGTGCTCGTGCACCCACGTTGGCGTTAATTAATTGATTAATTAATAGGGTTAATATTTTTGTATGGCATGAACTTTGATCAAAATAAACATTATGGCCAATCTTTTCGATCTATAACATCCTGGCTCGAACTATACATCAAAATAAACAATTTGGCCAGATTCGACTTTTGACTGTTAACTTGGACGGTCAAACGCGTTGACTAACGGTTAACGCACCATGTCACTGCCAACTCAACAAATTTCAAAATTTTTTTAAGTTTACACCTATTTCCATTTTCTTTCCTTTATCATTTTGAACGGAAAAAAAAAACAAATTTTCAATTTCGGATATATCCCCCAACAAACCCCCTGTCCTAACTGAGTTGGTAGTGACATGGCGCGTTGACCGTTAGTCAACATGTTTGACCGTTCAAGTTAACGGTCAAAAGTCGGATCTGGCCAAATTGTTTATTTTGATGTATAGTTCGGGCCAAGATGTTATAGATCGAAAAGATTGGCCAAGATGTTTATTTCGGTCAAACTTCAGCCCAAACTGAAATATTAACCCTAATTAATATGATGGCTTGTAATTAGGAGTTAGGTGTAGAACTTTGACATTTCTAACCATATTGTTACCCTCATTTAACATCTCAACAAGAGAACCCTGGACCCCCCAAATGTCCTTTCATTGGCTCAAGCAATGTAAGTATCAAACGTTTGAATCATACCGCAATCAAGTGGAAACTCCTCTTTTCTGGGAAAGGAGGATGTTGATCATATGGCCAGCTAAAATGATGTGTCCTTCGTCAAGAAACCAGGAAGGAAGGTCCTGAAAAGAACCTGTGTCGCAAACCGAGCTACTGACCCAAACCGGATTGATCGTTTCGTGCTAGTGACGGACTTATGGCACGATCGACTACTTGAGTAGGGCAACATTGTTAAACAATGATATATATAAAAATAGAAACAAAGAATAAAATTATCTTAACAAAACGATATACTATAAGTTGAATTCGATTCGACACGTTTTCAAATTTTTTATAGGCCGCACGGAGTTGAACACAATTGTTCTATTCGTATATAATTTTTGTCATTGACTCGTCAATTTAGAATTCAAAGCTTCTAGTTTAGGGGTCGTTTGGAAGTTGCGATTGTTAGTGTTGTATTTGTTCAATACATGCATTGTCCACAATACAACGTTTGGAAGTGTCAAGTTGCAAAACAATGCATGTATTGTTTTGTGTGGGTCCCACTAACAATCAACAAAAATGAGGGATTGTACAATCTCAACTAAAAGTTGAGATTGTTGTGATTGTTGGTTTAATAATTGAACACCTTTACTTTTTCCAATTATGTCCATAGTTCTTTTTGTTTTATATTAAAAGTGGAGGACAAATATGACATTTCCTTATAAAGTAACTTTATAACAATCCATTCATAAATGATAATCTCAACAACCAAACAATGTAATTACAAAATGCATCTATTGTATCAATGCATGAATTTATATCATAGTGATTCATAACAATACAACGATTTAACATACGCAACTTCCAAACGACCCCTGAGTTTTAAATTTCCCTAAAATTTCCCTAAAATAGCATCTATTGTGACATATATATATATATATATATATAAAATGATATCAACCACAAATTTGAAAAAACTCGCTAGTATGATTTTTTATGCGTGTAGTCTTTGCCACACAAGCGGTTGTTAATAGGGATGGTAATGGGGCGGGTTTGCATAAATCATCCTCATCCCCATCCCCATTACCAAATACCTAAACCTATACCCGCCACATACCCATGTAGATGGAGGTTTTGCAAACTCATACCCATACCTATGGTTTCGAATACTCATGGGTTATACCCGCCCCCGTATAAGCAATGTTGTTACATCTAAAGTTCAACATGTATGTCTTCAATTATAACACAAAACATACATAATAAATAGAGGAAATCAATATAGTTATAGTAATTTTTAATAGGAAAAAGCATTCAATCCTAAAATATTGATTAATCAATAAAATAAAATGAAAATATAACACTATATCAAAGCATTCATCTTCAAATCTAACACATCTATATAGTAAATAACTAACATAAACCTGTCAACTAGGCAAAAACCTATTTTGCTTCTAAAATATTAAAGTCTACTAGACTACCAATTATTCAAACACACTAAGCTACACCAATATGCATCAAAATAATTCAGATTTAAAAAAATGATGTGCAATGACCTATTACTATCTCATCAACAATTTTGGTAAGATGGTCATTTCCAAAATGATTTAGGAGCCAGAAGAGGAAATGCGGCGACATTGAAGAATCGAGAAAGTAAACTGTTGCCGGCTGAGTGAGTTGAAAATTTCAAGGGTTTTGATAAATATAATAATTCATTTTGATAATGTTTCTTATTTAACTAACTTCATGCTAATAATAATTTATGAAAATATATTTATAGCCTTTTACTTGTAGCAAAATACCTTGATGGGGCATGTTTGGGTATGGGCATAAGGCGGGGGACACTAAAACCATACCCACGCTATACCTATCAAGTTCTTTGCGGGTTTTACCCATACCCGCTCCATACCCGATCAATGCAGAGATTCTCCGCATTGACTGGATCGGAGGTGGGCAGATACCCGCAGCCATGAGTTTGATTGTCATTCGTAGTTGTTAATTTGCTGATCATTTGGAGCAACAAAACGGAATCTTATCGTGTTAAGTGTTAATATATCATTCATCTCCCTCGCCCCCAAGCAAAGGATGAGACGCACACAAATCTGCCGAGTCACCATTCGGTTAGGGCATAATATGTTTTCTTCAATTCCTATCCAATTCAGCCTCCTCGTTGCTGAACGATGATATATATGATTGTCTACGTGCTTAGCTGTCTCTTCTCTGACGCGGTCATGGACTGGACTGGATCCTTAATTCACATTCTCATCCGCCCACTTGCCTATTTCTTTCTCCTCCTAATTATTTGGGTCGCCAAATATTACCCTTTTCAGTTTGTTACAGGACCGTATTTTGTCGACTAACACAATAATTTTGAATGGCCAATAAACTAGTCACGCCATCCAAATCTGAACCCACTCAAATTCGGCAGGAGAAAGAAAATGGAAGTAGTTGAGAAACATCACCAGCTGTGCTGTTGGGATTCCTTAATTTACCATCTCAATAATTGGTTTGGAAAATTTGGTTTTATTTAGCGGAGTAGTTTGGTCGCCTTTGTTACTGCTTTCCATCGTATTTAACAGCGCGACTACTCACTTTTACGTATTGTACAGATTCTCGTTGTTAGACAAAATGATGTTAAATTTGTATTTATCTACATAGAAATCTTATTGTTGACTAATTTGTTCATTAGAGTCATATGAGGAAACCTATTATCCTGCTTATTTAGGTACAATTTTGTTAAAATTTTGTAATTTATTAATTTATAATATTGGTTAGAATAACCTTTTGTCCTCTATTCAGACAGGAAAAAAGTCGCCGTGGGTTAAAACGTTAAACAACATTTAATGAAGCGACTCAACTGTAATATTGAACTTCGCCGTCGCCGAACCCCACCCGCTCACCCTTTTCGGCGGTTCCTTTATTTCCTTCCTTCAGTCAAATCCGCGATCAAATTACACAACTGCCCCTTATCTCCCTTTAAATCCCCGTCTTTTCCAGCCTAACATTTCCCCCTCCTCCGTTTAGCTTTCCAGCAAGCAACAACCAGCATAAAAACAACAAGAAACCTCTGCTCTGTTTCTTCACATTTCTCCCCCACCCCTTTCTTCTGTTTTCCCCTTTTAATTTCCTTCCCCTAGACCCTGTCAATTCAATCCAAGCCTCTACAACCCAGTTCGGAGAATCAATCATCAGTCCACCACTTCCCTCCTCTGCCGCCGTTGACGGGAAAAAAACCATGGAGGTTCCGGTGATTAATAGAATAAGCGACTTCGAAGGCGGTGGGATAAACCCATCTGTAGTCGCTCGAGCTTTTGCTGCTTCCGGGATCGAGAGAATCTATCAGGCCTACAGTGTTTGGAAATGGGGCGCCCTAATGGTCGCCTTGTTAGTCGCCTCCATCACCACAATCGTCAGCCGAATCAGAATCCTCCTGATTCGGTTCCGGCAGAGTCGCCCAATTTCTACGGCGGCGGCTCTGCTTATCCAGGAAGAGTCTGATTACGACACCGAATCTGAATCCGGGTCCGAATCCGAGTTCTCGGAAGACGACGAAGAAGAAACTGATGCCGATTTTGAAGAGGAAGAGTTGGGTTCCGACGGCGATGAAGATTTTAGTGTGCGGGGGTCGTCTAAGTTCGGTCGGCGGCTCCGGCGGCGGAGCAGCAGCATTGGGGATTTCTTCTCGTGGCCGGAGTTCGCGAACGGGACGACGAGCAGCGTGGTCAAGCTCTGGGACAACTTGGGACTGGGACTGGAGGGAGAGCCAAACCTGAGGTCCATTTTTGGGGCAGGGAGCGAGATGCTCTTCCCCGGGGCGGCGGTTTCGGCGTCGGCGATGTCGCCGGCGGTTATAGTGTCGGCGGAGACGAACATGGCGGGGAACCTGCTGAGGGTGTGGGACAGTCGGGTCGGGTGCCGGATCCCGCAGATGCTGGCGGAGTGGCGGCCGATGCTCGGGAATATCGTCGGCGTCAACGCCGCCGGGTTTTTGGAGAAGGTGTACGTCAAGGAAGAGGATGACGTTAGGCGTGAATTGACGGTGGCTGATATGAGAAAAAAGGCCCCGGTTGTAGGTAGCGTGACGGAATCTGAGGCCGCAGCGGATCTCTGGTGTGACGCTGACGCCGTTATTGTTGGAAACGACTCGTCCTCGTCCACGTCGTCAAAGTTTGACTCGTTGAGGCGACGCGTTTAGGCTGACTGGGCCTTAGCTGGATTTGGGCTGGATTGGCCCAGGCCAGAGCTGTCCCTATGTTGTAATTTGTAAATAATTCATGGATTTAAATAAAATATAATTAGCACCTAAATAAGCGGTGATCCCAGTAAATGAAGTAATGAACCTCGCCTAATCATGCCTGATGTGACCACTAATCAAGTATTATCTTTCGTGTTATCTTTTATCGACAGGAACCTTTCGTGTTTTCTTGTTTGGTGCTAACGTGTTTTGATTATCAATTATCATTTGGGTGTCATTATCACTTTCGTTGAAAGGTCTCTGAATTTGAGGGTTATCTTAAGAGTGAGGTCCGGATAGAAAAATACGATTGTGTTGTTTTGTCCACTCATCTAGAAAGGGTAAAACGTATCGAAATTGTTCTCTTTTGTGGATGAATTGTATTAAAATGTTGGCGAAGCAGACATGTGATAATTTTACAGGTTATGATTCAACAGTACACGACAAAGATTAAAAGTCAAGAAAGGAAATAGAAGAATCGCCAATGTATTGGTGCCGTATTATTGGTAACATTATTAAGGGTTAATTGTCACTGAGATTATGAAAAACATTTATATTTGGTCACTAGAAATATTTAAATTCAATCTTGGTCACTTAAATTAGTTAAATAATTCAGGTTTAGTCACTCTCCGTCCAACTTCGTTAAATTTGTCTGATATGACAGTCAACTCTCAGAATTGACTATTATACTTCACTGCATTTACATATAACAAGCTTGTTCTAGTAACCATTTCTCTTCAAGAATGTATTTTGGGCATGGTAAAGGAAACCGTACCGGAAGTCATACCGGATCCGTAAGTGGTACGGTATTTTATGGTACGACCGTGGTTCAACCATTGTGTACCGATAAATACCGTTTTTGTAATAATAAAATATATATTTTGTCAAAATATCGTTCCGTCAAATTCAGGATACCGTTTCGGAATAATACCGTAAATATCGGAATATACCGGACAATAAATACAACTAGTTAGAAAACAAATTAATATAAAATTTAAACAATAATTATATATTAAAAAAACTTACCCTCATTTATCATCTTCCTCGTTTCCTCCCCGTAAAGCCTTTCCCCATCTCTCTCTCTCTCTCTCTCTCTCTCTCTCTCACCTAACCATATCCAGATCGCAAACCAAATCTCAGACCTCCACCTCCCGGCGCTCAAAGCCATAATAAAACTCTCATCTCTTTGCCGCGATTACCAAGGAAGGAAACCTGATCAAGGACGGCGGAGGGAAACCACAAACCAGGCCTGCGGAGAGCACAAGATCCCCCGTTCTCTTCTGCCGAGTGTCGAGCAGGCGGCGTTCTGGAGAAGAGGAGGAGGGGAAGGGTGAAGTGAAACCGAAACGACGGCGAAGAAAGAATCGATTAGGGATTAGGCCATTAGGGTTGTTAGTTTGCACGTTTTTTCCCCCAATTTCGCCGCATGAATTGGCGACGTTTCTTTGAAATCAGTCTACCGCCGGTCGGAATAAAGCCGGACGGTATCTCGGGTTATGCCGGTTATACCGTAAAAACCGGCCGGCGCGGTAATTTGCTTGGTAAATAGGTGCCGTATCGTCCCTGGTCCGGTTGAACCGGCCGGTACGATCCGGTTTCCTGTTCCATGATTTTGGGAGCTGGTTTGGTTGCAGGGAAGCGATATAGTGGCGGGGAGTAAGCACCCTTTTTCAATTTGTAATTATAATATTTATCTGTTTTATTTATTTTACTTTATTGTGAAAATGAGTTGGAAATAGTAGAAGATTAACATATATTTTATTTATTATTTTTAATTGCCATGTCATTGAGTTAACGATCAACTTTGAGGGTTGACTGCCACATCAGACAAATTTAACGGAGTTTTACGGAGAGTGACCAAACTTGAACCATTTAACTAATTCGTCATTCGAGTGACCAAGATTGGATTTAAATATTTTGAGTGACCAAACATGAACATTTTTTGTAATCTCAGTGATCAAACATGCAATTAACCCACATTATTAATATGAAAGAATATTATTTTATCACACAACCGACCATATTTTTGTTGGCCTTCCACATACAAATGGTTTCCATTAGAAGAGTAATCGGTCATATAATCAAGGGCTATTGAAGAAAATATTATGGCATTAACCACCAACGGGTGGTGGAGGCGGTAAATGCCCAGGATTGTATACATGAGGTATTGGGTTCGATTCTTGGCAGCCGCCACTTCTGTAATACCTTATTAGTAGTCACCGACTCGTTAGAGTTCTAGGGAAATGCTAGTGAGAAAGCAAAGGAGGAGGAAGTTGACATCTGTATGACTTGAAATTTATTTCAGTTTGCCTGGGTCTCATTCGGCGGGCGGGATAGTTCTTCTTGGCCCGCATAGGGACGTCCTTTTCGCTCAGGGGTTCCAGTTTCACTCTATTGATGATCCTCTGGTTGTGGAAACCCTCGTCCTCAGGGAAGTTTTTTCCTGGTGTATGACCAATGGATTCCTGGATGTGAGATTTGAAAGCGATGCCAAGGTCATCATCGACAAGATCAATCAAGAGGATACTAGAGATAGTAGGGTTGGGATGGTTTTGGGGGAAATTAGGCAGTTTCTTGCATCTCACTCGGGGTTTAGCTTACGATTTGTAGGACAGAATAACAATAGGGTAGCCCATATGGTGGCTAGAAAGGCCCTTTCTTTGTACCCGTCTACGTGTCGTACTTTTAATTTTCAGGTCTGGCTGTATTCCAGGATGTAACGTTCTGCCTCTGTTGAATCAATATATGATTATCTTTTATAAAAAAAAAATGATATGTGACTGTAGTGCGTCAATTAGGGTGGACCTCCATCTCATTCTCACCTGTAAGGATCTATAAAATATATAAAGGCTTTTCCAAAAACTACCTTCACCATTTCAAAATTCCAGCCCTCCTACGCATCCACGTCAGCACCCTTCCGACCAATCAGATTTTTTCTTAACTCCTTTTTTTTGTTTTAAGTTTTTGTATACCCCAATCAGAATGTGCCACTTAACTCTCTCTCTCTCTCTTATTTTTAAATCTCCCCTACTACTCTTAATTGATTCATATTTATTTCGCTTCAACTCCAAATTTAAATATTATTGCGCGAAAAAATCAGATTTTATGTGATCTACACAAGGATATCCATTTTGATATATGTTTTTTTTAAACATAGCCACAATCATATATATACAAGGCATGTTCCTATTCGATAGTTGCGAAACTATATCAATATCATTCAATTGTACCGCCATAAAGTATATACTAACATAGATCGCAGAACAAATTTCTTATTCTACTGAGTTACTAAATAATATCAATGTTTAATTTTGTAATATCATAATAATAATGCACAACAATTTCATAGGTGCTAAAATATTGTCGTGCAGTACAAACTAATTTACCTTAAAAAAAATCATTTAGCGGTCAACTGGTCGGACTCAAAGGTATACACGATTTGAAATGAGAGAGGACAATGACAGACTAAACAAAATAGACACCTTAGGAGGAAAAAATTACCAAAGTACATATTTCAAACAAAATTTACCCGGCCAACGGACCGGGTACCAAACTAGTATCTGTATTAGAGAAAATACATAAAAGCTTTTTTATTTATTTCATTTATTCATTTTTCAGTTCCTACTCTTGTGGAACGTGAAATAGTGCGTAGCTTTCGGTTGCTAAAATTATCTTCTTCTCTGTATATGAACGTTGGCTTCCATCAATGTAAATCAAGTCAATTTTCTACAACAAACTTCTATTCCAAAAACTCTCACATGGTATAAGAGCAAGTCAGGATCAAATAGCTCCGATCAAGCTTCATTCTTACTATTCTCCTCTCCCATTACCTCTGTTTCTTATTCCTCTGTTTTTCATCATGTCCGGCTCATCCGTTTCAAGAGGAATTTTGCAATACTATATAGCATTGGTGCTATAGGTTTTTGCCTTTATGGTACAACTTGAAATTGTACCTTTAACGTTACGGTACAATTTCAGATTGTACGTATATTTTTTGTACAAATTCTTTTATGGTACAACTTAAACTTGTACCTTATGTGATGGTACAACTTTAAAACTTAAAGTTGTACCATCACATAATGATACAAATTCCTTTATGGTACAACCTAAACTTATACATTTAATGTTATAGTACAACTTCAAGTTGTACATTAAAGCACCAATGCTATATAGCATAGTAAAAGTGCTCCAGTTTCAGATGGCTCTGCAATCCCTACAGAAGATTCGATCATTACCTTTTATCCCGCGGCGCAATTGCATCTGAAACTGACCTCGAACAACTTACATTCCCGGAGATTGCAATTGGAGACATTGCTGATGGTATTGGACCTCATAGCCTTCATTGATGGAACAAGTGATGCCCCTGCTCAAACGCTCACGACAAACAACACCACTCAACCCAATCCCGCGTATCGCCGCTGGTATCGTCAAGATAAGTTGATTCTCCATGCTCTTCGATGCTCAATCTCTGAATCTCTCTATTCGTATGTGGTAGCGGCAACACTAGCAGAGGAGGTGGCGGAGCCTTTTAGTGGTGGCGACCTCAGCGCCCTCTCTCCATCTCGCGACCCAGTCGCCTTGCTTGGCCAAACTAGATACCCCAGCGCCCACTCTCCCTCTCATGGCCTAGCACCCTTGCTTGGCCCACATGGTGCTTTTGAGCCCAATTCACCACGAAAGGGGCTAGTTATTTGCATGGATTACGAAACCGTACCGGACATCAAACCGAAATCGTTTTTGGCATGGTAAATCGTGGTACAACCATGGTTCAACCGTTTTCTACCGGCAAATACCATTTTTGGAATAAAAAAATTATTTTTTTGTTAAAAAACCGTACCGACAAAATTAGGGTACCATACCGGGAAAATACCGGAATAAAACCGGATTATACCGCCTAAAAAACTGTAAAAAAAGTAAATAAGCTTAGGTAACATTCAACAAAGTGCGAGATTTCAATACCTAATAAACCTCATAATCATCCAAATACATTTTTAGAAACTAGTACAAAAACCACAAGCTTAATGTTGGCATACTTGAAAGCCAGATTAAGGAAGTATGATGCCACAAACAAATCACGGCTCAAATGTTTATCCCACCTCTTATTATTGAAATGACTTGGATCCACAGTCTCTAGTCCCTAGATGATTCAATAACCCCCTCAATCACGGGTGAAACCAACTGAACTAACAGCAGGCAGCTTTTGCAGCAAAAAAACCCCGAAAACAACATGGATGAAATGAAGACTGAGTGTTGCAGACAAAGAATGTCAATGGAGTGAAGATTGTGAATTAGCAGCAAAGTTGGAAGGACTAACATGTTCCCTAGCGAAAGCTTCAACACCTTGGAACCCAAGATAAATGTGAGGAGTCTTGTCCATGACTAGCCTCGCCACCAATACGGCGTTGACAAGAGTGGTTAGCCAAGAGACAGCTCCGCACCTCATAGTTTTGCCATCCATGATGCAGGCTTCCATCTCAACTGTCCCGTCAGTGGTCAACACCGATCCCTTTCCAGCATTGAACTGCGAGTGGTTCTCTAATTCGCGAACCTGCAAAGTAACAGCCATGGAGCCACTAGCAACCTCTAACATCCGATGATACAAGATTCTAATTTTATATAAATCCGCCCATTCAAGCCAATTACTACTCAATTCAATTTCCGATGGCCAGAGGATATCCGGGAAGTGATTTGGGCGGGCGTACCACGAGTTCGACGACGTCGAGAGGGTGGGCGTGGGATTGGAGAGCGGAGACGCCGAGTTGGAGGCAGTGGCGGAGAGCGGCCTCGCGAGGGAGGCGGCGGTCAGGGGAAAGTGAGCATGGAATGTCGCCGGCGCCGCCATGAAGAGCGATTGCCCATCCCATGTTCTCCACGCCGGCTGCTTCTGTTCCTCCATCTTCGGGTGGGTTGGGTTAGAGCGATTGCCCATCCCATGTTGCCGGGGAGGACGAGTCGCCGATGCCGGGGAGGACGAGGCGCCGTTGCTGGAGAGGACGAGGCGCCGTCGCCGGTGGTGAGAAAGGCAGAGCGGCGCGGGGGGAGACGAGAGGATGGAAAGGAATTTGGATGGAAAGGCAGAGCGGCGCGGGGGAGACGAGAGGAGAGTGTGGAGAGGAGAGTAGGGTTTCGACTTTCACTGCTTCTCTTCCTTTTTTTTTTTTTTACTTGGTCAAAACGGCGCCGTTTCAGCTAATTAAAGGGACCACCGGTTTTAATAAAACCGGCCGAAATTTCGGCCGGTTGCGGTCCAACCGTAAAAACCGGCCGACAGCCTCTTGGATGATACACAGGCCATGTTGTGCCGGGCCAGGTCCGGTTTCCGGTTTTTTCGGTCCGACCGGCCGGTCCGGTACGGTATCCTGCTCCCTGGTTATTTGCAAGGATTGCAAAACCGTACCGGACGTCATACCGGATTCTTTATTGGTAGGATATTTTGTGGTACGATCGTGGTTCAACCGTTTCATGCCGATAAATACCGTTTTTGTAATAGTAAATTATTTTTTTGGTCAAAAAACCGTACCGGCCACAACATGATACCATTCTGGAATAATACCGGAATAATTACAAAATACCGGATAGAAAATCATAAAATAAAACAGTAGCCGCATATAAATAATGGCTAGGCTGTGTGTTTTTGGGTCATGGAATAAAATGATTACTTTTCCCTCCTAATCTCTCTCGTTCTAATCCTCTCCTTCTCTCTCTCTCATACTTTCCCCTTTCTCAACTCTGCTTCTCTTCTGTTCTTCTTCCACTCATCCTCTTCTCCTCAAAACAGCGACGAAATCCCAATTACTCGCCAGGAAGTGATCGTCGGCAGACCTATGGGTTACACACCTCTTTCTCTCTCTTCCGCTTTGTCCCTCTCTACATGCAGAAATTCAGGACACAAATCCCTACTTCCCCATCTTATTCCAACTCTCTCTCTCTCTCTTGATCTGCAGAGATAGAGGAGGAGGGAATCCGTCTAGATCAACAGAGGCGACCCTCATGATTCTCTGTATTCGTGGAGGCATGCAAATCTACAGCGAGGGATTCACCGGTGAGGGATTGACACTGACGAATCTACGGCGGGGTTTAACGGCGGCTAATCTGCGGTGAGGTTTGACGAAGGCTTAAGCGCCGCCTTTGCTTTGCTGACCTAGGGTCGAAACTCGAAACATGACTTTTTGGCTGGGATTGAAGGACCGCCGGATGGATCAAAACCGGCCGGTATTTCGCGGCAGGCCGGTCGAATACAAAATACCGGCCGGTACCATATTCTAACTTTGCAATCTGTACCGTATCGGAATTGGCCTGGTTTCCGGTTTTTCCGGTTCAACCGGCCGGTACGGTACGGTAAAACAGTCCATGGTTATTTGTCAATTTTGTGATACAGTGAGACAATGTTTTCGTCTCTTTCCTCAGGCCCGTCAAAGGCAAGTTTATCATACCACCTCCATGGGCTCTTCGTCATATCTGGGCCTTGGCTTATGGATTCAGCAACATCCCATCATGTAACTCCGGATATGGGCAAACTCTCTCTTTATTCGGATTATACAGGCCTAGATGAGATCCTTGTTAGTGATGGAACAAGTTTGGCTATATCTCATATTGGATCTTCTACTGCTTCTATTGGTTCACATTCTTTATTGAGTTCTCTGTGGAATTCTTTGCCACTCATTTTCTTGTGAATGATCTTCGCACGGGGGCGCACCTGTCGAGGGGGGAAAACAACGGTGATGTCTACGAGCTTCCTCGAGAGGTGGAGAATGTTCGAATGGCCCTGGTGACTATCCTCACATTCGCATCTTCTTGGCACGCTCGCCTTGGTCATCCTTCCCATCAATATCTTACCAGTCTCATTCAGTCAAATTCTCTTCTGGTTCTTCCTCTTCAGATAGGTCTCCTTGTGATGCTTGTCTTTCGAATAAGAGTCATAAACTCCTATTCTCAATTTCCTTTTTATCCAGTGATCGCCCTTTTGATTTGTTATATACTGATGTTTGGGGCCCTGTTCAATTCTAGACACTGAAAGCAAAAATAGCTATCATTACTAAATGTTGAATGGAATAGTGTACCATACTCGTACGATAATTAAAACGATGACTGCTAATTCCCAATTTAACTGCCTAAAGCGTCCCTATACTCGGCCTCTGCAATCAAAATTCCTAACTTGCTGCAAAGTCCCCTGAAGAGACGCATTAGCATCGCCTGGCACCTAGACATGCTTAACTGGAACATTAACGAAGGTTAAAGAAACCTTTTGAGATGCTACCGGCAGTTTAGGTAGAAGAATAAAAAGTTTGTTGACAACCACCAGCTACAACATGAAAACGTTTTTCTACTGTTTCTCCACGAGTCACCACTTGAACATCATCGGAAATACCACCTTTAAAAGAGTGCACTATTCAAATGGGGGAAAATGCTGATTTTTCAATAACCCAAGTGCTCCACCTGCCCCTGGCAATCAAATGCATGATCGCGGGTACTCGTCCGTCCCGACTCAGTCAATGCAGGGAATTTCTGTTTTGACCGAGTATGAGTAAAACCCATAAAACGTTTAATAGGAATGAGGCGGGTATGGTTTTAGCCTCCCCGTCTCATTACCCATACCCATACCTGCCCCATTAGGAAATTCTTCACAAATAAAAAATACATTAATTAAATTGTAACCTATATATAAACCATAATTGCGAGGGTAACTCAAAAAAATATTTAGTAAAAATGTAATTAGGTGGCTACCTAAATCAAAACTTAATTCTTTTTCACAACTCTCCTTTCGCTCTTTCATTGTTTCGATTGTTAACAAGATTATGTTTGTTAGTTATTACTTAGTAGATGTATTAGAGTAAGAGAAATAATGATTTGGATTACATTGCATTCTATCTTATGGATTAACGGATGCTTTAGGATTATATGCATTGAACTGTATTAAGAATGATTGTCTCTTTGTTGATTTCATGATATAGTAGGTGCGTTTAGTGTTATAATTAAAAAATATATAAAAATTTTGAAGAGTTATCATGTTGGATATATGGGGCGGGTATTAGTACTCACGGATACCCGAAACCACGGATACGGAAATGGATTTAGAAAACCCTCCGCCGCATGGGTACGGGATGAGTATGAGTTTGGATATTTGAAAGCGGAGATGGAAATGATTTAGCCAAACCTCCCTCATTGCCATCCCTACCGTGAGATCCATGAGAACCTCTGAATTATGCCTGGTAAGCCTTATGGTTTACATCCTCTCCTTTTCCTTTTGGGCTTTCTGCAAGTGGTAGGGATGAAAGCCCAACCAACAGAGAGAACATCTTTATAGACAAAAGGATCATCTGAAGAAACTTTTTCTACTTTCTAGCTCTCAGTTGACCTATCGCGTTTTATGCCTTGAGAAGTTGAGATGTTGATCAGTTTTGGTACCTCTCGGTCGGTGATAATGATCTCTGAGTTCAGGTAAAAGGAAAACCTGGACAAAAAAGATGGAAAACTAGCGTCTTCACTTCATTATTGTTTATCAACTTGATTTCATACAATCCTCAGTACGCACCATTCACTCACACTCTTGTCAACCGAGACAGGCGAAAACTACATCACACCCCAAAACTAAACACAAACACATAGATCATCATATATCCACACACAAAACAACACAGACCAGACTCCCAGCTAGATCTCATTATTGATCAACATAGTTTGAACTTCAAAAATTAACCAGAGATCTCGATGGCCTTGACGTCGGGCTTCTTGACCTCGGCCTTGGGCACCGTCACAGTCAGCACTCCGTTCTCCATCCCGGCCTTGATCTCATCCATCTTCGCGTTCTCCGGCAGCCTGAACCTCCTCACGAATTTCCCGCTGCTCCTCTCCACGCGGTGCCACGTGTCGTCCTTGTCCTCCTTCTCCACGTTCCTCTCCCCGCTGATCTGCAGCACCCTGTCGTCCTCCACTTCCACCTTCACCTCCTCCTTCTTCAGCCCCGGCAGGTCGGCCTTGAACACGTGCGCCTCGGGAGTCTCCTTCCAGTCGATCCTCGTGTTCACGAGGGCCGTATTCTCCCCGCCGCTAGGGATGAGAGCCGACGAGAAGGGGAAGTTCGTCGAGAAGTCCCTGAAGGGATCGAAAGCGTCCAGGGCCGAGAATGGATCCCACGCGCCGCTGCTGCTGCCGCCGCGGCGGTTCCCGAAGAAGCTTGGAATCAGCGACATCTTTTCTGTTTTTTTGTGGAATTGGGGGGAATGAAAGAAATTAGGTTTCTTGATTGGGATTGATCTCTTGAAGGTAATTCTTGCTGAATTGGATTGTGGGTAAGCGCAAGTGGGTAGAGCTATTTATATGAAGACAATGGGACAGGCGGTGGAGGTTCTCTTCTCCCAGTGAGTTCTGGTGTGTTCTTCTTCTGTCCTTTTCTTCGGGGAAGCAGATGAAGATCAATGGAGAAATTTCTTGATAGTTCGAGTGGACTCTGGACTCCCTTGGGCCATCCAGAAATTATGGGCTCAAGTGGCAGAACGCGATATCGGATCTTGAAATTACCCTATTTTTTGGGCTTAGCCCATGAAGCCCACCCAACGGCTCAATATCGGCCACAAGAGGAAAGGAAATCATTTGGAATACGAAACTCATATACGTCTCCCAGTCTTGGCTCTCTACACAAGTGTTGCAACTGGCGGATTCAGGGGGTCGCCCATAGGTCATGGTCCAGTCCTCTCCGAATCCAGAGTTAGAGTTAGTATTGCACTTGTAAAATTTCAATTTTTTTGGTATGTTCTTTTAGTGTTTGTCGCATTACGGCTCAACCCTTTGAGCATTTTTTTTCAAATGTCGCTGGCAACTTGGAAATGGAGTGAATAAAATAGGAGGGGTCTGGCAACAAGAAAGAGGGTAAACTTCACAAACATCTTTTTCAAAGACCCGCACGCGCAGCCTGCAGCTGCTGGCAGGCAGGTTGCAGTTGCAGCCCTTCCCACGGTCAGGCCAGGCCCCCTGCAATTTCCCAATCCCCGCCAATTTCCCAAGTCCATTTATCTGTTTGTTGTTTATAATTCCCAAGGTTAGGCAGGCAGGCAGTCTCTGCCGCTCTTCATTCTTTTGTTTGGATGTGGTTGGATCAGGTTTCCAAGTGCATTTTTTATCATATTATTACATGCTTTGCTTGCTTCTTCTTCTCGTCATTCTGCTGCTTTCACCAGCTTTTGGTGGAATTAGAGTAGCCTTTTTCCCAAAGAGTCTTGTCTTTTTCAGTCGTCGGCTTTCTTCTTGGATCTCCCCCGGTCATGTCTGCCATCACCACTTCCCACCATCATTCCTTGTTTCCCCAACATTCATTACCCACCTCATTAAAAGTGAATTCATGATATTTATCGGTCTATCTGCTTTTGACACTTATGTTTGATTTTTTCTTTTGCAATTGCAAGTATTTTAAGAGCTTTTTTATAGCTTTGGGCTGCATGAAAAACAATTGTCGAAATCAAATAGGTAATCGACTCACGTGACATTGTTTAGTAGGATATATACAGAGAGATTTATTTTGTTTAGATGTGGAAAAAAGAGATTCGTTAAAAGATAGATCTTATTGAATTTCACAAATGTTTCATAAAATGACATGTCGGTGTAATTTGTTATAAGTTGTACTAGTTGGATCTTTTCTTATCTAAGAAACCATATTTTAGTTATGGCAAAATACACCTGTATAGCGAAAACTTTCGAGGTTTTGCCAATAATAGCCAATTTTGGAGAAATACCACTTATAGCCACATCCGTCCAATTCTTTAACGGTGTCAACTAATAGGCTGACTGGACAAACGTAAATGCTGACCTGGCGATATTTGTTCGAACACGTGGATTAACAAAACAAGTATACATAACATAAATGCAAATTTTTATGATTTAATAAGAACGGAAAAAATAAAAAAAATAAATGCACTATTTCGTGCCCCCATTTCCCAGCAACCCAACCCTAACCCTAAATTGAAGATGACTTCTGGCTCTTTCCTCGCCGCCATCAACATCATCTTCATCCCTTCCTTTCCTCCAATCTACTTTTCAACGCTTTCTCTTCTTCAACACTTGCTCCAGGTTCATCCTTCCTTCGATGGCCTGGACGGCGATGGAAACTCGGCATTGAGGCAACAGGAGCTGGCGGCGACTAGATGCAGAGGTGATACAACAGCAACGACGAGATGAGGGCGCTCAGGGAAGTCGGGGTCGTCGATTTCCCCTGCTCGTCGATTCTAGCGACTTCCCGGCTTCCACTTCCAGATCAGTGTGCCGAGTCCAGGAACTCAACGATTGACTCGCTCCTTCGTCTTCTCGGGGAGGACAACAAGGATGATGTGCGATTCGAAGGGTGGAAGGATATGGACGGCGGAGGAGAGGGACTGTGGAGGTGGGTGTGGCCGAGGAGGAAGTGGTTCTTCTTCGATGCCTCAAATCCAGGGCCTAGACAAACAACAATGAAGGAGAATCGAGCGCCAGGCGATAGGGAAGGAGAATCGATCACCTCTTCTGCTTTCGACGCCGACATGGGGTCGACGGATCCGGTTTCACTGGCGGATGCGGGAGAAGAGGTCGCCGGTGTGTTTGATGAGATTCATTTTGCTTTGATTTATGATGTTCTTACGGTTGATGGCTAGAGATTGATAATGTATTCTTGTTTTGATTTGGGAAGTTATGGAGGTGGTAGAGCTTGATTATATTGGGAAAAACAGATCCGCATAGAGAGACGAAAAGGAAAGGGAAGATCACATGGGGAGAAAGTAATAATTATTTTATTTTTATAATTGAAATTAAATTTTTTATGAAAACTCTTAAAATATTAATTAAAATGACACGTGTCATCTGCATGTCACCAACTGCTGAGTTGTCGCTGGCATGGGTGCTGAGTTGTCATCTTAGTCAACATTTCGTTTAGATAACTGACGATGACATTAACACCGTCAAAGTTTGTAACGAAATTGTCTAGATTTGTCATAAGAACATTGAAATTGTGGCTATTTTTGGTATTTCTCCAAATGTGGCTATTATTGTCACAAAATTGAAAGTTTTGGCTATACATATTTATTTTGGCTATTGTTTTTTTAGAAGAAACACCAAAAAAACCTTATATTGTATGTTGTGATCATCATTCCTTCATGTTGCATTTAGCCAGCACTATTACTACAATCATGCAATAAGTTCGTTTTATGTATATATATGTACGAGCACTTCTACTACGCTATATAGTATTGGTGCTTTAATGTACAACTTAAAGTTGTACCATAACATTAAATGTATAAGTTTAGGTTGTACCATAAAGCAATTTGTACCATTATGTTATGGTACAACTTTACAACTTGAAGTTGTACCATCACATAAAGGTACAAGTCCAAGTTGTACCATAAAAGAATTTGTACAAAAAGTATAGGTACAATATAAAGTTGTACCATAACGTAAATGTACAATTTTAAGTTGTATCATAAAGGCAAAATCCTATAACACCAATACTATATAGCATTGTAAAATTTCTCATATATGTACGTATAGATATGCTCTCCTAACATAAAAGGAAGGTATTACTCCACATGCAATAAGTTCGTTTTATGTATATATATGTACGTATAGATATGCTCTCCTAACATAAAAGGAAGGTATTACTCCAAGTAGAGTGAAAATCGGTATGATATTGGTATCCCAATACCAAATACCGAAATCTCGAATACCGAATTACACTCTAAAGTCACTCCCAATCTCAATTCCTAAATAATTCTGGTATCCCAATTGGTACTTCGTTATCCCAATCGGTATTATCAAAGACGAAATTAATTATCTTTGCAAGTAATAATTAAATACATAAATTAGATTTGATTGTTTAATTTAGGGCAAAGAGACTAAGCAAAGAGTCTTGAGTTTGCCTAGAGGTAGAATATTGATAAGGAGAATGGAGGAGATGTGACATTTCAAATTATTGTCATTGGTAATCCTTAATTTGACGAATTGGAGGTTGAGAGACGACTAATACTAGTGTTTGCTTTTTGGTGTTATGAAAATAATAAGAGATTAGGTGAGAAACGAGGGTGACTTAAACTGGAAAGTCAAAACTGAGTTGGATGGGGGCTTCTAAGTTGTAAAAGACTGAAGAATGACTTAAAGTTGTGTGTTATATTTCATTAATTTATAATTTTTGGTAGTATTTCGATATATCGATCCCAATTTCGTAATCCCGAATAGCACTCCAAAATGAATCCCAATCCCTAAAAAATAAGCCAATATTCGATAATACCAAATATTAATAAATTCGATACGATATTCGATATATTCCAAATACTTGTAGGGGTCGTTTGGATGTGGAAATTTTAAAACGTTGAAATTTGTATGAATTTCCATGTTTTACAAAACCAACGGGTCGTTTGGATGCAGTATTTTGATGAGATAATTTGGTTGAAATAACTCAGAATGAGGTATTTCAATCAAAATAACTCGTTTGCCAAAAATAAAGTACAATGTGGTATTTTGTCCATGAGTCAATTGAAATAACTCATTGTGAGTTATTTGAAATACCTACCCACCCCCTAGTTATTTCAAATACCTCATCTCCCAACTTCTTTTTCCACTTCATCCCTTCTTTAAGTGGTGAAATATCACAATATTTGAATGTTTTATCCAAACAAGACAATTACACCAATTACCACATTTCAAAATGAAATACCACATGAAATGCCACATAGCAAAATAATGCATCTTTTGGATTCGAAATACCATAGAACCAAATTGATGCATCCGAACGACCCACAAGGAATTGACTTGTGAAAATTGGAAAAAAAATTCACGTTTGGATAGGGTTTAGTTTTGTGGGAATTGATGGTGTGGAATTTAAAAAAAAAGTAAGAAAACGTGGTAATGTCAAATTACTAGGAGAAGGTGTAGTATTCTCAAATTACCATGAATGTGGTAATTGAAGCAGATTTCCATGGTCCAATTTTGTGGTAATTGAAGCAAATTTCCATGGTCCAATTTCCATACCATTTTTGCTCTCCCAAACGTGGATTTTTAACCCAATTAGTGCATTATGTAATAATTGGGTCTAATTACCGCATTACATTTCGACATCCAAACCACCCGTACTAAACTTCCCGCCCTTAACTCCAAGAGTTACTTTTCCCAGACATTCCCACCGATGTAGAAGACAGGTAAACGTTACTTCAAAGTCACAGCTTAACTAGGGATCCTAGCTAGCTAGCTAGTTAGTGGGTTCAATGTTTTCCCCGATGGATTGAAGAGGCCAGACCCAGACAGACATATAATAGTTTCCATCCACGAAGACCAGAATATATATGTACAACCTAGCTGGCTGGCTCGCCCCGACATTACACAATGGCACGTGCCATTATTATATCTAACTTACAAAATACAAATAAATAAGTGCAAATATTATACTACTCTTAGTCTACGTATATGAACCCAAAACTTGAATGTGTGCGTACGGACCTCCTCCCTCAATTAGTGGCAGACCCAGAAATTTTTTATAGGGGTGACCTCTTTTAAAAAATAAATTAAATAAAAATAAATAATTAATACAAATAAAATTGTAAATATGAAAATACCTTACTCGTATAGGTAAAAAAAGTCCATGATGTGTTTTCATATTCGAAAATAATTGTAGAATACACTTGGTGTCTATAGTGTTTAAAAAATTGTCTCTATATACACTACTAGACATTCATTCACTAACTTATCGCATATTCGATTTGTAAACTTGTTCTTGATGTAACCCAAAGCTAAAAGACTCTTTCAACACTTGCCGTACAATCATAAAATCAATACAAATTAAGGGTAGTTTGAAATTAGTTTAATTGTTAGGTTTTTAAAATAATTAGAGATAGGGAATGCCATTTTACTATTACACATTGTTCAAAATCGAAAAACAAATGAGTTTAGCTCAACGGAAATTAAGTTGATTAATAATAATAGTGTTCTAGATTTAAATTATCCAACCTACCACTTATATTCCTATACACAAATGATAGTAGGATAATCATTTTTTCAAATTTAAGGGGTGTCCCTCACTATCAATTATATTTTTTTTTTGTCCATACGTAAATTACCACCGGGAGTTGGATAATCTTTTTCCCAAAATTTAGGGGTGTCCGGGACACCCTTAAACCCTCTTGGGTCCGCCCCTGCCCTCAATAATACAGATAATTAATTAATTATTCTCTCGTTAATGCTTGAACTTGAATGTATATGTTCATATAATTTATCATTATTATCGGTTAAGAATTAGGTGTGTAGTGTTATCTGTTTGGAGCAAAAGCAGTTGTGTGTTCAATGTACTAGCTAAGCTAAGCTAGGGAATAATATGGTCTTCTTCTTTTTTAGTACGTAGGTACCAAATCGTTCCCCTTCTAGCTATTATTAGCTTCAGAGTAGGGATGACAACTTTGCTCATACCCATAGGTTTCTTACTATTCAATCCAATTGGGTTGGGTATGAAATCCAAATAAATGGATATGGGTAGAGTTTGATGGGTTTGTACCCATACCCATTTACTTTTGGTTGAGTTGGGTTTATATCAAATGGATTTGTACCCATGCCCAAATACAAATTACAGTTTGGTACCCAAACTTAATAGACATGCATATTTAGTACCTAAATTTAATTTTTTTTGCATATAAATCCTCAAAATATCGATGGAAAATTACTTTTTGGTACCTAAATTTTTTTGGTCTTACATTTTTGTACCTAAACTTTTCAAGTTTTACAAATAGGTCCAATTTTTGCATGTGTAATTAAACAGCCTCAAGTAAATGGATATCCTCATATCCATATCCAACTCATACTCATTTAGATTATGGAAGCCCCAAACCCAAACCCATCTATAAACCCTCAAATCCATATGCACTTCACCCATACCCAACCCATTATCAATGAATCTACTTGGATTTGGGTATAATTACCCATGGGTGGGTAATTTGCCATCTCTACTTCAGAGTCAGTAGTCCTTTCATTTGGTTGATTATAATTCATATATATGATGCAGTCGATCGTGAAGTGAAGTGGAGTGGCGCCGCTTTAGAATATGGACTACGTACACAATAATTGGTTTGATTTTCTTGCCTTCCTTTTTCATATGGTTTGTGGCCTCAAATGTATGGTGACGAGACGTTCTCTGTGATTAATTCTCATCTCAGTAATTAGGCGTTTACTTTTATTTGTATCCATTTTTCAAGTTGTGAGGAATTGTTAACCCCCATTAGGCTGCAGTCAGCCCGGTAGTACGTACACTCCTCATCATATGGCCGTATTGATCGTTTGACCGGGGTCACAAAAGCAAGATCATATGAGTTTTTATGTTCTTTTCGTTGAAGTTGAATATTGCTCTTCATATCGAAAGTGCACTCTGAATTAGAATGATAACGATATTAATGATAGTGTGTGCTTTATGATAAAAACAATCAAGCATGCATATTGAGACGCATATCCACTATATTCGTCAACCTTTAGCCAGTGATATAGTTATATTCTACGTGTCAATAAATGACAAGAGACAACCTAAATTTTCACATAGGTTGCAGAGGCAAGTTGACATGCATATGCTCTTATTGCACAAATATTTAGCACCGTCAATTTGGGGCAAGGGCATTATAGTATAGTATGTCAAGGATAATTCATAATTGTTTATTAATCATGTACTTAGTGGGTACTTAGTGGTTAGATTAGCTCCTCATTAGTAGCTACGTGGGTTAGTAGTCAGTTGTAGATTGTGTATAAATTCCAACTCTCAAACCTAACACAAACAGACCATTCAGCAATCACATGGTATCAGAGCATCGATTCTGATTTCCTTAATCCTAAACCTAATCAAACACGATTTCTCTTCCTCTCTCTCCTTTTCTTTTCTTTCCCGTCTCTCTTTCTGTACAAGCGCCTCTTCTCTGTGCGCCTTTATTTCCGCCGCCATGTCCACCAACACTGGAGAATCAGTTCTCAATTTAGGTGACTCAAACACCATTATCACTCTGAATCCAGCCTCCCAACTCCCTATCAAGCTCTCCGGCGACAACTTCCCCACCTGGCGCGCCCAATTATTTACTCTTCTTCGGGGGCTCGATCTCCTGAAGTTTCTCGACGGCTCCCATCCTCAACCGGCTGACGATTCCACCGCCGAGCTCCGAACTCAGTGGTTTCGGCAGGATCAACTGCTTCTTCATGCGGTTATTTCCTCTGTCACTCCGGCGGTTGCTCCGTATGTCACCGCTGCTGTCTCCTCCCGGGATGCTTGGACAATCCTGGAACGCATGTTTGCT